GCTTGTTATAATTCTCACTTAGATTAGGGGAGGAAAAGAAAATTTAATAACTTTTAAATTAACTATATTTAGTGTTTGGGTTCATAGCTTTTAATTTCTAAAATTATGTTATTTTTCACATCTACCCTCTTTAATTATGAGTTTAAAATTTTAAAGTAATTGATATAAAATAACAAAAGAATAATTTTTTCAACTTTATCAACATCAACGAGTTATAATATATCTTATAAAAGATACTTACCCTAAACCAAGTGACAATACATATAGATTAGTAAAATTTGTAAAAGCAGAAATTAAATCTGAGATGCCATTTGAACCAATTAAATTATTCCTTTTAAATTTATGAGAAAATTATTTTAGTCATATACATTAAGAGTCATAAATAATATATCAATGAAAATAATTTTTATGTAAATTTAATGTTAAATAAAAAAAATTAAATTTAAATTAATATTTTTTTATTAAATAATAATAAATAAATAATTGATAAAGGAAATAATTAATATAAAAGCAAATAAATATTTTATACGAAATGTAAAGCTTCAAATTTGTCAGTTTAATACAGCTAGCTAAACCTGAACTTAAAATTGATGCATCTTATTCTTGTATTTAATTTAAAATTTAATAATCATTAACAAATAATAAATATAAACATGAAAAGAAAAAAATTAAGCAAGAAAGAAAGAAAGAAAAAGAATTTATTATTTATTATTTTAAATTTACTTTAATTATTTTATTAAGTAAATATAAAAAATAAATCAAAAGCTAATAAATAAAATTTACTCTATTAAAAGTGTTAAAGATAATAGGTTAGTGCTTTTTTTCAATGCAGAGCTTAATAATTATGCGTTCTAATTTCTTAAATATAATTGACTTTTTAATTTTTAATAAAAGTTTGTTAATAGATGCGATAATAATAAATAAAGCATTTAGTTAAAAAAGTAAAATGAAACAAATAATTAAAAATAATATAAATTCTTAAATATTTTAAATTTCAATAAATATTTTTGTAAAAAAAAAATACTAATAAATTAAACAGATATATATTTAAATTTAAAAATAAAAAATTTGATAGTTTTTACTTAAGAATAATTTCAATTTCAATATGCGATGAATGTTCAGAATCTACAAACTATTTTTTTATAAAAAATAATTATTCCTAATAAATGTTTAATTTATAAATTACATCTTGTAAAGAGTCAAAATATTATTTCTTTATTGCCATTTTTTTCTATGAAAGACTAACAACTTTTAATTTTAAGAAAGAAAGAATTGTTTTACATCAAAGTAAAATATCTTATTAATTTTTGAAAATTTAGAGCTAATAAATATTTAATTAAGGAGGGGATCACTTAAAAAAATGTTTCTATTTTTAACCATTCGATTGTTAAAAATACTTTACTTAACTCAAAAACTCGCAATTTTTAACACAGTGCCTATTCAAGGATTTATGGTACTACCAAAAGAAATTTACACTTTTAAATTAAATAGATCAAAATGTTATATTGCTAATTTCTAATAGTTATTTCTCTAGTAGGAAATAAACATTTAGTAGAATAATAAAAATTATTTATAAATTAATTTAAAGAAATTTGTAATAATTAAAAAAGGTATGAATAGGTTTAGAACCTGAACACTACTAAATTTGTATTTCTTTCCTACTCAAGAAATAATTATTCAAGAATAGCCATATTTGGTTTACTCAAAGTTTATTATTTAATTTAATATTCATTTTTTCATTTAAAATAATAGATTTAATTAAACATTATTTCTTATAATTCTACTTCATTATTTAAATTTTTTGAAGATCCTCATACATTTTTTTAATTAAATAATTTACTTTCAAGAATTAGATATTCTATAATAAATATGAAATTTAATTATTGTTTTTGATTGTCCTAAAAATAGGTTTTTTGCTTTAATTAGAAAAATTTCAAAATAGATTAGTAATAGTTAAAAAATAATTAATATCTTTCTATTTCTAATTGACTGACTCAAATTTTTACATATTAAAATATTTACTATGATAAAATAAATATTTATGGGCTTTAAGAAGTATTTTTATAAATTTTTTTTAGACAAAATAATAGAAGCAGCATTAAGAAATAAGTCAAAAAACTATTACCATTTTCTAAATATTTTATTTGAGGTAGCTCTTGTAGTTTTACTATAAATTTATCTAAATATATTTTATCTTGGTTGATTTGCTAATAAATTCTGTAAAAGAGTTTGATTCTTTCTATTAAAAATTAAAAAAAAATAGCTTAGAAATAGTATAGTTAATATATAACAACTTTACCATAAAAAAAGTAAAATTAATCATTATTAATTTATATATTATTAAATATCTGTAAGCTGAATTATTTATATGTTATCGCTTTGATTCGCTTCAAAAAAATTATATAAATTTTATTATTTAAGAAGGAAGAAAGTAAAAAATAAAAATGAGATTTTTAATAATTGTCTTATTATTTTGTATTCAACTAAATGCATATCATTTCAAACAGCTTGGATTATTTGATTTAAGCTCATCTTGTATAATGACCATGGAAAACTAAATTCCTTGTAAATAACATGATTTTAGATGCAATACGGAATTACAAGAAGCTGAAGTTTGTGTCAGAAAATGCACCCATTATTACTACAAACTTCATGAATGGAAAAATTGTATAAGAATAAATTGTAAATCGAAAAATAATAATGTTTAATAGCTTATTGACTATTCTGTGATATGTCTTACTACTACTAAATTATCTTTCGCAATCTTAATTACAATTATTTTATACTTTATTATATATTGAAAAAATTTAAATTGCCTAATTATTTATTTATAAATGTATTCCTACTTATTTATTTATATAAAAATCTACATATTTGTATGAAAAAAATGTTATATAAAACTAAAATTAAACAAAATTATTTTTTTTTTTAAACTTTTGATCTCAATTAATTTGAAGTTATTCATTTATATTATGCTTATTAATTAAATTATGGAAGAAAAAGCGCATCTCATTTCAAATAAAAAGATTTATTGATAATTCTTTATAATTCTACCTTACTTATTCAATTAATTAATTTTATTAATTTGCTAAGATTTCCTTTTCATTAAAAAAAATTATCTTATTGCTAGATTTAATTAGTTAGAGTCTTTATTTCTTTCTTTCAAGCAGAATTTATTTTAGTATTAGATTAAGAAGCGTTTACTTTGAACTATAACTAAAAATAGAAATCATAAATCAGATTAAAAAGATTCATTAAAACAACTAGAAATAGATTATAAAAATTAATTTTTTTCTATATCTTCTAAACAATTTCAATGACAAAAATAGAATGTCAAATTATTAATTTATAGAGTCATTTTAATTAAATTTTATTCCATTTTATAAAATCTGTAAGTTAAACAGCTATAAAACCAACATCAACAAATAAATTTATCATAATTTATATTTTATCTTAACTCTTATTTCATTTTATTCTAGACTATTTTATTCATTTTACAATTTTCAGCAAACTCCACTCTTTATTCTTTATTCTTTATTATATTTTATTTTAGAATTTGTATAGATAGATAATTAATTATGATTAAAAATAAATAAATAAATATGTTTAATTGTTTCATACATATTTAATTAATTAAAACAGTAAATTTTTATCTTTATAAATCAGCTATTAAAAAGTTTTTATTATGATATTTTTTTAATAGTAAATTTTATAAATAGAAAAAAAATTAAAATAAAATGAGATTTATTGTAATAGCTTTTTTACTTTTGATTCAAGTTAATACTTAGGATTCATAGCCTGATGGATTTATTAATATTAGCACATCTTGCATCATTAAAATGGAAAACAAAACTCCTTGCTAAAATTATGATAACAGATGCAATAATGCATTAAATGAAGCTGAACTCTGTATGAGAAAATGCTTTTAATTCTATAAAAATAATGAAGTGTATAGTTGTATAAGACTTTCTTGTAAATCTGCTAATAAAAATGTTTAATAACTTATTGATTTTTCCTTATTGTGCCTAAATGCTACTAAAATATTCATCGCTTTTGAAATTTTTGCTCTTCTAATTTTATTTATATATTGAAATTTATTAATATCTTAATTATCTTATTAAAAAATATATTCTTTATTTATTTACTTTTATGCTTTTTATTAATTAAATATATTTTACATTTTAAAATAAAATCCATTTTAGGCAATTTGAAATAAAAAGTAATTCATTCATTCTTAAATAATAACTTAGCAAATAAATAAAAAAATTTACTCTTAAAACAGAATCTAAGAAATAGTTAGAAGAGTGGATTTTATTAAATTAAATTTTTAACAAAAAAAAAATAATAAGGTAAATTTGTTTTAATTTTGTTTTACATAAATATTTTTTAATTAAAAAAATTTGTCTTTTTAACAGATAATTCTAATTACAAATGTTATTTGTAATTTAAAAGCAAAATTATATTATTTTTTAAGAAGCAAAATCTCAAAAGCTAATTAGAGATAAATATAATATAATTAAAAAATAAACAATTAACAAATTAATTATTAATTTACATTTGATTTAAAAAAACTATTTTTTAAGTCAAATATTAAATATTTTAAGGCAATTATTATATTTTCTTAAAATATATCCTAATAAAGTATAATTTTTAATAAAACACTATTAATTATTTTTGTTAGTTCTACTACTCAATAATTAATAATGTCTTCATTAAATTAAAAATTTTTAATTGATATTTATTTTTTATAACATATTAAAATATAAAAACAAATAAATACTGAAATAATAATAAACAAATAAATGAGAATTATATCCTTTGTTGTTTTCACTTTAATTAGTCTATGCATGATTAAAGCTGATTTTACTTAATAAAAAGAGGAGGTTGTCTAGTGTTTAATGTCAATGAGTACATATGATCCTTGCTAAAATGAAGATAAATTATGTGAAGGTGAGAAAATAAAAACTTATGGTTGCATTTAGACATGCATTTCTAATGGTGCAGGAGAACCTTTTAGTGTAATGAAAGATTGTATCCAGCAAAATTGTAGTTCCAATAATTAAAGCATTAAGATAATTATCAGTAGATCTATTTAATGTTTATTATCTTAAGCTTTAAAGTCTGCATTAGTTTTATTGTTTGTTCTAATATTTTTTTGATGTTCTTATAATCTTTTGTGTGAATAATTAATTTATAAAAATTGGTGTTTCTTATTAAAATATTTTTCAAATAATCTTAAAAAATGAATAAAATATTAATTTCTTTTTATAAAATAATAAGTTTAGCTTTGAAAAAAGCAAAAAAAATTTATGTTATCGAAAAATAAAGAAGTAAATAATTTCTATTATTAAACTTTAATGATTTTACTGAGCAAAAAATAAAGGCTGTAAAAGAATTATTAAAATTTTAAATTTTTATAGAAAAACTTAGGGAAATAATAAGTGTAAAACAATACTAAAAATTATTTATAGTAATAATTTCAATAAAGTAATTTATATTGATTATTGAAACATCCTTTTTTTTACTCTGCAAGTTTACTTATTGAAATCTTAAAAACACAAATCTTTGAATTCATAAAGAATTTAATTTAGAAGAAAGAAATTATAATAAAAGCTGGTTTGTAAATTTGAAAATTAATTGATGTAATCACATTCAATTCAAGCATTTATGCATTATAATTTAGTAATAGTAAAATGAGCAGTGCCTATTTTTATCTTTTTTCTTTAGTTAATTAATAAATACTGGTTGAATTTTATTTATTAATTTATTAAAAAGCGTTTAATATAATTAGTTATTTTTAGAAGTAATTAATTCTAACTAAAATCTTAATTATAAACAAGCCGACCGATTTTTAGTTCAAATAGCTATTTTAAAAATCAAATTTTATATAATTTTATATTTTATAAATATTTACAATAATATAAGTTTATAACTTTAATTATAAAATGAAATTTTTATCTAAAATTATACTTGCATTAATTACTATTTGCTTGATTAATGCTCAAGATTCTTAAGAAGGAAAGAAAGTATTAAATTGCTTATAATAAATAGAAAATAAAAATCCTTGTTAAATAGATGATAAAGATTGCATGTCAGAGTTATCTAAATTCGATAGATGCACTTAATAATGCGTGATTGCTATTGCTGGAGAAACTTTTGGTCAATTAAAATATTGCATTTTATCAAACTGTACCACAAATGATTAAAATGTCTAAATTCTTATTGATGAATCTATTAAATGCATACACTCAAGCATTTTATAAACAGCTTTCATTATTTTTATTATTTTAAATATTATATTTTGAAATTGTATTTGATTAATTTATTTTTTTATAAATATTTACTTTTGTTGTTTTACTCTATAAAATAAATTTTAAAATATTTGAAATTCAGTTATTTATTTTAAATATTTTTATAATTTAAAAAAGTGTCCATAATATTTATAAATTTTATCATATTATCAAGTAAATTTTTATTTAAAGTGTAATTAGAATTAATAGTAATTTATGATGGAGGATTTACTAAAAGTTAATTACCACCAGTAGAAAGAAATTAATTTATTTATATATAATACTCTAGGGTACTGCATTTTTCAAGACTAGATACATGAATAATAACAAAATATATTATTTTGTAGTTTTAATCTCAACTAAATTTAATTATGGTACATAATGGGTTTCCATTATATGATTGGTGAGGTTAGGATAAATATTTTTTATTTTTTGGCTGAGACAGATTCTACATTTTACTATGTATGGCGTAAAATTAATTTTAAATACAAAAATAATAATAAATCAATCATTATTTTAAGTTAAATTATCGAAATACAAATTGATATATAATTAAGTATATTATTTTCTATTATTCAAATATTTAATATTTATTCATAATTTTATCGCCACTTGTTTATCATCAATACAAATATACTCTATAGACAACTAATCTTTTTGATTTAAGACATTTGCTTTTTACTTTCAATTATTATGATTCATTGATTTAGTTTTCACTTTTATATTATATTAAATTAAAGTAAAATACTAAAAAAAATTAAATAGAATAAAATTTTTTAATTAAAAATTATATTTAAAATTAATAATAATAAATTAGCAGAAAATAATCAAATAAAAAGCTAATAAACAAAGTAAAAGAGTTTTTTTTTTTTAAATAATTTTTAAAACTAAAAATATCGTAATCTAAAACAATAAATTGTTTTTACCTTAGAACAAGTATCAAATTAGAGAGATTAGTGCAATTTGCTAAAGCAGAACCTAAGTCTGATACACCAATTGCACCAATTTAATTTTTACTTTTAAATATTGAAGAAAATATATATAATTAACAAAATAGTTAGAAGGATAAAATGAAGAAAAAATATGAAATAATATGAAATGAATTAATTAATTATAATAAAAGCAAAATTTGAAAATAAAAATTATTGAAATTAAGAGAAATAGAAGAAAAACACAAGTACAATAAAAAAAAATAAAAAATAAATCAAATAAAAAGCTAATAAACAAATTAAAAGAGTTTTTTGTTTTAAATTCATTTTTATTATTCAAAATATCACAACCCAAAACAAATAAACTTTTTTACTAAAGACTAAGAGTCAAATTAGAGAGATTAGTGCAATTTGCTAAAGCAGAACCTAAGACTGATATACCTTCATCTCCAATTTTATTGCAACTTTTTAAATATTTAAGAAAAAATATATAATTAATTAGAAGGAAAAAGTGAAGAAATAATAAGAAATGAATTAATTAATATAAATAAAAGCAAAATTTGAAAATAAAAATTATTAAAATTAAGAGAGATAGAAAAAAAAACACAAGTACAATAAAAAAAAATAAAAAATAAATCAAAAAAAAGCTAATAAACAAATTAAAAGAGTTTTTTGTTTTAAATTCATTTTTATTATTAAAAATATCACAATCCAAAACAAATAAACTTTTTTACGAAAGACCAAGAGTCAAATTAGAGAGATTAGTGCAATTTGCTAAAGCAGAACCTAAGCCTGATATACCTTCATCTCCAATTTAATTGCATCTTTTTAAATATTTAAGAAAAAATATAAAATTAATTAGAAGGAAAAAATGAAGAAATAATAAGAAATGAATTAATTAATATAAATAAAAGCAAAATTTGAAAATAAAATAAAGAATTAAATTTAGAAATCTAAAAAAAAAAACATATATACAATAAAAAAGAAAAAGAAAAATACACAAATTAAAAGAGTTTTTTTGTTTTAAATTCATTTTTATAACTAAAAATATCACAATCCAAAACAAATAGATTGTTTTTACTAAAGATAAAGTGTCAAATTAGAGAGATTAGTGCAATTTCCTAAAGCAGAACCTAAGCCTGATGTACCTTCATCACCAATTTAATTGTCACTTTTTAAGTTTTGAAGAAAAAAAATGAAACAATAAGAAATGTATTAATTAATAATAATAAAAGCAAAATTTTAAAATAAAAAAATTATTTAAATTAAGAAACTTAGAAGAAAAAAACACAGTACTTACAATAAAAAAGAAAAAGAAAGATAAATCAAATAAAAGGCTCATAAACAAATTAAAAAAGCTTTTTTGTTTTAAACAACAAATATTGAATTAATTTTTTTTTTTACATATAAAATGAATGAAAAAAATGCTTAACTCTAAAAATTAAATGTTTGATTAAAAAACTAAATCTTTGACTTTATTTTTATTCGTGTATGTAACCTTGAAAAAGGTAGTACCTTAGGGTACTATTTATATATACATATAAAAGCAAAATTTGAAAATGAGTTAAATTTTGAAAGATAGAAAAAAAAACACTAATACTATAAAAAAGAAAAAGAAAAATAAATCAAATAAAAAGATTTTTAACAAATTTAAAGAGTTTTTTTTGTTTTAAATTCATTTTTATTATTAAAAATATCACAATCCAAAACAAATAAACTTTTTTACTTAAGACCAAGAGTCAAATTAGAGAGATTAGTGCAATTTGCTAAAGCAGAACCTAAGTCTGATGCACCAGTTGCACCAATTTAATTTCCACTTTTTAAATATTGAAGAAAAAATATTTTACTAATTTGTTAGTTAGAAGGAAAAAATGAAGAAAAAATATGAAATAATAAGAAATGAATTAATTTTAATAATAAAAGCAAAATTTAAAAATAAAATGATAAGTAAAATATAGAAAGATAGAAAAAAAACACAGTACGTACAATAAAAAAGAAAAAGAAAAATAAATCAAATAAAAAGCTAATAAACAAATTTAAAAACTTTTTTTGTTTTAAATTTATTTTTATAATTAAAAATATCACAATCCAAAACAAATAAACTTTTTTACTTAAGACCAAGAGTTAAATTAGAGAGATTAGTGCAATTTACTAAAGCAGAACCTAAGTCTGATGCACCAGTTGCACCAATTTAATTTCCACTTTTTAAATATTGAAGAAAAAATATATAATTAATTAGTTATAGTTAGAAGGAAAATAAATAGTTTGTTAGAAGAAAAAATGAAGAAAAAATATGAAATAATCATAGATTAATAATAATAAAAGCAAAATTTGAAAATAAAAAAATAACATAAATTAAGAGAGATAAGAAAAAATCATAAGTACAGTAAAAAAAGAAAAAGAAAAATAAATCAAATAAAAAGCTAATAAACAAATTAAAATAGTTTTTTTGCTTTAAATTCATTTTTATAACTAAAATTATCACAATCCAAAACAAATAAAATCAATTAAAAGTGTTAGAAAGAAAAAATGATTAAAAATTGATAATGAATATTTAAAATTGAAAGATAATTAAGTTAAAATTACTGATAAATATTTTTTTAAATAAAATGAGAAAATATAGGTGAGAATTTCTATTAGAAAAATATATTATAAATTAATTGTAATTGAAATATAGAAAGTATTAATAATAATATATTAAAAATACTTCAGATAAATATGGAGAACCTTATGAGATTAGAGTGAAGAGTTTAAAAACTTTTTATATTAATAAAAATAAATTTATGGTATATTGATAAAAAAATAAATAATTACTTCTTTTAATTTGTGGTAATATTTAATCTATTATATCATTTATTTTATTTTCAAAAATATTGAATAGCAATCAATTTAATTGAAATTTAATTAATTATATAAGGAGATAAATTAAAGAAGGGGATAAAAAGAATAAATAAATTATATGAATTTATAAATTTGCTTATTTTATTTTTTTAATATAATTGTTTTTAAAATTTAATATTTAAAAAATAAAATAATTTATATTATATTATTTCATAATTTATAAGCAAATAAAGGTTAAAATGATAGATTTCTAATATGGTCTTAAAAAAAATAATAATTATACTATCTTTATAAAAAATATTAAAATTAATTAGATAGATTAATGAAGAAAATGTGAATTTATAATAGGAATTTTATTATTTGTATTTCTAACAGAAAATTTTTGTTAATTTCTCTAAAAAGTCTACAAAAAAATTGCTTCTTTTCTGCCTCTGCCTCGATAATAAATAAATAGGTTTAATACTATATATTAAGAAGATGTCTTATTAATTTATTAATAAAATATTTCTTCTTAAAATACATTTCTTTTTGTTTTTAAATAAGAATTTTTACTTAGTAAAATACCAGTTAAAATGTTCTATATTTATATACCTAATAAAATAATTTATATTATTTCATAATTTATAAGCAAATAAAGGTTAAAATGATAGATTTCTAATATGGTCTTAAAAAAAATAATAATGGATACTATATATATAAAAAATATTAAAATTAGATAGATTAATTAAGAAAATTTGAATTTTTAATAGGAATTTTAGTATTTACATTTCTAACAGAAAATTTTTGTTAATTTCTCGAAAAAGTCTACAAAAAAGTTGCTGCTTTTCTGCCTTTGCCTCGATAATAAATAGGTTTAAAACTTAATTTTAAGAGGAAGTCTTATTAATTTATTAATAAAATATTTTTTCTTAAAATACATTTCTTTTTGTGTTTAAATAAGAATGTTTACTAAATAAAATACCAGTTAAAATGTTGTACATATATATAACTAATAAAATAATTTATATTATTTCATAATTTATAAGCAAATAAAGGTTAAATTGATAGATTTCTAATATGATCTTAAAAAAAATAATAATAGATACTATCTTTATAAAAAATATTAAAATTAATTAGATAGATTAATGAAGAAAATTTGAATTTTGAAAAGTAATTTTAGTACTTGCATTTCTAATAACTAATTAAGTTTATTTTTGTTTAATATTTTCTGATGGGTAAAAAACATGTTTGTTAATTTTTCTAAAAAATCTACATTTAATATCTTTTGATAGGTAAAAACATGTTTATTAATTTTTCTAAAAAGTCTACATTTATTATTTTCTGATTGGTAAAAAACATTTTTGTTGATTTTTAAAAAAGTCTACATTTAAAAGTTACAGCTTGCTTTTCTGTGGCAATAATAAATGGGTTCAAAACTTTATTTTAAGGAGAAGTCTTATTGATTTATTAATAAATATATATTTCCTCTGCTTATTAGCTTTAATTTTAGAGAATACATTTCTTTTTGTGTTTAAATGTCTAATAGCTACTAGTTAAAATGTTATGTTTTTACTTTATAAAATTATTTGTATATATTCTTTCATAATTAATAAGCTTATAAAAGAATGAAAATTTTTTATTTTGTTTTTCTCATGTAATTTCTTTATGAAATTCTTGTTATTGTGTATTTACTATTCAAAAAAGGAATGAAAAAAATTTACTTAATTTTCTCATTAACTTTTTCTATGAAATTCTTGTAACAAGCATTGTGTATTTAGTAACTAAAATTTTTTATTTCTTTTACTTTTTTAATGTAATTAGTTTAATTTAAATTGCTATATTTTTAACAAAAAATTTTGGTTATTTAGTCTTGCTTAACCTATATTGATTAATTGATTTAATGATACAAAATATGATGGTTTTTCATTTAAATAGGAACAAATATTAGTAATAAATTTTATCTTCTAGGAATTAAATGCTTGCGTGTTGTGCTAAAGATGCAAGAAATTAGCTTCTGCATAAACCATAAATTAGATTACTAAAGTAGATTATAATATTTCTAATTTTGGTGTTATAATTTTCGTTCAATAAAAACTTCAAGCTTGCTTTTCAATTTTTGATTCATGCTTTTGGGTTTACATTAAATATATCTGATAAAATCTTAATGAACATTTTTATTACAATTTATGTTTATTTTTATATAAACATCTGAAGATATTCAAACGAGACAGGCTTTATTAATTATATCCTAAAATTAATTTTAATATTTTTCTTATTACGCTTTAATATTTTAATAACTTTAAGATAAAAATGTACTCAAATAAATAAAAGTTTCATTGAATTTGGAGTTTTTTCTTTGTATCAGTTTTCTACTAATTATTTGATATCTTAATCAATTAATTTATCATATATATTACAATAAATAAACATTTTAATGGCGATTTTTTAAGTCCTTATAAAATAAATTATTTTATCTAATATTTCACATTTGATATTTAGAAATGATGAAATTAATATTTGAATCTAAGATGAACACTTAGTTCAGTTTAACATATTATTTTTTTGTTTACAACCACCTTCCTAATTTTTTTAATTTATTTAGCTATTTTCGCATCGAAGCGAACCTCTTTCTGATAAATACCTTGCTAGATTAATGGTAAAATTTTTTTCTAAATTTTTCAAAATAAAATACTATTTAACTCTATTACCTAATAATCTAATGCTTCGAAATAATTATATTCGTAATTGATAAATCAACCACATATATGAATTTTTATTTTTCTTACATAGCTTCTTCTATTAGCCTACATTAAGCTAATTAATGATTTTATACTAATAGCCAAAAACTTACTAAACAAATTTCATTTATTACCTTATCATCTCTAAACCTCTTACCATGCTAATTCTAACATTTTTATAGAAGATTTCACACCTTCATAAATTAAGATCCAATAAAAAAAAATTTTTGACTATCACAGATTGAATTTGTGTTGTGTGGTTGCCGGATTTATTTATTGAAAAATATATTTACATATCTAATATAATAGCCACTTTAAATTCCAATTTTTTTGGCATTTGTAATATTAAATTTGATTTAATTTGGCTATTATTGATTACATTTAGTTAAGTCATATGTCAGTCAGTTTCAAGCTTTTTCAATTAAAGAAAAATAATAAGTAAATTATAAAAAAAGAAATGTAAAGATTACAATCATTTATTCACAGATTTAGCATTATAAATACCAGTATTTTTCGAACCTATAATTACAAATAATATATTAATATAAAAAAAAAACAATTAAATTTACTAATAAATAAAAATGAAATACATTGCCTTAGTTTTACTTGCTTTTGTTGCTATCGCTTCAGTCAATGCTCAAAGTCCTACAGATTATCTTTACAGAGTTGGTAATTGCACATAAAAGAACAATTCTACATGCGCAAATGATTAATCTTGCACAGCTACTGCAGGCAGATTATAAATTTGTTTCGGTAATTGCTATACTTTGTATAACTAAACTCTTGATTCTATGCTTCCCTGCTTTAAAGCAAACTGTACTTCAATTGCTACAAACAGTGGAAATTCTAATGTCACCACCTATAGTAACAATGTTATTTCATGCATGAGCTCTGGAGTTCTTTCATTCGCTTTCATTCTTTTAGTTACAATAGTTTCTACTTTATTAGCAAACTATTGAGATAATTATAACTTAAACTATTATTAAATGTATTAGATGTTTTATAGGGTTTATATCTTGTAAGATTATGTCTAATTTAATTCCAGCATTTTACAAATATGTTTATTTATTTTAAACTTTTATCTCCATAAACGAAAAAGAAATTTGTTAAAATAATTATTAAAGTCTTTATAATTAATTAATTATTTAATTATATTATCGCTCACTAACACCAATAAAAATATGGGTTGAAATTGTAATTTAAATAAGAAAAGTTTTTGGAACAAATTGATATTTTATTGACTTCACAATTTCAATTAATTAACTCCTTAAAAAGAAGATTAGTATTACTTAATTAATAAATATAAGATATTTGAAAATGAATTAGTTAACTTATCAAATAACTTTTATATTTATCTATGACTATTAATCGAAAGACAGTTTATTTAAAATTTAATAAATATGTGCTTTTTTAGTAAAAAGATATCTTAAAAAATCAAAAAATAAATATGATAAGCATTAATAAACAACCTCCAAAATACTATTTTATATTTTAATTGCACATTTTTCAAAATTATTATGTAATAAAATATATTTTTTTAGCAATATTTTTCATTTTTAAAAATCAATAAATTAGTGATACTATTTAGATTAATCATTTATTTAAATTTAATTTGAAGCCTTGACATTGTTGATTCGAAGTCTTTTAGTATAATACGAAGTATTTAAATTTAATTAAAAGTCTAATAAATACACTTACATACTGTAAATACTTTAATCTAAGCCATTATATAAATCTTTAAAATATTAATTTAATTTAGAATAAAGATGTCATTATGTTTTAAGTCCTCAAAATTAATAATATTAATTATGTTTATATAATATATAAGGGGTATTTTAATTCAATCCCCCTTTTTTTATACTCACAATAACAGGTTTTTATGGATTGATTGGTGAGGTTAGGATAACTATTTTTTATTTAATGGCTGAGACAGATCTACTCTTTACTATGTATGATGTAAAATTAATTTTAAATATAAAAATAATAATAAATCAATCAATATTTTGAATTAAATTATCCATATACAAATAGATATATAATATAGTATATTATTTTCTATTATTCCAATATTTAATATTTAATCATAATTTTATCACCACATGTTTATCATCAATACAAATATACTCTATAGGCAACTAATCTTTTTGATTTAAGATATTTGCTTTTTACTTTCAATAATTATGATTTATTGATTTAGTTTTCACTTTTATATTATATTAAATTAAATTTAAATACTAAAAAAAATTAAATAAAATAAAATTTTTTAATTAAAAATTATATTTAAAATTAATAATAAAAAATTAACAAAAAATAATCAAATAAAAAGCTAATAAACAAAGTAAAAGAGTTTTTTTGTTTTTAATCATTTTTACAACTAAAAATATAGTAATCTAAAACAATAAATTGTTTTTACCTTACATATTCAGTTTAGTGCAATTTGCTAAAGCAAAACCTAAGCTTTATGCACCAATTACACCAATTTAATTGTGACTTTTTAATATTGAAGAAAAAATATAAATTAACGAGTTAGTTAGAAGGAAAAAAATAAAGAAAAAAGAAATTAATTAATTAATAATAATCAAAGCAAAATTTTAAATTAAGAGAGATAAAAAAAAAACATAAGTACAATAAATCAAATAAAAAGCTAATAAACAAATTAAAAGAGTTTTTAGTTTTAAATTCATTTTTATAACTAAAAATATCACAATCCAAAACAAATAAGCTGTTTTTACCAAATAAAAAGTGTCAAATTAGAGAGATTAGTGCACTTTGCTAAACCAGAACCTAAGCCTGATGTAGATTTATTGCCAATTTTATTGTATCTTTCTAAATATTTAAGAAAAAATAAAAAATTAATTAGAAGGAAAAAATGAAGAAAAAATATGAAATAATAAGAAATCAATGAATTAATTCAAAAAAAAGCAAAATTTGAAAATAAAATAATGAATTAAATTTAGAAATATAGAAAAAAAAAACATATTTAAAATAAAAAGAAAAAGATAAATAAATCAAGTAAAAAACTAATAAACAAATTAAAAGTTTTTTTTTAAATTCATTTTTAAAACTAAAAATATCACAATCCAAAACAAATAGATTGTTTTTACTAAAAATAAAGTGTCAAATTAGAGAGATTAGTGCAATTTGCTAAAGCAGAGCCTAAGATTGATGTACCTTCATCACCAATTTAATGTCATTTTTAAGTTTTGAAGAGAAAATATGAAATAATAAGAAATGAATTAATTAATAATAATAAAAGCAAAATTTAAAAATAAAAAAATTATTTATATTAAGAAACATAGAAGAAGAAAAACAGTACTTACAAGAAAAAAGAAAAAGAAAGATAAATTAAATAAAAAGCTCATAAATAAATTAAAAGAGTTTTTTTGTTTTAAATTCATTTTTTTTATTAAAAATATCACAATCCAAAACAAATAAATAAACTGTTTGTTTTTACCCAATATTAAGTGTCAATTTAGAGAGATTAGGGCTATTTGCTAAAGCAGAACCTAAACCTGATATACATTCATCACCAATTTAATTTTTACTTTTAAATATTAAAGAAAAAATATATAATTAATTATAGCTATTCATATAAAATTATTTCTTGAGTAAGAAATATACATTTAGTAGAATAATAATTTTAAATTTATATAATATTTTTTTATTTTTTAAAAAAATTATGTGTGCGTGCCTTATTTCATATATATATATATTTCCTAAAATCATTTTTAATTTTTTGAAAAAGTTTTATATTCCATTTTAATTTTAACATTATGCAAACAACTAAATTAATTAAGCATTTCTTTGATTACTATTCTTGCGGTAACACCACACAAGAATTTTAATCCTAGAAGTGTTATAAAAATAATCATTTATTATTTCATTTTTCGCTTTTTGTTTTAAGTTTAAATGATTGAAAATAATTTTTTTTTTTTTGTTTTTTTATTATTAATTTTGTTACAAGTCATAAAATAGTTTTCGTAAATTCACAAATAAAATAAATATATTTCAAAATAAAATTGTTAAAAATGCTGATAATAGAGCAAAAGATAGAGAGATAGTATTTGATATACTGATTTATTCTGATTCAGTAGCATATAAAATTTGATGATCCTTTTATTATTTTTTCTCAAGCTGATCAATACTTTTTTCTATGTTTGTTTGATTTTTCAATTGGCCTTAGTGATCTATTGATGGTTTGAATAAGGTCATACATTCAACTTATTTATCAATAGAAGCTTATATTTTTTGAATTTTAAATTTACATTAAGATTTAATACATTATGCAACTGCATTAAAGGAATTTGGATTTTCATTACAATTTTTACTACAAAGAATTACTTATTCCATTTCATCAATGCAAGCTTAATCTGTATTTTCGCATTATATAGATACTTCTGGAGCCTGTAAGCATGCAAGAACTTTTAAAATATCCTCATAAGGTTCATCAAATTAAGCTTTTATCGTTGTTAAGGAAATTATACAGAGTAAAGTAAAGACAAATCTTCTCATTGATTTCTTATAAATATTAGTAGATTCTTTCTTATGTTTTAATATTTAATTATCTTTTAATTATTAAAATAAATATTACCATTTTTGAGTTTTAAAGAAATTTAATATCATTGTAATTTGTAACTTATTTTAATTTATTATATATTTAGCTTTTATAAATGTAACTTAATATTATTAAGTAAATCATAAAATCAAAGAATAGATAAGAAAAAAGTAATTAAATATTTCTAAAGCGTTGCGCTTAGTCAAATTAATAAAACGTATTTAAGAAGCATAAAATTTCAAAATTTAATTAATTATTTAATGCTCTTCATAATTCTAAAATATTTATAAATACTGTTTTTATAAATAGCAATTACTCGCATATTATTTTAGCAAACTCTAATTTAACCTTTGATATGAAATTAGTATAAAATTATGGAAAAAAATATTAATCTTGTCTAATTTATTTTCTTCAAATTTAGCTTTTGGCTGATAATTAATTAACAAAATTATTATCTTTTACTTTTATCATTAATAAAACTTATTGAAATATATGTTAAGGTTCTAGTTAAGTGTTTTTTCTTAAAAATTCATTGAGTTGGTAACTAATTTCTTTTTTAATTCGAGCATTACTTTTCTAAAATTGAAGTTTATTTTTTACTGGAATTAAAAATTAAATTTATAACGGAGTTATATAATAATAAATAAATTGGTATTGGTTAAGGTATTTAGTTTATTCATTCATACCTTATTCAAAATAATTTATATTAAAAAATTTATTATCTTCAATTTTCAAAGTTTTTAAATTGAGTGATTAAAACTTTATCAAAAGTATTAAGTTTTACAACTTGAATAATAAAAATAAATTATATTATATATCTTAAATAATGATGTCCTTTATAGACAAAATTATATTTAGATATTAGGTAAACCAGCTTAACTAATGAATTGATTAAGAATTTATAAATATGCTTCATAGTTAAGAGGAAATAGTAATTAATAATATTAGCTTTCAAATAGCAACTATTACATAACTATTAAAAAATTTTGAATTAATTTGACTTGCACGTTTTTTATTAATTATAGCTATAAATAAAGGTAATAGTAGTATAATCAAAATTAAAATACACTTGAATGATATTAAAATACTAGAAGTACAAAGTAATATAAATTATTCCCCTGATACCGCATAAAATTTCAATTTTTTGACAACTTATAAAATAATCATCTATCATTTTTGACATAATCGAATTAATACACAAAATAAATAAAAACATTTCACAAGTTTCATTTCAAAATATTTTTGAAAAATAATAATATTATATGAGAAAAATCATTAAAGAATATTAAACCTCTTTTCTTCAAAATTATTAGGTTATATATTTATTTATCTTAATTAATAAAGCGAAAGTTAATTTGATTGCTATCTTTGTTTGTTTGTTTGTATCTGTCTATCTATTTTCCTAACTTAATTTGCTAATAAAAAACAAATAGTAATGCGTTTATAATTGATTTTGAAAATAGAAAAATAATGTCTAATTTACATAATAAAAATAAATTTTAACAGCTAAAATTATAAATAATTAGATTAATTAAAGAAGAAAGTGATATTTATTAGACCAATATCTTACCGCTCATCATATTATAAATAGCAAAAAATTATGATTAATATCTTTTTATATTTCCTCATCAGAATATAAATAGTAAAGATAGAAAGAGAGTCTAATATTTATTTGATCAATCAATATCTTAATATTCATAATCTAATTAGCTAAAATTTCTCTTAGATTAATAAATACTCTAATTAAATATTGCTACTATAAAAACAGATACCATAAAGAGTCTTTTTATTTTTGAATAAAATTAGTATCATAAATTCATTTTTTAAAGCGCAAAAAAGTTAAGTTAATATTTTTATGCGACAACAATTTGTACTACTTAATATAAATACATATATTAATTTTTTAAGATAGATAGTCTATTTATTAGTTTTTGGAATAGATTTTAATTTTCATTTATAATTTACAAATAAATCTAATAAAAATTGCTGATAGAAAAATAATTAAATTCTACAGCTGTAAATACATATATTTGAATATTTAGTGAGATAATCTAAAATGATTATTTGTGAGCAAAACTAATTCTAAATAATAAATTTTCTATTTAATTGTATTTAACTCTGTCTAATTAATGTGTTTAGACCACAAAAATGTTTTCTAAGATTTTTTACATAGTCCTTTCCTTTCAAACTTAAAATATTATTAAATTTTTTCATTAGAACTTTAAATTTAATTAATTATAAAATAAAAATTCTACTTTATATTTTTCTTTAAAATCTCAATAAATTTTGTCTATTAAAAATATTGAATCTTCTTAAAATCTTAAATTTCTCAAAATGAATGATGATTTATCTACATGATTTTTAAATATATATTTAAAATAGAAATTCAAACCTTATTCATGAAGCAAGTATAGTAACTAAAATTAGAACATATGGCACATTCTAAAATATGCAAAATTTACTAATATAATTTTATTTTTATTAACTATATTACATAAAAAATCTTCTATCATTTTTAAATTACTTCTATGATTACTAAATTAATAACTACCCTACTTGCTTATCAATAGCAAACAAGCTAAAGCAGAATTTAATTCTAAAGAAATTCATACATTTTGAAATTTTTACTTCAAAAGTTAATAAAAATAGACAAATTTAAAGATTAGCAGGTAAATAAATCCTTATTAATAATTAAAATAAATCTATTATTTAATTATTTGTGTATTATAAATTAGATATAATTTATTTATTATTGGCATATAAGTATAATTTGTTTTAATTTGCTCTTGTTCCATTTACAAAAATAAAAAAATTAGTACATCGTACAATTGAAATGAGATTTATATTTAGTTGACTAAAAATAAATTAATCATAATCATTTAAGATTCTTTTGATTACTTTTTCTGTTCATTTGATATCTTTTACTACGCTTTCCTATTTAATTAATATATGTTACAGTCAAAAAATATAAATATTCGCTTTTCTTATAAATTCTTAATTAAAGACTTATTTTTCTATGATTAGAAGTAATTTAAATGAATTTGCATTTATAATTTTTCTACTTCTTAAATTGAACAATAACTTTGATCTAAATTAGTATTTTGCTTATTTACTAATTTTAATTTGCAGCAAAATTTACTTAAATTCTAAATAAGATCTTATACTGTAAGTTTATGATCACAAGTTATTAACGAATAACAAATAAATATTTGATTGTATATTTTGAATGAAATTAGTTTTTATTGCCATGCTTCTTTAAGTAGTAAGCAGGGTAGCTAGCTGGTTTTGAAATTTGAATTTAAAATAAATGCATTTCTTATGAGTAAACAATATTACTCAAAATAGAAGCTATCCCTATTCTTTTATTTAGTTTTTGCTTATATTTTATGGCAAATAAGGAAAGTAAGAAGTGCAAATTTTTGTTCGTAAAAGAGAATTATTTGATTATTTCTATAAAAATATCCTAATGTCATAAATCAGAATTTGGAAAATTAACTTTACTTGGAGGGTAATATCTTTTTTTTTCAAAAAATATTAAATGATAACCAACAAATTTTGTAAATTTTAAAGAAGAGGAAGATTGTTTTCAAAGATATTAAGAATCCCCCTATATTATTTCTTTTTTACGAATACTTAATTAAAACTTGCATATTTAAGTATTACTTCCTAATCAAGCTTACAATTTATATATTTATCACTTTAAAAGTATTTTTATTAACTTAAAACAATTAGTTTTTACTCCACAAAAAATTTACCTTACATTCCAAAATTATTTTCGCTAGCTTTTCATTCAACTGAATATTTTTAAATGGCAAATTTAAAATGAGAAATTTTTAATGTGATCTTAAAAAAAATAAAAATTGATATTATCTACTTAACGAAATATTAAAAACGATAGATTAATGAAGAACTTTTGAATAAAAATTATAATTTTTGCATTTCTAATAACTATGATTATTTTAATCTAATATCTATCTATCTGATGGATACAAAAGATATTTGTTAATTTTTCTAAAAAGTCTACAAATAAAAGTTGCTGCTTTTCTTCAATAAAATTTTTATTGCGTTAAAATAAGAATGTTAAATTGCGTTAAAATGTTTTAGATATACTTTATAAAATTATTTGTATTATATACTTTAATAATTTATAATATAATAAAGGAATGGAAAAATTTTATTTTGTTTTTCTCATGTACTTTTTCTATGAAATTGCTGTACATGTGTATTTACTATTCAATAGAAGAATGAAAAAAATTTATTTTGATGTTCCCATGTACTTTATCTATGAAATTCTTGTTACATATTTTTTCAAACTTTTTTTTAATTTTTGTAATTACTTTAAAGAAAAGAGTATCTATCTATCCATCTATCAACTACTTATAAATTCTTACTTAAACTTTTTTATTTCTTTTACTTTTTTAATATAATTAGTTTAATTTATATTGCTGTATTTTTAACAAAAAATCTGGGTTATTTACTTTTGCTTAACTTATACTTATTGCTGATTTAATGAGCTAAAATATGATAGTTTTTCATTTAAATAAGAACTTTTTGGGTTGGTTAGTAAAATTTAAATTAACTAGTTGAAATAATATTAATAAATTTTATCTTCTAGAATGGATTAAATGCTTGCGTGTTGTGCTAAGATGCAAGAAATTAACTTATGAATAAACTATAAATTAGATTATATTACTAAAGTAGATTGTAATTTTTTGAAATTTGGAGTTAAAATTTTCTTTTAATAAAAACTTCAACCAAGCTTGATATTTTAATTAATTTTTGATTCATGCTTTTGGGTTTTAATTTCATAATTCTTATAAAATCTTAATTAAAATTTTTATTACTACTTGTATTTATTTTTAGGTAAAAAAATATTCAAATTAAATAGGCTTAATAAATTATCTCCAAAAATTTGAATACTTATACTTGAATATTCTAATGACTTTAAAGTAAAATTGTGCTAATATAAGATAAAAGTTATATTGAATTTAGAATATTTTCTTTGTTTAAGCTTTCTACTGATTATTAGATATCTTAATCAATTTATTTATCATTTATATTTAAATAAATAAATAAATAAATAAATAAATACACTTTTTAATTGTGATTTTTCGAATATTTATACAAATTATTTTATCTAATATTTCAAGTTTGATAGTTAGAAATGATGAAATTAATATTTGAATCTAAGATAATCACTTAGTTAAGCTTAATAGATATTTTTTTTGTTTACAACCACACTTCTAATTTTTTGAATTTATTTTGCTATTTTCGTCAAAACTAATCTCTCTCTTTCTGATAAATACCTTTCAAGATTAATGATGCAATTTTTTTCAAAATAAAATACTATTTATCTTTTTAATGATATTGTTTAAAAATCAAACGATTTGAAACAATTATATGCATAATTGATAAATCAACAACATATTTGAATTATTTTTCTTACATAACTAATTCTATTAGCCTTCTTGAAGCAAATTAATTAATTTACTCCTATAATCAAACACTTACCAAACAAACTTCATTTATTACCTTATAACCTCTAAGTCTCTTGCCATGCTAATTCTAATATTTTTATAGAGGATATCACTCTTCTAATAGAAATTTTCTGCAAGTGGAAGCTTTTTCAGATTGATTTAAAAATCCCCCCATTGTAAATTGTCTCTTAAAAATCTCTAATTAAAAAATACCTATTTAGATATTTTTTATTAATTAATTAAGCTTACAATTTTTATATTCTATTGAAAAAGTATCTTTATTTATTTATTTAGTTAAAATTATAAGTGTTTATTCTAACAAACAAACTCTTTCTTCCATATATTTCAAAATATCTCCACTATTTGTTCTAATTAATACTTTTAAATGGCAAGTTTACAATGATACATTTTTAGTGCAATCTTTAAAAAAATAATAAATGAAAGTATCTACTTCCATAAATAAAAGTGATAAATTAATGAAGAAAATTCAAGAATTTTGAATAAAAATTTTTGCTTAATTTTGGAATTTCTAATTATTAAGATTATTTTTGTTTAATATCTGATGGGGAAAATCAAATTTTTCTTAAAAGTCTACAATTTAGAGATGCTGTTTTACAGCGACAGTAATAGGATTAAGACTATATTTTTAGAAAAAGTCTTACTAATTTATGAATAAAAATATATATTTCTTCTGTTTTTTAGTTTTAATTTTATAAAATACATTTCTTTATGTGTTTAAATAGAATATTTAATTGTTAAACTATGAATTAATTAATATATTTTATAGTTACTCAATAAAATTATTTATATTATAATATTTCATAATTTAAAAAAACAAAAAAAAAATGGAAAATTTATTTGTGTAAATGCTTTTTCTCAAATATTTTTTCAATATTTGAATTTGTTTTCTTTCTTACACAGCTGCTTCTATAAGTATTCTTGAAGCTTTTTAATTATTTTACTCTTATAACAAAACAATTACATAACAAAATTTATTTATTACATTCACCTCTAAATCTCTTCCCATGCTAATTAATTAAGATATTTTTACAGAGATGCTAACTTTCTTCAAGCTTTTTCGTTGATTAAAAAATTCCCCCACAAATTATTAATTTTAACACGCATATTTATATAGGTATTTCTTATTAATTAAACATAAAATATTTATATTTGTGATTTAAAAAGTATTTTTATTTAGTTAAAATGATTTGGGTTTATCCTAAAAAACCTTTACTTTACATTTAAAAATATATATCTTCACTTGCTTTTTGTTGAAATGAATATTTTTAAATGGTAAATTAACAATTATTAATGTAGTCTTTAAAAAAATATTAATCAATATTGAAAAAATATTTTATATTAACTTTATTTAATGAAGAAAATTCAAATTTTGAATAAAAAATTTTCTATTTGTATTTCTTAGTTTATTTTTCTAGTATCATCTGATGGGTACAGTACAAATCACATTTTTCTTAAAAGTCTACATTTTAAATTCTGCTTTTCTGTGATAATAATAGGATCAAACTATATTTTAAGAAAAAGTCTTATTTATTTATTATTAATAATATTTCTTCTGTTTATTAGTTTTAATTTTAGAAAACATATTCCTTACTTACTTCCTTTTTGTGTTTAAATATGTGTTTAATTGTTAAAATGTTTTATAATTACTCAATAGTCAATAGAATTATTTTTATTAAATTATTTCACAATCTATAAAAGCATATAAGAGAATGGAAAAAATGTATTTTGTGTAAACAAATAGTTTTTCTGATATATATTTAATAGGTTGATTTCAAGATTTTTTTTAATTTTTGCAATTAATTGAAGGTAAGAATTATTTATTTATTCCTTATAAATTCTTAATTAAAATTTTTAACTTCTTTTACTTTTTTTAATTATATTGCTGTATTTTCAACAAAAATCTTGATCACATACTTTATTAGTTTTTCTATTTAATTGCTTAATTTAATTACCTAAAATATGGTATTTTTTATTTTAAACAAGAACGGTTGTTTATAGCTAAACTGCATTTTAATATTCTTTATAGTAAACAGATAAAAGAATTGAAAAATTTATTTTGAGTAAACACTTTTTCTGATATTCTTTTTATATAAAATTGTTGTTACATTGTATATTTAATAGGTTGATTGCAAGATTTTTTGTGATTATTTGAAGGAAAGAAATATCTATCTATCTACTTCTAATAAATTCTTAATTAAAATTTCTTATTTCTTTTACTTTTTTTATTAAAAGAATTGAAATTATTAATACTGCTGTAGTATTATTACAAATAAATCTTTGTCATTTACTTTTTTTACTTTTTTAAGTTTTTGCAAGATTTGATTGGTCAATTTAACTACCTAAAATAAGATAGTTTTTCATTCAAATAAGAGCTTCTAAGTTTGTAAAAATCAAATCAGCAAGTTGTAATATAAATTACATATTTCTTAAAAGATCGAAACATAATTAGTTTTTTAGATTTCAAAAATTTTGAAAAAAATGGTATTATTTATTTATTTAGCAAGGTATTTATTTATCAGAAAGAGATATACATACTTTGATGTGATAACATCTAAACTCAAGAAATAGAGAAACGACTTTAAACAAAATGATTATTATCTTTTTTGATAATTATTTGCCTACTTTATTACAGTAAATCAACCAACCACATATTTGAACTTATCTTTTTTCTTACACAGATGCTTGTTTCTACTAGCTTTCTTGAAGCTCTTTATTTATTTTATTTTTGTAACAAAACACTTACCAAATAAAATCCATTTATTAATTACATTATAACCTTAAAACCTCTTACTTACTATGCTAATCAGATATTTTTATATAGGTATTAACTCTCTTAAAGTAAAAAATAGAAAGTGTAAAATTAGCTTTAAATCATAAAAATTAAATGAAATATCACGATCTGTACAATTACAGGATTAGCTATATTATAGATTAAAAATTTAATATCTGAAATTACTTACATATTTATAATAAAAAATCAAATAATAAATATTTTTTAATAATAATAAAATTATTTAGCTAACATTTTGCAAACAAATCTAGAAATTAAATTCTTACTTTTCAACATTCATAAGAATTTATTTAATACTTGAAATCCTATATATAAATTAGTTTTTTGTTAAGAAATTAATTAAGCAGATGAAGAAGCGCTAAAAGAATTAATGCTTGCTTCAATAACTAAAAAAAAAAGATTTTCTTCTATATTTTAAGGATATATTTGTCAATTTTAGAAAATAAATGAAGATAAATTGATTGTCTTCTAATATTTAACTTAAAATAATCCCTTTGAGTTCATAGATAGGAATGGAGCTTTAGTTTAAGGAGTAAGATTTGAAGACTTCAAATAATTCAAAAAAATAGGAAGCAGTTTCTCATTATAATATTTATTGGAGTAGCCAATTATGTGTGTAAGTTAATAGAATCATTTTATTCAACAATAATAGCAAAAGAAGAGCAATAATAGAAAGAATAATAAAGTTTGAACTTACTCAAGATGAATAATCCAATAATAAATACCCTGAAGCTTTACATACTTTATTAGCAATGTTACAAACAACTCCCCTACTAAATATTTTAAATCATATCCATAAACCTTGATTTTATTAGTATAAAGACAATCTTATTTATCAATATACACAAATTAGTATTAAATAAATGTCTTGCTTTTCAATATCCAAGATTTAATTTTAAAAACAAAATAATTTTATTTAAAATTAAATTTTGGATATTATATATATATATATAACATCACAAACAAACTTCACATTTTAATTTTTTAAAAATAAATAACTAACTATCTATGATATTTATTAGCATTAATAGATAATGCTGATATATTTATCTATGCTACCTATATTTTGGAGGATACTTTTTAAAAGTTAACCTAATTTATGATTAAAAAGAATGACAAAGAGAAGAGGAAAATTTGAATTTTGAAAAAAAATTAATAACCTCACAAAAGACAGACACTAATTAATTATCTAATTCTAATATTTAATTTAAGAAATCATATCTGATTATTTTTGATTTATTTACATGGCGCATGAAAACAAAAAATACAAATAAATCCATATTAGTATAAATTCTTAATTAAAACTTCTTCATTCGATTTGTGCAAAGATTAACTAATTGTGTTTACAATTTTTACAGATAATTTGATTCACTTAAATTAATTAGTACTTACTTTGCCACTAACTTGGTGAAAAACAAATAAATATTTGGTGATATATTTTGGAAGATTATTATTTTGTTTCAATATTTCAAAATTAGTAAGCAATGTTGTGAGCTATGTGTGTGGAAAATTTGAATTTGAGTAAAATCTTTTTTCTTAAACGCAAACAATATTTCTTTTATTATTGATTATCTATATACGCTTATTTTCTCTTTCAACTAATTTATGGTAACCAAATTAAATCAAAAATTGATAGTTTCTCTTACAAATTTTTAATTAAAATTTGTTTGCTAAGGTTTTTCTGATTAATTGAATCTACAATTTGTTATCCACTTATTTTAAATAGCATTTTTTTAATTAAATTACAGATATTGTGGTATTAAAAATAACAATTATTTACCTTACATTTCAAAAATGTTTTCTCTTTCGTTGAAGTGAGTATTTTTAAACAATCAATTTTTATTTTGCAATATGACAAATAAATAATTAGTTGATTGATTGTATTTTTCTATTAAAAAAATATTTTATTACCTGTTTCCATAATTAAAAATGGATAATTTGAAAAACTTTTGATCTTTGAGAAAAAAAATTTCTTATTTTGCATGCATATCAATCTATTTACTTTTATTTGATCTACATAAAATATATGTGTTAATTTTTCTTTAAAATTCATATTCTTGCTTAACTAAATCTATTCCTATATATTAAGAGAAATTCTTATTAACTATTATAAATTAGAATTTCCTCTGCTTTTTGCTTTTTGTTTGCTTTAATTATCTAAAATAATTTCACTGTTTGCTTAAACAGGAATTTCTAAATGGTAAACTTTGAAAAATAAAGTTTTTTTGTAATCTTAAAAGAAATAAATATTATATATTCAATATAATTAATAAGATCATTTTATTTCATAATTTATAAAAACAGAAAAGAAATAAAATTCAATTTTAAGTAAGAAAGTACATTTCTCATTTGCTATTACTCTTTTAAACTTTTTAAATTATATATTTTAATATAAGGACATCATCCCTTTTTAACTTTGATCATTATTTTATGCAAACAAATCATACACTCCTAATAAATTCTTAATTAAAAATTTTTTGTAGAAATGTAATTAGTTGATTTACATCGCTACATTCAACAAAAATCATATATTCTTTAATTTCTCTTATAGTCACTCTGCTTAACTAAAATATGCTAGATTTTTCCTTTAAATAATAGTTTTTAAGTTGATCAGCTTCAAGCAAACCATGATGCTACAATATCATAAAAAATAATAGTTTAAAAAAAAATATTTTATTTAATCATATTTCATAATTAAAAAAGATATATTATATATATATTTTCTTAGTTTAGTTTGTGGAAGAAAAATTGAAATTTGAAACAATCTGATCTTTTTATTCATTAAAAAGTATCTAGAATCTATCAGTCAAAAACTTTTAGCTTTACTTTTATAATTTTTGACAAATACTTTTAATAGATTCTTAAATATTCTTAGCTTATTTGCTTTCATGTAATTATATTTAAAAATCAAATCTTATTAGATAACTTACATTAGTATTAGCGTCTAATTGCTTGCTTCATTAACTTTTTAGAAATCATCTCTTTTATTTTTCAATTAAATAATAATTTTCGAATTAGTAAACTTCAAGCTAATTCATTAGTTGTAATGTAAGAATTAAAAAAATAATTTATTGTATATATAATATTTTACATTGAATATCTGGGGGGATGGGGGGTGGATTACATGCGATGGTATTCAAAAATGAATGGAAATTTTTATTTTAATTTTTTATATAGAGTTTAAAATTAGGGGTCGTTCTTTCTTCAGGTTACCTACCTACCTATTTTCCTATATATTATTACTTGTGTAAAAGTTATTGAAATAATAAAATAGATACTATCTATTGTTATTAAGTAACATACAGTCAATTAATTTGGGTTTTATTTTATGGTAAATAACAATTCTATTTAAGAAATCTATTCAATTAATAATTCAAGTTATCTTACTCTTTATTAATCAAATTTAGGAAAATATCTAATTTCTTTATCAATTTTACAGATTTATATATATAGCATTTTTTCTTAACTCAATTGATAAAAATAATCAATTAATACAAAACAAAAATAAATTAACTAAATTAATTAATTAAAATAAATGAAATAATTTGCCTTATTGTTTCTTGCTTTTGTTGCTATTACTACTGTTAATGCCTACATAAGTAAAGATTAAATATACTAGTTTAATAATTGCACAGAAAAAATACAACTTCCTTGCGATAGAAGCAACACTGATTGCTTAAAATAAAAGGCTAAAGTTGAAGATTGCTTAGATTATTGTTTTGATGGAAATTGGAATACTCTATCTATGGGTGATGTAAATAATTGTTATTAAGATTAATGTATACCCTATGCTAAAAATAGCACGTAGAGTACTGTCAGAACCTATGCAAGTTAACTTGGCTATTGTTTGAGCTCTGGAATTATCTCATTCGCTTTCATTCTCTTGGCTGTCATAGTTTCAGTTTTGTTTGTACAACATTGAAATAATAAATTGAAATAATTTTAATTATCATTAATGTAATTGATGTATTATTAGGTATTTATTTATTTTGTAAGATTAATAATACAAATTTATTTTTTATTTCAAACCTTTACTAAAAGAATTTAATTTATTAAATATATTAAAAAAAATAATCTAAATTAAGTAAATAAATAAGTATTAAGACATAAATTATAATTTTATTTATGTTTATCATAAAACAAATAAAAATAATAAAACAAAAATTACAAATAAATCCATTTTAGTATAAATTTTTAATTAAAACTTCTTAATATAATTTGCTCAAAGATTAACTAATTGTGTTTACAATTTTTACAAATAATTTGATTAACTTAAACTAATTAGTACTTACTTTGCTACTAATTTACTTAACTTTTGATTTAAATTTAGATTTTTTTACAAATAAAAACAAATAAATATTTGGTGATATATTTTGGCAGATTTATATTTTGTTTCAATATTTCAAAATTAGTAAGCAAAGTAGTGAGCTATGTGTGTGGAAAATTTGAATCTAAGTAAAATCTTTTTTCTTAAACTAAAATATATTTCTTTTATTATTGACTATCTATATCCGCTTATTTTCTCTTTTAACTAATTTATGGTAACCAAATTTAATCAAAAATTGATATTTTCTCTAATAAATTTTTAATTAAATTTATTTGCAAAGGTTTTTCTTTCTGATTAATTAAAGCTAAAATTTGTATATCCACTTATTTTAAATAGTATTTTTTAATTAAATTACAGTCAGATATTGGTATTAAAAAAAATAATTATTTACCTTACATTTCAAAAATGTTTTCTCTTTCGTTGAAGTGAATATTTTTAAACAATCAATTTTTTATTTTGTTTTATAACAAATAGATAAATAATTGATTGTATTTTTCTATTCAAAGAATATTTTATAATACCCCTTTCTTTAATTGAAAATGGATTGACTATCCTTATTTGCTTATTTTCTCTTACAACTAATATTTATGGTAACAAATTAAACCAAAAATTGATACTTTCTCTTATAAATTTTTTATTAAAATTTGTTTGCTAAGGTTTTTCTGATTAATTAAATCTACAATTTGTTATCCACTTATTTTAAATAGTATTTTTTTAATTAAATTACAGATATTGTGGTATTAAAAATAACAATTATTTACCTTACATTTCAAAAATGTCTTTTCTTTCGTTGATGTGAATACTTTTAAACAATCAATTTTTATTTTGCCATATGAAAATAAATAATTAGTTGATTGATTGTATTTTTCTATTAAAAAAATATTTTATAATACCTGTTTCCATAATTAAAAATGGATAATTTGAAAAACTTTTGATCTTTGAGAAAAAAAATCTCTTATTTTGCATGTATATCTATCTATATATTTACTTTTATTTGATCTACATAAAATATATGGGTTAATTTTTCTTTAAAATTCATATTCTTGCTTAACTAAATCTATTCCTATATATTAAGAGAAATTCTTATTAACTATTATATATTAGTATTTCCTCTGCTTTTTGCTTTTTGTTTGCTTTAATTATCTAAAATAATTTCACTGTTTGCTTAAACAGGATTTCTAATTGGTAAACTTTGAAATATAAAGTTTTTTTTGTAATTTTTAAAGAAATAAATATTATATATTCAATATAATTGATAAGATTATTTTATTTCATAATTTATAAAAATTCAATTTTAAGTAAGAAAGTAAGTACATTTCTCATTTGCTAATACTTAAATAAAACTTTTTAAATTATATATTTTAATATAAGGACATCATCTTTTTTTAACTTTGATCATTATTTTATGCAAACAAATCATACATCCCTAATGAATTCTTAATTAAAACTTTTTTGGAGAAATGTAATTAGTTGAATTTACATCACTACATTCAATAAAAATCATAAATTCTTTAATTTCTCTTATAGTCACTCTGCTTAACTTTAATGTAATTATTTTTAAAAATCAAATCTTATTAGATAACTTACATTAGTATTAGCATCTAATTGCTTGCTTCATTAACTTCTAGAATCATCTCTTTTATTTTTAAATTAAATAAATATTTTCGAATAAGTCAACTTCAAGCCAATCTACTAGTTGTAATGTAAGATGTAAAAAAATAATTTATTGTATATATAATATTTTACATAAATATCCTACAATTAAATAAAATCTTTAGCAGTTAAAACTTGGGATTCAATTAAATTACTACTTGTATCTTTTTATTTATTGAAAACTCTAAAATTTTTAATTACAATAAATTCAAGCTTACTATTTTTAACTAATTGGCAAATATAAAAATTATTTCTTATTTATTATTATATATTGATCTATAAATAAATTGGGAAATTTATATTTTGGATATAATATTTTATTTTTGAATGAAATTTTTATATCGAGTTTAAAATTAGGGGTCGTTCGTTCTTCAGGTTACCTACCTACCTATTTTCCTATATATTATTATTTGTTTAAAAGTTATTGAAATAATAAAATAGATACTATCTATTTGTTATTAAGTAACATACAGTCAATTAATTTGGGTTTTATTTTATGGTAAATAACAACTCTATTTAAGAAATCTATTTAATTAAAGTCAAGTTATCTTACTCTTTATTAATCAAATTTAAGAAAATATCTAATTTGTTTATTAATTTTACAGATTTATATATATAGCATTGTTTTCTTAACTCAATTGATAAAAATAATCAATTAATACAAAACAAAAATAAATTAACTAAATTAATTAATTAAAATAAATGAAATAATTTGCCTTATTGTTTCTTGCTTTTGTTGCTATTAATACTGTTAATGCCTACATAAGTCAAGATTAAATAAACTAGTTTAATAATTGCACAGATAACATAAAAGTCACTTGCACTTCCGAGAATATTGTTCCTTGCAGAAATTCAAAGATTGATATTGATACTTGCTTAAAAAGTTGTATTGGAGATTTAAAATCATAAACTATGGGTGGAGTGAAAATTTGTTTTGATCAATCATGTTTACCCATCGCTAAAAATAGCACAATCGTTAGTATCTAATAATATGGAAGTTAACTTGACATTTGTTTGAGCTCTGGAATTATTTCATTCGCTTTCATTCTCTTGGCTGTCATAGTTTCAGTTTTGTTTGTACAACATTGAAATAATAAATTTAAATAATTTTAATTATCATTAATGTAATTGATGTATTATTAGGTATTTATTTATTTTGTAAGATTAATACAAATTTATTTTTAAAAATTTTTAATTAATTTCAAACCTTTACTAGAAAAATTTAATTTATTAAATAAATTAAAAAATATTAATCTAAATTAAGTAAATAAATAAGTATCAAGACATAAATTATAATTTCATGTTTATCATAAAACAAATAAAAATAATCTTAAATTTTTTCTAAATCTTTAAATCATTAATCAAATTTATTTGTTGTGTTTGTTTTTTCAAAAAAAAGTATTTATTTTATTACAAGTTAAAATTATTTGATTAGAAAGAAATTTAATATTAATAAAATAAAATAGAGGTTAAACTTTATGATAAGAATTAATTCTTATGTGAATTGATTTTAAGAGTACAGCTATTTTTCATTTTTCAAGCTTTTATTTCAATAGATTTAAGTACCTTTTTAATTTTGGATAGGCTTATGATAATTAATATTAAAAGAAATTTAGAAAAATATTTCACTAAAAAAAATTAGATTAAATTTTGAAAATCTTACTCTGTTAATTTAGAAAAATAATGGAATATTTGAAAATTATTTTAATTAAACTTTATTAATATTTTTTCAATGAAAGTAAGTAAATTCTTTAAAAATTCTAGATATTTTGAAGGAAAAAAATGAATTTGTCTGAATTTTAATAAAAAATTTAAATAAATTTCAAAAAAGCTTGTTTGTTTATTATAATATATCTTTATTAAATCAAAACACTAAATTTCGTTAATTGTAAATCGAAATTGCATTTTACTATAAATATTTATTCAAAAGTAAAAAAATTATTTATTTTTTTATCAATATTATAAATAATGTATATTGATATTCCACCAAGTAGTAATAAAAATAATAAAAAAGACTTTTGACTCAAATATTCAATTTTACTTGAAGTTTTTTTTCCAGTATTTTTGATTAAAAAAATTCGATATGAATAATATATACTAAGTAAAAATAGATACAAATTAATTAATTTACTATAACTAATTTAATTAAGCTTAAAATAGTTAATTTTGTTAATATTATTGGTAACTTATTTTATACATATTATTAACTCATTCCTTACTGTTCACAATATAGATAATATCAATTTTTTAAGCAAGCACTCCTTAAGTTAAAAGGAAAATGTTAAACTGAGATATTCTAGCAGAAATATATTATTATTTTATTAATTATTTTTTTGATAATTTCACTATTTTAATTTTATGAAGAGATTAATTATTAAATACAGCTTTTTATTTAAATATTAATTAATCAAAAGATTATATTCATTAAAAATGAATTAAAATTTTTTTTAGAGTATATGTAATTAGTAATTAAACACATATGCATAGCTAGCTATTTATATCAATTCTTTTTTCTAAAAAGTTAAACTAAAATTAAACCGCTAAGAATAGTTAGTTAATAATGATACAAATAATGAATTTAATAATAAAAAGTAATAAGCATTTTTAAGAATATTTTAATTTTTAATCATTTATTATATTCAGTAAACAAATTTAGATTTTTTATCTAAAAAGCGAACTCTATAAATGGTTAGCTTTTATAAGTATTTTAATTATCTTAGTAAGTTACTTACTTTTCTAATTATCTAAATAATATTGCAAAAAAGTTAGTTTAAATTGTTATAGCAACTAGACTTAAGTAATTTTATATGTTATTGTTATATAAGTAAGAGCTCTTAATAAGCTAACAATTATTTAATTACATACTTATAATAACCTTGTAATCTCTAATGAATTCTTAGTCAAAACTATTGTATATTTCATTCATTAATATAAAAAAACTGTTTATTTGTAATTTGAATAACTAGTCTTAATTACCGTAAGTACTACTTCATTCTAATCACTTTAGTTAATGTACATACCGTTATTTCCCTGCCTATTATAATAATTATGCAAAAATATCACACCAATTACATGTAGCCTTATAAAAGAGAAATTACCAGTTATTAGGAATGATCAAAAATTTATTTTTAAATAGCTAAATCTATTTATCGCATAATAAAATAATGGTAATATTAATTTTTGTTTTTTAACAAGTTCTAATTAATAAATATTTACTGAATAAGAATAAATAAATTGTAAAATAAAGCAAAATCAATTGAATTGAATAAATAGTATCAGTTTAATTTTTTTTACATATAAAATCAAAATTATAATTTTACCTAAAAAATCTTTCTTTTTTATTTTAAATTAGCACAAATTTAATTTAATTAGCTTTGCTAAATTAAAAATAACTATTTTTATTACTCTTGAATAGCCATAATTCTGCTCTTTATATCTGAATCAGCAATTTATATCAATTGATATTTATATTTTAAATTTAAAAATAATAGCATATTTTTAATCTAAAATATTTCCTAGAAAACTAAATTTTTGTTTGTTTGTGCGGAGAATAATGAATGATATAAAAACTTATAATTTCATAACTAATAGTTATATTGTAAAAAAGAAATCATCAGTATTTAACTCTGTTTATTAACTAGCTAATTTCGTAGTGTTATTTGCATAAAATTTCATTTATCAATATTTATTGTAAAACATTATATATATCTCTTTGATTTATTCTTTAAATTTCTCATAAAATTATCTTCAAAAAAATTCAATTTGAATAATTTGCTTCATGAATTTTTATTAAAATCAAATATTTAATTTTCATGCTTCTAATATAAAGTATTCAAAGTTATTTGAATTATTATTATTATTATTTAAAATTAAACTTTACTGTAGATTTTACATGTGATACGGATGGAATCAATAATGGAACTTTTTAAAAATCCACAATATTTTTTCAAAAAACTAAATAATTTAAGGTGCTAGATCGCTGCTTTTAAGAGGAAATATAGTGTGTTTTGAAATAATCTAAACTCGAATAATCATAGATATTTTGGATTTTTTTAAATTATAATTTATCTTCATATATTTTTGAAAGAAATACTTTTTATATTAATTTAATAATTCACTTTTTTATGCTTTTATATTTAAAATGTGTATTTTTAGGCTATTTATTTATCAATTCTCAAAATATTTTCTTTAAATATTTACATAGAAATTAGAAAGAAACGTATGAAAAAAAATAAAATTATAGATTTTTACTAGTTTATTACTGTCATATATATTAAGAATTATTAATTCTGATAAATTAGTAATATATCTCATACTTTTAGTAATAGTTATTTGATCTAAATTCTTTGAACTTTTTTACTATTAAATGTAGTATTTTATTTTGGGATTAGGTCAGCCAGTTTAAACAATAAGTTAACTTAAATTATCATAGTCTTAAATTTACTTTAAACATTTAAGATATAAATCAAATTTACAGAAATATTTAATAATTTGCGGATTTGATAAAGTTTACAAACAAACAAAAATTGAAATTTACAAAAATGAGAGTTCTTGCCTTAATTTTAATGATATTAGTTGGGATATCTGCTTTTTAAACATAGACTGTTGATGCAATTCAGTAAATGGACGACTGTTTTAAAGATATAGATATATTAGATCCTTGTTAGGCCAACGATAAAGTTTGTCTGGTAGAAAAAGAAAAAGGGTTAGATTGTATTTATTACTGTAAAATTAATAGCTAATTTGTTAATGTTATTAAATAATGTATCTAATCAAAATGTAGATCTAAAAATCATGTAATTTAAACTATTATTTTTTAATCTTTTTAATGCCTTAGCTAAAATGCTTTATCTTTTGCTCTTACAGCACTATTAGCTATTACATACGTTCTATATTGAAATCTAAATAAAAATTATTTGTAAATATGTTTATATCATTATTTATTTATTTATATCAGCTACTATTTATAATAAATGTTAAAAAATATAATTCTAGAATTTTAATTTATTTGTAATTAATTATGTTTATATTTCTTTATGTTCTATTTTATTTATTAGTGATCGACCGAATAAGACTTTTTTTGATTACTCAATAATTTAATAATTTTAAAAAGTATATATTATTAAATTTTAAAAATAAATAAATTAAAACAATTTAAAATTGGTATACATTCTCATTATTATATAATATATTACAAGCCTAAAATTTTAATTATTATTATCATATTTAGTAATAATCAATCATAAATAATTATTTTTTAATTTTATTTTATTTCTATCCTCAAAAAAATAAAAAAATGAATGAATTTTAAAAATAAAATTTATATCACTACAATTATAATTATGTTGTAAAATATCTCAATAAGGCAATTTGCCCGAGTTGGTTAAGGGGGACGACTTAAGATCGCCTGGATGTAATCCGCGTGAGTTCGAATCTCACAGTTGCCAATATTTTTTTTAATTAAATTAAATTTTCTTTTTAAAATATGTTATAGATAAGAAAGAATGAGTGTTAATTAAATTCTAAATTACATTCAAAGATTTTTAATAACAAAATCAATAACTAAATGAATGGATAAACAAATAAATAAATAAATAAATAAAGAAAGAAAGAAAGAAAGAAAGAAAGAAAGAAAGAAATTTTAAACCTTACAATTTATTAAGAAAACTATTCTATCAAAATAATTTTAAATAAATTTTAAATTCAACCTACTTGATTACTATAATAATTACTTTGTATTATTAAATTAAAATATTATTTAAATAATCATTTTGATATTTATTTGTTGATAGAAGTTCATTTAATTTCCCTTTATTTTATTTATTTCTATTTGCCAATAAAAGTATGAAATTATTAAAACATTAATTTTTAATTTAAATTTTATATTATTTTAATGGGATAAATAATATTTTATAAGTAGAAATACATAAATATTTCATTCAGGTAGCTCTTCAATTAACATCTATATACGTTATTTTTAATTTTGTACTCCTTCCTTTTTAATTCATCTTATAAATCTGTTTATTTTATGCTAAAAAATGGTACGTTAATCATCAAATAATAATTATAACTAAATTTTTATTAATTTATGCTGGTAGCTAGTTTTGAATAGAAAATTTGTTATGAGATAATCTAATTTGGCTGGCTATTGATTTTTTCACTAATTCTTAATTTTCTCATTCATTACTTTTTTATTTCAAAAAACGAAGTGAAAGGATGGATTTAAGGATCTATAAAAACAATTAATTCTTACATAGCTTGATTTGTTCTTTTAAAATAAAACATTTATATTTTTATAGTTGATTTATTAATTAAATAAAATGACAATTTTAAAATTAAAATATTGTGGAAATTTATTTTAAATAATTATTTATATTTTGACATAATTGAGAATAAAAAAAAATTGTATTCAATTCTGCTCAGTATAATTTATCTGATTCGGATCAATCATAGCCCTCAACTAAATATTAAATTTATGAGAGGAGAAGATATTCAACTTTTAGAATATTTCATTGTTGGTTTATCACTTAAGTATAAACATAATTTTCCTCCATATTTTAATATCAAATAATATTGAAAGAATAAAAAATAATTTTGATTATCAAACGCTAAATGACAAGCAATATAATTTAGCCCTCTGTTTTACATTATTTTATTGCATTTATGAGATAATATTGCATCAATCTTAAATAAGAATAGAAAATAAATTTTGTATTAGGCAATCAGAAAAATTTATTAGTTTTGGCTTTAGCTTTTATCAATAAGAAAATTTGAATTTTATTCTTTCTATAAGAAAAAAAATACTTTATCTATTTTTTGCAAATACATAGAAATAAATTTTAAACCTGATGATGCAAAGCTAATTATTATTATTATTGCTGCAAAAAAATTGATGAAATTCCAAATATCTTTGATAAGTATTGATATATTTTTCTTTATTATTTTCATTTATAGCTTTTGCATTGCATAATTAATACAGAAAACAGATATAAAATAAATGCTTTTTTCAAAAAAAATATTTTTCCTATTGTTTAACAGAAAATTTTTGTTTCGACGATCAGAAGATTGACTGCCAATGTGAGACCTAATAATTTTCATTATGCAGTATACATTTAAATATACATAAAAATCGCAGAAGAGAAAATATAAATTAAAAAAAAAAAAAAAAATTGAAAGAACTAATTAAAAATCAAGAAAAGAATGAACTTTAAGTATATTTTACTATTAGTTATCGTCCTCTTTGCTACAGTCAGTGCTAGCTAAGAAGAATGCTTTGCTTAGTGTGATGAATGCTTGAAGAATTGCAAAGACCCTGGACATGCTACTGGCATTGATTGTGCATCTGAAAGAGCTAAATGTTATACTTATTGCTATAACCTTGGTCATCCTAGCTGCTCTCCACTCAGTTTCTTGAAGAAGAAACTTTGAATATTGATTCAATAATATTAAATTATCAATTAATTTGGATGAAATATTCATGTATGTTTTTATTGTGTTGTTCGTTCAAAGAATAAAATATTTTTTAAATCTTAAAAACACAACACATTTTCATATTTTTTACAGCAGTATTCTTATTTAAAATCATTTCATTCAAAACTGAACCAAAAGTTTTTACTTTTTAAAAATTTTAATTAATGAATTTATTATTTTCAAATAAGCAACATATTCAGAATTCAAAAAATAGCAATTTAACATAATAAAATGATGATAAATGTTTTTTCTAGATGTTTATCATTTTTGTTATGGAATAAAATGTTGTTCTTAAAAAATTAAAATCAAAATCAGTCATGTCATTTATATTCGTATTTATTATTTAATGAATTAAAATTTAATAAATAGTTAATCATTTAATCATTTTAATGAAATTAGATTTAAATTTATTTATATTTATTACGTTTAAAATAATTAATTTATTTTCTTAAACTGAGCATATAGAGTAATACAAGAAGTACTTAACTCAGCTAAATATTTTAGAGATATTGTGAATTGTAGAGAAATGCTTAAATATTTTTATATTTCAACATTAGCAAACAGAGGAAGTTTTTGACTTTTTATAGGAGAAATGCTTTTTATATTTCTGCTTGACAGGAAAATTTTATATTTAGTTTAATTTTAACATATATTTATTTACTTTATTATTTAAATTATTATAAACTATTAAAATCATTTATTCGTAAAATTGATAAAATATATTTTTAAAATTAAAATTTAAAACACAGTTAATCAATTTATTTGGAATTAGATTTAAATTTTTTTATATTTATTTTCATTATTTTGCATTAAAACAATTTTTTTCTTGATTTGAGCAAAAAATAAATTAATACAAGAAGTTTTAGCAACTAAGCTAAATATTTTAGAGATTTAAATAACTTAATTAATGAGAAAAATAAATACTCAAATTTAATCATTAGCAAATAAATGAAGTTTTTTATTTTTTATAGGAGAAATGCTTTTTATTAATGTTTGACAAGAAAAATTTATATTAAGTTAAATTTTAACAAGCAGACATTTATTTACTTTATTCTTTAATTTTTTATAAACTATTAAAATCATTTATTAAAAAAATTCAAAAAATAAATTTTTAGAATTAAAATTATTTAATACTCATTTCATCAATTAATCATTTTATGAAATTAAATTTAAATTAATTTTTAATATTTATTTTGATTATTCTGCTTTAAAACAATTTTTTTTCTTAAATTGTACAAATAAAGTAAGACAAGAAGTATACATGACTTAGCTAGATATTTTAGAGATTTAATTGAATTGATGAGAAATACTAAAAAATATTTATTTATATTTAGGCATTTGCAAACAGAAGAAGTTTTTAACTTTTTATAGGAGAAATGTTTTTTATATTTTTGTTTGACAATAATATCTTAAATTTAGTAAATATTAACAAACAAACAAACATCTATTTAATTAATTATTTATTTTTTTATACTACTATATCATTTCTTCAGAAAATAGATAAAATATATTTTTAGAATCGATGCACACTTAGTTTATCAATTAATCAATCATTTATTTTTATGAAATTAAACTTAGTTTAATTTTTTTATATTTATTTTGATTTTTCTGCTTTAAAACAATTTTCTTAAATTGAAAAAATTAAGTAAGAAAAGAAGTATAAATGACTCAGACAAATATTTTAAATGAATTGATGAGAGAAATACTCAAGCATATTTATTTATTTATTTATTTTGAAGAATTAGTAAACAGATGAAGTTTTTTATTTTTTAGAAGAAATGCTTTTTATATTTCTGCTTGACAAATAAATGTTATCTTTAGTTAAACAAAACTAAGATCTATTTACTTTATTCTTTAATTTTTATATAAATCACTAAAATAATTTATTCAAAAAATTGATAAAATTATTTTTTTAGAATTAAAATTCAATACATTCTTAATCATTTAGTCATTTTTATTCAATTAAATTTTGTCCATATTTATTTTTGATTTTTCTGCTTTAAAATAATTTTTTTCTTAAATTGAGCAAATAAAGTAAGACATGAAGTATTTATAATACACGAATCTGCTAAATATTTTAGAGATTTGTGTGAATTGAAGAGAGAAATACTTCAATATATTTAAGCATTAACATACAGAAGAAGTTTTTTATCTTTTAGGAGAAATACTTTTTATATTTCTGCTGCTTGACTAATAAATGTTAACTTTAGTTCAATAAAACTAAGATCTATTTAATTTTTTTAAAACTATTAAAATAATTTATTCAGAAAATTGAAAAAATACATTTTTAGAATTAACATTTAATACATTCTTAACCATTTAGTCATTTTCATGAAATCAAATTAAATTTTTTTCATATTTATTTTGATTATTCTGCTTTAAAACAATTTTTTTCTTAAATTGAGCAAATAGAGTAATACAATAAGTATACATTACCCTGCTAAATATTTTAGAGATTTATGTGTATTTATGAGAGAAATACTTAAACAAACATATTTATCTAAATTTAAGAATTAGCAAATAAATGAAATTTTTTATTTTTTATAGGAGAAATTCTTTTTATATTTTATTATTGATAAGAAAGTCTTATTTTTATTTAAATATAACTAAAATTTATTTCCTTTATTCTTTCTTTAATTTTTATATAAACTATTAAAATAATTTATTCTGAAAATTAATTAAAATATATTAAAAATAATTAAAATTTACTTGAGAAAAAAAAATGAAGAAGCTCTAATGTTGAGACATATTAACTTTTAGACATCCAATTTAATACATAAATTGATATTTTTGTCTATTAGATTAGCTTATAAATGAAGATTTTAATTTTTTAATAGGAGAGATTGATAGATGTATTTCTATTTCTGTTTGATAAGAAATTTTGGTCTAAAATTAATCAGATTTAATATTTATTTACTTTCTTTAACTTTAATTTGAATAAAATTAAAATATAGATTAGTGATCAAAAAAGAAATTAATTATTTTTTATTAAATTCATACCTTACAATTTCTAATGGGGATTAAATTAACTTTTGTTAATTGAAGAATTTTATATAATAACTCTAAATTTCTAAAAACCTGAGTTAGCTCAAAATTTATAGTTTATCATAAATATAAATCACAGTATATCTTACATCAATGTATTAAATGAAAAAAACATGTTCTATATCTTTATTAAAAATTAATTTTATGTTTTTTAAATTTGTAGTAGAGCAGTATTTGATAAAAATTAAGAGTTTATAATTTCTTTTATTAAAAATAATTAATTAGTTTTTTGATTAGAAGGAATTAGTAAATTTTTGATGATAATCAATTTTTGCCTAATCTTATTTGAAGATTAGGATAGGTATTTGTCATTCTTTCTTACTTATTAAATAGATAGAAAGGCATAAATAATATTTATGATTAAAAATGAAACAAATAAATATAACATAAAAAAAAATCAAGAAAAATGAACTTTAAATATCTTTTACTATTAGTTATCGTCCTCTTTGCTACAGCTAGTGCTAGCTTAGAAGAATGCTAATCTTAGTGCGACGAGTGCTTGAAGAATTGCAAAGATCCTGGACATGCTATGGCCATTGATTGTTCATCAGAAAGAGCAAAATGTTCTGCTTATTGCTCAAACCTTGGTCATCCTAGCTGCTCTCCATACAGTTTCTTGAAAAAGAAATTTTGATTTCTCATTCATAAAAATACTTAATAAATTTGAATGAAATATGCATGAAATGCTTTAGAAATAATAAAAATATAATACTAACATCTTAAAAAGGCTTATATTTGTATTATTATATGTTTTTCTTATCTTAGTTATTTTTACATTTAATTTTGATAATGAATATGAATTATTTGTTTTTATAATTAATTGCAAAAATAGGTTATACTAACACTTCAAATCATCATTTTTGCTTAAAAATTATTTTTTTTTAATAAAAAGATAAAATAAAAAAATAAATTAGTCTTATTATATTTATTAAACTAAAAAATCAATAAAATTTAAAAATTAAATTTATTTTAATTTAATTAGGTAAATAGTACTAGCAAATATAATTTCCTCTTATCTATTTTTATTGCAAATAAATAAAATATGTAATTAATCATTCAGTCATTAATAATTATTTCATTAGTACTTAAGTTTATATGATTAGATTTAATTAATTCTAATAAAAACAAAAATTTTTAAATTATAACTAAAAATTTTTATGTATAAATAATATATCCAGTTGAAGAAATTGCAATTTAAAAAGAGATTATTAGATACCAAAAATATTTTAATTTAAAACATGTAAGAAAATATAATTTTTTCAACTGTTATTTAGGAGACATATTTTATATTTCTGTTTGATAAAACAAATATAAAGGGGGTAGAAATCTAATATTTCATTGATTTTAATGATCTTTTTGTTATCTATTAAGAAGGGTCATTTAAAAAAAAATATTGGAAGAGAGAGTCGCTTTAATTAATGAGGGATGATGGTATATTTAAATAAAGAAATAATTTTGCTAAAAATAATAACATAACACTTGCATTTCAAAATTAAAAAAATACTCTGCAATTATAAAAATATAAAATATTTTAAGTTTAGATTTAAAAGGAAATAACCAAATATCTTAATAAGGCAATTTGCCCGAGTTGGTTAAGGGGGACGACTTAAGATCGCCTGGATGTAATCCGCGTGAGTTCGAATCTCACAGTTGCCAATATTTTTTACTTTTTATAAGTTAACAAATTATTTATAAAAATGTTAAATTATTGTAAATGAAATTATATTTTGATTAAATATTAAATTAACTGATAAAAATCTTAAATTCTATTATGATAATATGCAATTTCTTGAAAAAATATTATCATAAAATTTAATTAATTAATTAAATAATCGGTTAAAATTTATTTTTAATTCATTAATACTGATTATATTAAAAACATAAAATAATTTTTAATAAAAAAGTATAAATATCAATAACCAAATATCTTAATAAGGCAATTTGCCCGAGTTGGTTAAGGGGGACGACTTAAGATCGCCTGGATGTAATCCGCGTGAGTTCGAATCTCACAGTTGCCAATATTTTTTACTTTTTACAAATTAATAAATTATTTATAATAATGTTAAATTATTGAAGATTAAATTATATTTAATAATATTTATTCTATTTTATATTTTGATTAAATATTAAATTAATTAATTAAAATCTTAAATTCCATTTTGATATTATGCAATTTCTTGAAAAAAATATTATCATAATTCTTATTTATAATTAATTAATTAAATAATTAGTTAAAGTCTATTTTTTATTCATTTATACTAATTAAATTAAAGACAAAAAATAATTTTTCATTAATACTAATAAACAAAAAGATGTTTTTTAAATAAAGTTTATAGATATCAGCATATATATTAATCAGGTAATTTATCCAAGGATTTAAGAAAAGTGATTGAAGGTTGCTAGGAAGAAATATTCACATCAGTATTTTTTTAAAGTAGCGAAACAAAAAAATGTAATAGCTTTTTATAGTAGTTAAAATGATGGGTTTATGATAAAAAATGAAAAATCGCATACATCTTTTTATAGGAGACATAAAAATAAATAAATTTTTTAGATAATTAATTATATTTATCTCTAGGGTGAGAAAGCATAGTTGAAATATTTATTATTCATAAATTATTGACAAGCAAACAAATAAAAAAAATATTTTTTTTAAAAGACTTTCTAAAAATAAAAAATCATTTCAATCAGGTAGCTTGGCCGAGAGGTTAAGGCATGCGAGTTAAAATCGCTGGGATTATATCTGCGTGAGTTCGATTCTCACAGCTACCACCAATTATTTTATAATTCTTTTGAAAAATTAGTAATATTATTAAGTTAAAATTTAAAAAATATTAATATGTTATTTAATCCGTACAGTATTGAAATAAAAATTTTAATTTTTTCTTACTGGAATAGATAGATTTTCAATAACTTATCCATTCTGCTTAAACAAAATCATCTATCTTTTATTAAAATGTTAAACAAAGATTTGTTATTAATGTTAAATTTTCATTGAGAGCAATACTTTTTATCAAATTCTAAACAAATGATCTTTATTCCTGATTTTTCTTATCTTTAGATTTCAAAAATTATTTTGAGCTAATATGATTTATTACATATCACTTTGACTATCTTAATTAAGAGTACCAAATTTATATATAGAGAGCCAATTATCAGTATCATAACTGAAAATTTTTTCACATTCATTATGTTAAATTAACATTTCGTTGCTACATCAAATATTATTTCTAATTATTAAATCAAAGAGACTGATCTCGCTAAAAAACTGAGAGGAAAGGTCTTGATTATAATAACTAAAAAGGGAAAAGCAGTAAACAATAGCTCTGAGAAGTAGACTTTTGTAAATTTAGAAAAATATAAAGATAAGAAATCAAATAAAACAAGGAGAAAAAAAGTACCTTAATTTTGATCATGCTATAAAAAAGCTTCTAAAATATTTCACCTACTAGCTGGATCGAATTCTCAACTCTAAGATTGATGAGCAAAGATAGTTTATCGAAATCAATAATTACCAAACTGATAATCTGGGATTCAAGAAAGAAGATAAAACTTTTAATCTGAAAACAAAGCAAAGCAGATAATTAAAAGAAGTGATTAGAAATTAATAAGATAAAATAGTAGATCAAGTATAGATCGATCTTATATCTAAAAATTCTAAGATCAAGAAAAATTCCAAATAGAAATTAAAACTTAACAGATCAAGTATCTAAAATACTTATACTCTCTTCTGATAAACAACTGATCGAGGATCAAAATAATTGAAATATATTTTAATAAGGAAAAAGAAGATGAATAATAGTCTTAGCATGAACATCATAGTTATGAATAACCTGATTTTATCAAACCAACCCTGAACATTTATAAAACATGAGTTGAAGAATTTGGCAATTAAATTCAGGTTAATTAAAAATTTAATAAATTAGAATAAGTAATCATGATTCATAAAACTACGAGGAGGCGGAAAATATAATAAGAGCTGAAGAAATAATTGAAATGCCCAAAAATAAATTCAAACAAATAAGGCAATGAGAATAACCAAAAAAAGTATCATAGAAACCTCATAAATGAATGTTGACTCTACTATTAATTTTATAAATTCAACAATTTCTGAAATTACTGATCAAGCCTTCTTAGAGTAGTCACTAAAATCGATTTAATCAAATAAAAATATCTTTTTTTAATCAAAGAAGCAATGAATTCATAAGCACCTCTAATGGCATTTAATATTCTTCAATTTACTAAACTTGAGAATCAAGATATTCAATCGATACTCTCTATAAATATTCATCTCTTGAGATTAATTCTTCATCAGTTTCTAGCATTATTTGTCTCACATTCCTCAGATTGAAACCTTACTAAACACAATTATTCATATCCCACATATTTTTTATTAGATAAGTCTCTATCTAGATTTGAAATCAATTTTATCTTTTTTTATAGAAAATCTCAAAAATTTAAAATTGGTAAGTATAATATCTCTTCTTATTTCTTGAAAATCCTTAGCAGGATATGTAAAACTTTATAATCGATAACTTACATTCAACAATATAATTATTTGCCTATGATTTAATAACAAACAATAAATCTCTAAACCCTAATTAAGTGTTTGATTGTATACTCTATTTAAAAATTATATCTTAGTGACTGAATTAACAAGTGCTTCTAGGTAACTATCTAGTAAAAGCACCTAAATAATCAATAGATTTGAATACTACTTTCACAGTTAAGATAATTAAAATAGCTTATTTAGGTAGATGTATGAATGATTATACCACTAACTAATATTTCTGTTATATACTTTTAGTAACTACAAAATTGCAAGGTTATTTAACAAAAACTCTAACTAAACAGATAACTTAAGATTAAAATTAAACCATAAAATCTCTCAACTAGCTTATATCAGTAACTCTCTTATTATAAAACCAACATCATTAACAACTTTAGATTAAAATTACTAAAAAAATCAAAATAAATAAGTGGTATTGGTAACTTTATTATTTTTTTGACAGTAAAATAAATTGCAAGTGATGATTTCTTAAAATAATAATGAATATATTAAATTAAAGTAGTGTCGAGATAATATTATGCTCAAACATAGTTATTAGTGAAACTGCTTTAATACCTTATATTATGATGCCTATCAAAAGACTTAACAAAAATATCACTGATTAAGACATTAAATACTAACAAGCAATATTAGAATAACAAAATCAAATAGAAAAAATTAATGAAAGAATTGAAGCAATAAATTAAACAATGGTTTAGACAGACATAAATTAGATTAATTAAATAAATAATTTTTGTCATAATTAAATTTAAAAAAGTCTAGCCAACCAGCATTTCAAATTAATTATAATGAGATTATTTCAATAAAAAATATAAATTGTAATTTTTGTTTGAATTTTCAGAATTACATGAAAGGTCTAACAAATATTAAGAAAGACTTTATAAAATTAAATAGACAAAATTTCAAAAAAAACCTAAAAATTGTTTTTTTACAAACTTATTTATTATTAATTTTTTATTTGTTTAAATTAATTATATTTTATTGAATACATCAATAAATAATTGAAGCTTTAATCTTTTTATAATGATTTATTTGACTTCAAACACAATAGTCTTTAAAATATACAAACGATCCTTCGTAACTATTAAGATATTTAAAAAGAGTTTCAGGAACTGAGTTGTAAATAACTGCTTTTCTGATTGCTTCATTTGCTTTAGAGTCAAGATAGTATTCGCTCCAATTAAGAGTAGATTTATTAACGAATTCACCATACTTTGAGCTATATATTGAATCTTGCAAGATGTTTTTAGGGTAATGGATATAAGATACATTTGATACAAGAGCATCTATGAATACACAACAACCTCCATGAGCATCAATAGCATGCTAAGACAAATTACCTACTTTTTAACTTAATTTAGCTTCATAGTCTTTTTAGCATACATTTTTACAGACTGAATAACCACAGAGCAAGCAAACAGAAACACCTTACAATAAAATTGTGTATTTATTAGTTTCATCACTAAAAGGTATTCTGTCACATTTAGCACACCTTTTCTTATCAACACGTCTCTTAAAATCCTCAAAGTTATCAGGTAATTACAAAGCTAAGATAAATTTATCTGATTAAACTTAATTCTTCTTCAGTTTTGATGTGTAAAAATTGAAATCTTGTTCTATTTCTTGTTAGTTAGCTATAGCAAAATTAATTAAGATATCCTTAAATGAAGTAAATTGATAATTCTTGGATAAGATTGGCTAGAAAACTAAGTTGAATAATTCTAAGTAGTCAGAAATTAAACAAAAATCATATTCTTGCAATTTTTAAACTGAAAAAACATTTCTAAAGCACAAAAATGATAGGAAATATTCAAGTAAATGCTTCAGATTACCCATATGACTTTGTAATTAGAAATCATCTTTAATCACTTCCACAAGATTAATATTTTGTAATTTTTCCAGGTTTTTTTCTTTTTTTATTGAGTCTGCAAGAATGAGAATAAAATATTAACAGAAAAGATTGATATCATGGAGAGGATCAAGGATATTGCTGAGACAAAAATAAGTAAGTATTTCTCTTAAGAACAAATCATGTAGATTAGATTCCTTTTGTTGTTAAATAAAATTCTACAAGTATTGAAGTTTGTTGCTCTTTTTTTGTTTGAACTAAGTTGTGTAATTCATTCTCATGTATTCCAACAAGTTGTTGTAAACTTTGTAGTGAGTTTAAATGAATTCCTGAATTTCTGAAAATTCTATGTGATGGAAAGGTTTTAGGAATATCTTTTCGAAAGCTTCTTGTTGAAGATTTTGAATAGACATTTTTTCGATATCAGGATTAGAAATACTCAAAACAGTTAAATAATCTTAAACATTAGTAATAAAGTCATTTTAAGTAAACATAATTGATTTGCTTAATGTTTTGCTCATAGAAAGAGAGTTCATTTATCCAGTAGTAGAAGCAGACAAGCCATCCTCTTTCACTTCTTCTTCTCCCCTCAATAAATTTTCTTCTAAGACTTCTTCCTACACAGTTTCAATACTATCAAAGAATTTAATATTTTCCTAGTTTATTTTTTCTTCTTGATCAATCTATAAAGAGGTGAGTTATTAAAGTGTATCCTTTAATTTCTAAGAAGAAAAAACTAAACTATTATCTTTGTTAAGCTTCTTGCTGGAATATTTCTATCTCATGTTTTCAGGAATGTATTGAATGAAATTATTGGCAAGTCTCTTGCACAGAGAGCATGGAATTTCAGATTCGTTCCTATACAAATGAGCATTTCTCTCGTTTCTGGCAGAATTCTTAGATTAATAGTCTTACCAACAAGTATAATGATAAAAATGCCCACAAGAGTTAACACTAATATAAAAATCATCCTATTGATTCTAGTCAGAAGAGTTCTTCTCCTATTTAAGGAAATTCAAAGTATTTACTGATTTAATGTAAATTGGATATCCAAACTCAGAGTTCTTTTCAATTTACTCAGAGCAAATACTGCAATATTCTGCTTCATTTTCCTAATCTTTCACCACGCTTTATTTTTTTAGCAGTGTGAGATTTTCAGAAACAACTTCATTTTTCTATTCTTCCTCTTTACCGTCTTGCTTCTGCTAGAAATTATTTCTTTATTATGCAAATTTTTGCAACATTTCTTATTGTTTTCTTTTAGCTTCTTCAATCTTCTTCTTTCTCTATTCTTCCTTTTATTTCTCAATTTCTTCAGCTGTTAAAGGTAATTCCTAATTTTCATTTTGTGCGTTATCCACGATTCCTTCCTCTTCTTAAATAATTTTATTAATCCTATTTTTTAAAAAATATAATTCTTTAAGCTATATGTAGCATTTAAAATGATAAAAATAGTAAATTTCTATTAATTAAATTAAAAATATAAATCCATTTAATTGCTATTTCAATTATTTAGTGAATTAAAAAGTTTATTTTATTTAATAAAACCTTCAAATAAATAAATTTTAATAGTGAACTTAAAGTAAAAGTATAAACAAAAAGAAGAAGTTGAAAAAATTAATATAAAATTAATCAGTAAATAAAAATATGAATGAAACTTGAATGCTATTTTGGTTTTTTGTGAGAAATTAAGATAATTAAAATGGACCTTTATAAGATTTAAGTGAAAATGAATGAAAATTAGCTTAATAAAAAATAAATTACATTTTAAGAAGGAGCTTAGTACCTTCTTGAATGTTTTAAGTGTCTTTGACTTAGATTATATTCAAGAAGAAAGTTTGGAGGAGGTTTGATTTGATGTACATTTCATATAAATGTTTGAAGAGAGATGGTTTATATTGTTATTCTATGTCTGCAAATAGCTGAGGAGAATGCTTGGATTCTTTAATGAAGTAAACAATATACTAGAGGAAGGTTAATAAGTAGATATTCTTTGGGATATTTGTTATTCCAATTAAAAGGCTTTTGAGATTTTCAATAAGTTTTTCAGATGCAATGAACTTAGTGAAATTTATAATTAAAAATTATGGCAAGTAATTGAATTAATATGTCAGATTGTCAATTGTAACAATTTTGTTAAATGTAAAATCTTCTTAGACAAACAATATATCTTGCACTGTGCCAGTTACTTCTGAGCTGAAATTTTTAGTGTAAGATAAAAATTCTTGTTAATAAACACTCATTTGGTTCCATAAATGAAGATTTGAACCATATGGCATGTATTACTTTTTTAATGAGAATTTCTTCTTCTTTTAATCGAAGTCTGCAAGTTAAATGAGGATTTCTTCGCCTTTTACTCCTAACTTCTAGAAGGGCTTAAAAACTTGTAAGCACATTTGTTTGTATTCACTCATTGCTAAACTATTATTTGTAAAGAAAAATAGCTGAATTATACATTATATAATTGAACTTCTTAGGTTTATGTCCATCTTTTCAAGAGTTAAGGGAGTCTATGAGTTTGCTATAAAATTAGATTTGAGGAATTAAATATGATAAGAAGTCAAGAAAGAAATGCAGACATTTTCAGAAAATTTGTTAATTTCTGAATTTATATCAGGGACTTAAAGAGCTGTGATTTTCTTAGGTTCTCCATTTTATTCAATTTATTCAACTATTTTCTAAAAAGGATCATAAAATTGGCTGTAAAGCTTTTCTTCAGCTATTAGCAAGCAGATTTATCTAAGCAGCAGAATAACTTCATTGTTGTGGTTAGACCATTGCATGCAGAATAAATAAATACATTAAGTAAACGATGTCGTGTCTTGAGTCATTTGGACTTGATTGCTTAACTGATTTAGTTGCTAAACTTAGAGCTCTTTATGGAAAACACAAAAGTTATTTTTTATTATATTGCTATCAAGATCAACGAATAAAGCCTTTATCTTTTCTTGATAGTCTTTAGAGCCTTTGTCATTGCAGTTTAATATGTTCATGCTTTTTTCATTTTCAAGATATTTAGTCAAAGTTGATATGATGCTTTCCTTATTGATTAGCTCTACCTTACCCTTAAAATCACGGTAAGCAACTGAATATAAAATCATAGATATCAACGAAGAAAATGATATAAAGTCTTATTTGGAATTCACCATATTGCTGATAGACTTCTTATCGAACTAAACTGACTCATAATTTATAAGCCAATTATTTAATATAAATTGGAGAATCTCATGATTTCTTTCATATAAATTTTCTTTTTATATATTTTTCAGCTTGATTGCAACAGGTTTGTCACTTTCTTAAGTGTATTGCTTAAGTTTCTCTAATACAGCCACTGACTCAAATTCATCAGCCAAAAAAGTTAAATCACGTATTAACGAATAGACAATCCCTAGCAAAAGATCTAAGCATTAACTAATCTATGTTGTATGAACAAACTGTTTTTAAGATCCTAATTATGTTTGAATACCTCTCTTTTCTATCTTAGAAAGAGTTTTCAGAAGATTCTCCAAAAAAGTGGTATCTGTAAGCAGTATTAAGAAATTAACTTCACTCTACAAAGTAAGAGATTTAAGACTTTGAAAAATTTGCTTTACTTGCTCTACCTAAGATTAATCTTATTGCAATATAATTCCTTCAATGTACTTACACAAAATAGTAAACATGTTTGCAAACTAACTCATATCCAACACCATCTGGCATCCGTATTCAACTGGATAACTGAACTATTAAACAAGTAGATATGGGCTTTTTATATTTTTATTTAATATTAATAATTTGTCTAAAATGAAAAAAACATTTCCCTTTCTTAATCATTATTAATAAATTATCAATAAACTTTATTAATGATTATCAATAAATTATTGAATTATCAATAAACTTGATTAATCATTATTAATAAATTATTAAGCTATCAATAAAATGTATTAATCATTATTTATAAAATATTAAACCATCAATAAACTCTATTAATCATTATTAATAATTATTAAATAATTGATAAACTATTTTTAATCATTATCAATAAATTTTTGAATTATCAATAAACTATATTAATCATTATTAATAAAATATTAAACGATCAATAAACTATATTAATCATTACCAATAAATTATTGAATTATCAATAAACTGTATTAATCATTATTAATGATTATTTAATAATTAATAAACTATTTTTAATCATTATCAATAAATTTTTGAATTATCAATAAAATTTATTAATCATTATTAATAAAATATTAAATTATCAATAAACTCTACTAATCATTACCAATAAATTATTGAATTATCAACAAACTGTATTAATCATTATTAATGATTATTTAATAATTAATAAACTTTATTAATATTAATAAAATATTAAATTGTCAATAAAGTAGTTAATTTCTATCTGTCATTTAATTATTTTTTTATTCAGTTTGTGACAAATTAAAAAGAAATAACTTTATTCATTTAAAATGTTTTTTGAATTCTTGAAAGAAATGCTCTTTTATTTTTTTGGAAATGTCTTTTCAATAAACATATTTAAATATTAAAGAAATAATGATTTTACTTGAAGTAATCTGTGATATTTCCATATAAGAATTTTGAGCTTTTCTCAACAAAATGGAGCATTTTAATAAGAATGCCACTGGTGAATTTTTTGAATGAGGGGATTCTTTGCAGATTAATTATAACATCTTGAATAACTACTGTGATTCCTGGGATAATATAAGAAGAGAATCTGATCATATTCTCTAAATAAGAACAATTGCAAAGACTGCTCATTCTTTAAGATGTGCTGTAGAATGAGATGTCTTAATTATTCTTACAGTTGTGATAGAGCATCCTATTTACTATAATACTTTCATCCTCTGTAGCTGCATTTTGCTAAGCTTTAAAAAAGTTTTTTTCATCATTTTATGAGTTCAAAGGATTAGCTGTATATTGTTGCATTAAAAGTTTCTTTATTGTGTTTAAATCTTTCTGTGTATAGATTTTTGAAGTTAAAAAATCAGAAAACAATATTGCATAGCACATATTCTTTTTTATCAAATTAACAACTTCATAAAATAGCTAATCTATTATTGATACAATATTAGAACCAGCTTAATTTCCTATGCTCATTTTATTAGCATTTTCAATTATGAAAAATAATTATAAAAATACTCCTTTCCAGAATTTGTTAAAGTTATTCACTAATTCAGTATTCTGCTCTAAAAGATTTCTAATTTCTTTTTCCAATTCATCAGTTAATCCCTTATGGTCTTTGCAATATGCTATTTTTTAAAATAATAATTATAAACTGTATAATCAAATCAAAAGTTGCTCTTATAATTTTATAAAAAATATATTAAAAACAATACAATTTGAAAAATAACTTTATTAGTATTTGTTAAGAATTAAATTGAAGAAAAACAAAGAAACATATTAAAATTTTTTAACAATTCCAATCAACTATTAAATTTGTCTTTTATTAATTCATTATTTCTAAAAATATTTGTTATGTTTTTATAAAAAATAATTCATTTTTTTATTTAATACAATTTTTAAAAAAGAGCTCTCATTCAATAATTAAGATATTAAAAAAGATTTAATCTAAAATAATTAAAAAGTAATTCTAGAATATTTGAAATAACCTTGAATAATATAAAATATATCACAATTAATATTCTAAAATATTCTTATTCGAAATAAATGTGTTCAATATCTATCAAATTTTATTTTATTTTAGATAATTAAACTTAGATATTAACTTATAAATTTGCTCAAAATAAATAAATAAATTTTAAAGGATTTAAATCTTAATACTAAAAGTTATATCTGTAAACTGAGAAGAAAACAAATTATGATTTTTATTATTGATTGTATGTAAAAATTGTTTTAATTTTTTAAGATAACTTTTTATAAATGCATTAATATTTCTTTAATTTCATTATTAATCAAAAATGTCGAATAATTTTAAATTTAAAAAGAATTTTTATTAAATTAAAAAATATTTAACCATCTTTGCTTCAAACCATATTTACCTTAAGACTTTAAAAAGTTGCTGTCTCCGCATTTGCAGGATATTTAAATTTTATCAATATTTATTTAGGAATATCTATGCCCTTCATGATTAGCTTTGCTAAAGCAATCTGAACATTATCCCATTTGATTTGAGTCTAAAAGGGGATTTCCTTCACAATCTAGACAATAAAATCCTACTTTGTTATTGCTAATGTAATTACTACAAGAAATTTGACCTAAAAACTTTTAATCACTAAAAATTTCCTCAAGTTTCGTATTAATTTCACTTGAAGTTTCCTAAAATGCTTCTGAAAATAACTTTTTATTAAAACCATTATAGATGGTCTTTTCGAGAAGCTTTTGAATTTTTTATTGATAGGTCTGCTTGCTATACTTTTTTTTATAAATATACCAAGCCAGTGCTGCAACAGAAAAAGCACCTGCTGCTGCCCCTAAAATCTAAGTCTCCCTTTTCCTCATTTTTGCTAAACTTTTTTTACTATGCTATGATGGAATATTAATCTTTCTATTTAGTTAACTAATACTTATTTATCTATCTAATTTATTTATCAAATATCCTTTAGTTTATTTATTTACTATATAAATAAATCATATAATATGATTATTTTTCAATAGTTAGATTTAATTAGTTGTTTTAACAAATAGCTCAAAAGCATCTAACATTATTCTGATGATATGTTTGTTTCTAATAGATTTATTCTAATAATTTTTATTTCTCAATTCAAATAATGATGACCAAAAAATTATGATGTTATTGAATATTCTTTATTGAATTCATAAATTTTACCTTTTTTGATATCCATTCTAAATATACTATTTGCTATCTAATATCTTTTCTTTTCTACTCATTCTCATCAGATAAATTTTTATAAAACTAAAAAGAAAGATCTCGAATCTTAATTAATTAATTAAAAAATTAACATTTTTTAAAATAGATTTAAATTAGGATTATAATTCAAATTTGCATACAGGTATATAAGCTTTAAATAAATTTATTTTTTTAGTTTCCTAATTGAGTTATTAATTACTAATCGCATTTAAATTTCTTCAAAAAATAAATTCTTTCCTGAAATAGCAAATTTATTAAATTTTTAATTGTATTAAGAATATTAAATTACCAACCTTAAATCCTCATTAATTAGCATTTTTATGAAATTTAGATAAATAGTGTGAATATTAATGGCCTCTCTATTTTGGACTATTAATTTAGTTCAGAGACTGCTTAACATATGTAGAGAGATTATACTATATTTATACAATAAATGTAAATTGAAATTTTAATTGTTTTCTCCTATAGTATAGCTAGCTATTTTTAATTAAATTTTCTGATTAATTTTAAAAAAATCATTAATTAATTAGGTCAATTAAATTGTAGTAGTTAATAACAAAATATAAAGAAATGGACTAAATAGCGCATTAGACAATTTAAAATTGTTAAAAGCATTCTAATAATTAAATTTCTTTTTTAAGAGTGAATTAAATATCAGATTAAAATGAAGCTTAAATCTTTTATTGCATTGATTGTGTAGATGATGATCATGATTTTAAAGGAATTGATTACATTTAGATTTAAAAAATAATCCAATAGCCTCAATCTTAAATTCTTCAGAAATGGCCTCCTGTCAACGACAATACAATATTATAGAAGTTATTATAGTAATATTAAAATTCTGATACCTCAAACTCTGTTGTTTAAAGGATTACAAAATACTTTACTGAGCTTAAATATGAAATAAACATTAAAATTGAAAATGTCCAAAAGAAAATTCTTAAACAAGCTCTTGAAATTTCTTTTGAAAAAGAACAAATCCTATAATAATACAAACAAATATCGCAGATTGACAAACTTCAATAAATATTTTAAGAAGGAAAATAGCATTCTTTTGATGTTTTAAATAATTAATGCAAAGCTTTTCTAACATAAATTTAATCTTAAAAAGAAGAAATTAGTTTGTAGCTCTAAAATCTACTTGATCAGTGCTGTAAAGTTAAATAATAAGCTGATTTTGATACCCCTAACAAAATAAGAATAGAAATATCTTCTTTGCTGGAAAATATTTATTTTTTTCCTTAACTTAATTAAAATAATATTAATTTAAATTACAGTAACTTAGAAACTATTATGCAATTGGTATCAAATAAATCAAATTTTTGTACATGTGAATTCTTAGATTCCCTTAGAAAAAATCTAGAAAAATTAAACCCCTTTATTGAACAGATGGAGTTCGTAAATATATTTTAGCAAGGCAGGGAACCAATTAAGTTCCAAGAGATAAGTGAGACAAAATTTGAAGAAATAAATGAGTTTATGAATCATCTAATTAACTTAGAAAACAGTTAATAATATTCCTAATAAATTTAATAATCTGAAAGAATATAAAATATTTGCAAGATTTTAGAGAATAAAACAAATTTTATCAATCAAAACACAATTTCATTTTTGAAAGGTATTTTTTCTAAATGCTATCCTCTAATGAAAAGCATTGATCAAATATAAATATGTGATTAATAAGAAGAATTTAATTGTTTTTAAGAATTATCTGATGATTCACTTTAACATCTAATTAAGTTGATAAATTTGAAAAAGTAATTTGAAATTCGAAATAACTTTGATGAAAGTGAAACCAATGCCATTAGACATTAGGCAAAAAGATTTCTTTACGATTTTAAACAAAATGAATTAGATTAAATTTTAAAAACATTTCCTGTTTTTGATTTGATACCTAAAGAAAATAAAACTAATATACTGAGAAATATCGAATTAGTAAAATCTGATTTTGTAGATGGTGTTTAGAGAATTTAAATTGTTAAAAATAGTGATGAATCTATTGAAGCTTGGATAAATTAGTAATAGTACAGTGGAAAATATAAAAATTATGCACCAAACTGTATTTGGGATAGTTCTTTAGAAAAAGAAAAAAAGTATGTATTTAGAATATAATTTAATGTAAACAATGAAAATAGTACTAACTTCATTTTAGGATTAATGCAAAAATCTGATTTTAATCAAAATTATGGTTACAAAAACAAGCTTTCTTGCTGTTTAAAATACGAATAAAGATAAATTAAGTATAAAGGCGGATATGGAATAGATAAACTCACAAAAGGAGATTCATTTAGATTAAATATGGAAGATATGATAGAAATGAGAGTTTGGCTAGAAGGATAAATTTTAGAAATAGTAGATTTTCCAAATTATTAGTATAAATTAGAATTAAAAGATGAACTCAAAAATAATTTAATTGATCTTAATGATCTTAATCTTTATTTTTACTTATATTATGAAAATATTAAATATATTTTAAAAGAAGCTTTTATTGTGAATCAATTTATAAATTGAATACAAAATATATAAAAATTTAACAAAGTAATCTACATAATATATTCATACTCTATTAACTAAGATTTAACAATTTGTATCCCCATTTTTTTAAGAGGTAAAAATTAAAATAATTAATTATAAACGTAATTAAGAGCAATTAATAAATAATTAAAAGACTTAAAAATTAAGGTATATTTAAAATGATTTATGAAAAAATTAATTATTAATTAATTAATGATAAAAGAATATTTGTTTTATAAAAAATGTATACACTCTTTAATATTTTTTCTTAATTTTCGATTGTTTCTTAATTTTTAAATTCAAAAATAAGCGAACAATTAAAAAGGCAATTTTATTTTTCACTTTTTTATTAAAAACTAAATTTGTAGTGGATAATTTTATAATTATTTATTAATTAAAAATTTCGATAATTAAAAAAAAAGAAAGTAAATAAGAATTAAGTAAGAAGTAATAATAATATAGCCTCTTCTTATTTTTAGAAATATATGGATTAAATTTCATAGCAGCGCAATAATGAATAATTATTATTGTAAAATTATAAGCTCTGTCCTATTCATAATTAAAGATTATAAATGTTGAGAAGCGATCATTACTAAGATGGATAATTACTCAAATGCTTAGATTGTTTAACAGAATAGTCTTTTAAATTTATACCTTTAATTAAATTTCTAGACAGTGATTTCAATACAATAATTAAAGGTTGGCCAATTTTAGAAGATTCTTAGATATTTAATCAAATTAAGGATATGAAGTAAAAGGAAGATCTAGTAATGTAGGACCTTCAAAAAGTTTAAAATTTCTATAATATATTGAAAAAGGAAATAATTTCGCTTATAGAAAAAAAAGAAAAAGAAACATTAAAGAATATTTAAATGAGATATGATAATTTTGAATATCCTCTTGATCTATACAATAAACTTTCATAAAAGGAAAAACTTAAAGAAATTATTCTTAATTGCCACCAAAATTAAGACAAACAAAATGATTTATTTTCAGATATTATAAAGGAGAATTTATAAAAATAAGAAGATTATAAATCACAAATGCTAGAATCTATTGATAATCTTAATAGAAGTTAATTTAATTTAGAAAATCTCAATTAAACGAAGGATAAAATAATTCAACTCATCAATTAAATCAGTGACTTTGCATATACATAAATTTAAGTAGATTCTGTGGAAAATCTTTATTAAATTTAGGAATAATAAACTGTTGAAATAGATTTTAAGTAATTTGTGATTATTTTTAATTTCAATTTCTTATTAATTTGTTAGCTGTAGATAGATAGAAATATAATATTTTATTTTTTATATGATTGATATATTTTATTTAATAAATTCATTTTGTTAGATAAAGAGAGAGACGTTTTAAAAAAGAAGAAATATAATTAATTGCTAAAGCCTTAGAAAGACATAAGAGAATCACTAATTTAACTCTAAATCTTAGGTAAATAATTTTATGCTAATTCTGTACATTTTTAGAATCTTTAATCATAGTAATTATTTTGAAAGCGACTTACATTAATCATAATTTATTTTATTAGTTATTATTATATCTAAAAAGAAGGTGCTAAACAATTGTCATAAGCTTTACAACTAAATAAATATATTTCTAAACTTCATCTAAATCTTTCGTAATTCATTTTATTTACATTTATCTTTTTTAAAAGTTATATATTTTTGGTGAGCTTCTATTATTAGCTTCAATGAAAATAGTGAACACAGTAAATTTTGTAAAAAATAAATTTTAGAATTAACATAATTCCTCTGTCCTCGTTTTTTTAAAATACCATCTGACGAGGCGGAATAACTAAGGAATTCAAGCTAAATTATTTTGGAAATTAAGCTTCAATTATAATTGAATAAAAATATAAATTTTATGTTTAAATATTTTTTTTTTTAATATTAAAAATTATAAATTAAAATTTTTTTACATCAATATTTAGTTATAATTAAATTGAGGTGGAAGCGACTACACAAATAGCTTTAGCTTTACAGAAATTATAGAATATTACTAATTTAACTCTTGATTTTACGTATAATTGTAAACATATTTTTATCTTTATTAAATTTATTTTTTAGTGAGAATGAAATTGAAGTTGAAGAAATCAAACAAATATCTCAATCTTTACAAAAATTATAGAATATCACTAATTTAAAACTTAATTTTAGGTAATTATTTAATAAAAGTTTTAATTATTTATTTTTTTTGTTTAACAAATTTTAATAATAATTTTTTTTATATTTATCTTTTAGTCAAAATGATATTCAAGTAGAAGGAGCCAACTAAATTGCTCAAGCTTTATAAGAATTACCTAATATTAATAAATTGTTGCTTAACTTAAGGTAATAAATTAATTGTATTATAAATTAATATTTTTTTACATCAATATTTAGTGTGAATTAAATTGAGGTGGAAGGGACTACACAAATAGCTTTAGCTTTACAGAAATTATAGAATATTACTAATTTAACTCTTGATTTTAGGTATAATTGTAAACATATTTTTATCTTTATTAAATTTATTTTTTAGTTATAATGAAATTGAAGTTGAAGAAGTCAAACAAATATCTCAATCTTTACAAAAATTATAGAATATCACAAATTTAAAACTCAATTTTTGGTAATTATTTAATAAAAGTTTTTAATTATTTATTTTTTTTGTTTAACAAATTTTAATAATATTTTTTTTTATATTTATCTTTTAGTCAAAATGATATTCAAGTAGAAGGAGCCAACTAAATTGCTCAAGCTTTATAAAAATTACTTAATATTAATAAATTATTGCTTAACTTAAGGTAATTACAAAAACATAATTTCATAATGATTTATTCAATTTTCATAATATTTACTTTCTAGTTAGAACAACATAGAAGCTGAAGGAGCCAAATCTATTTCTTATACTTTAAAAAAACTTGAGAATATTAATAATCTTACTCTTGATTTTAGGTAAAATATATTTTTTTTAAATGTTTATATTTTAGTAATATTTCAATTAAAAGCCTGAATTTTATTTTGAAATTTTTATCTAGCAACAATTTAAAATTATTTTATTTTTGTTTATTAGTTATAATGATATTCAAGATGAAGGAGCTCAATATATTTCTATGGCTTTATAAAGTTGTCAGAATATCTCCTATTTATCTTTATAGCTTAAGTTATTAATTTTATCTTACTAAATTAACTTTATATTCAAATTAATTATTTGTTTTAATTTTCAAAAAAATACAAATTATTTAAATAAATTTTGAGTTGATTTTCATTTTTAACATTTTTAATATCTAATAGTTTTTTATAAATCTATTTTTTTATTTTTATTTATCAGCTCAAATAAAATTCAAGCAGAAGGAGCTAAATAAATTGCTTTAGCTTTATCAAAGTGCTAGGACGTCACCAATTTATCCCTATATTTTGAGTAATTAATAATATAATATACCAATACTATTTTTATTTATTTTTAGCAAAAAATAATATTTAATATTACATGTAGTTAATTACATTATTGTTTTAAATTTATATTTATTATTTATTGTGTTTATAAATTTAATAATTTTTTAAATAAATTTGTTTTTTATCTTTATTTATTAGACATAATAAAATTCAAGCAGAAGGAGCCAAAGAATTTGCTTTAGCTTTAGAGAAGTGTCAGAATATTTAAAATTTAAAGCTAAATCTTAGGTTATCTATTTTATAATATTTAATTTCTTTTTTAATTTCTTATTGTTTAATTATTAGTGATAATAATATTCAAAAAGAAGGAGCCTAATTCATTGCTTTAGCTTTAGAGAAGTGTCAGAATATTATAAATTTAGAGCTAAATCTTAGGTTATCTATTTTATAATATTTAATTTCTTTTTTAATTTCTTATTGTTTAATTATTAGTGAGAATAATATTCAAAAAGAAGGAGCATAATTCATTGCTTTAGCTTTAGAGAAGTGCCAGAATATTATAAATTTAGAGCTAAATCTTAGGTTATCAATTTTAAAAATAATAAATAATTAATTGTCTTTTAAAAAAAAATAAATTTAATTAATAATTTTTTTATTTATAAGAAAGAATAATATTTAAGTTGAAGGAGCAAACTAAATTTCTTAGTCTTTAGGAAAGTGCTAGAAGATTACTTCTCTATCTTTAAATCTTTAGTAAATCATTTTCAATATTTTATATTCAATTTTAAATAATTTATTTAAAATATTAAAAATTTTCAAGTTATTATTTATTTATTTATTTATTTTTATTTTAATAGTTAAAATGGATTATCATAAAAATAATAAAAAAATGTTCATAACGAGATATAAAATAGTTTAAAGAATATAGACATAAATTTTTTTGTTTGGTGATAACGAATAATTTCTAGTTAAAATAAATGAAAAAAATACACAAATAAATATGATATTTAATTTAAAAAGTTTGGTTTGTAATTTTGTATATAGGCAACTCAACTCTTGTATAAAAATCTATGCTGTTTTCTAAAATATTAAAAATTAAAAAATGGAATTACTGTAATAATTTTGGAATAATTCAAATGCTATTATTATTAAATATTCTTTATTTAATATGTAATAAAAAATATAATATGATCTCAAAGCAATTTATTGTTTTAATTAAAAGAAATTCTTCAATAATAATGAAGTTTTTCTTATCAATTTTTTTAATAATTTAATATTTCAATAAAAAATTACAAAATAAAAAACAATGCAATCTAAAAAATAATTTTACAGTCTTAAAGAAGTAAACACAACTTAAAATAGCTATATAAACTATAAAAATTTATTTTTATGAAAAAAAAGTTTTAAAGTTCTTCTTTATCTTCTCTAACAGAGGCTCATCTTATTTTAAAGTAGAAATTTTAAATAAATAATTAATAATTTTATTTAATAAAATTTCTAATTTAAACCAACTTCCTTCCTATTAACTAATAATACAGAAAATGTCTAAAATTATTATTTAGGGTTATCCTTTCAATATATTTTATATTATATTTTGATTAATTATATTAATAATTTATTTGTATTAAAAAGCTATAATGAATTCAATGATTAAGCTACATAAAATTTAAGTTTAGCTTTGGCAGAGTGCAAAAATCTCACTATTTTAATACTTTGGCTATAGTATTATTATATATATTTTTAATTTATTTGCTATTTCTTTTTAATTATTAAGAAAATTAATATCTTCTTTTAATTTTTTTACTTCTTTTATTTATTGCATTTGTTTGTTTTTAAATTTAATCATTCTTCTTAATTAAATATAAGCTCAAATAATATCAAAAAATATGGTGTTTCCATTTTAAGTAACTCAATAGCAAAATGCACTAATCTTTTAAACTTGAATCTAGACTTAGGGTAAGAATAATTTATTCAATTTTTGTTAATCTTTTTGTAGAAATATATATGAAGGATTTAATACTTATTAAAATAACTCAAATCATGCATTTGACTAAGCTTTATTTTCATTTAATTTAGTTATTTTTGAATTTTAATTTTTCTTACTTAGATTATTAAATGAATGTTTAACAAATTTATATATATTTTATTAAAAGAGAAAACAAATTTGGAGAGACTGGTATTTAGGGTTTATCATCTATATTTAAAAACTGTGTTTCTCTTTAAACTTTGGATCTCAATTTATCGTAAAGAGATTTATAAATCTTTTTATATTTTTAGTTATTTGAAAAATAAATTTTAACTAGAAGTTTTTTAAATGAAAAAAGAAAAATTTTGAGAATAAAATTTTTTACTTATTTTTTTTAAAATCAACTTTATGAATTATTATTTACTGTATTTTAAAAAATCATTAATTAAATTGATTTGATTTTTTTATTTGAAATTATTTAAAAGAATCATTTTTGTTTCTTATTTTCTTTTATTGTTTATTCTTTTTTTTTAATAATTTTAATAACTTACAAATTTTATCTATTTGAGTAGAAAAAATATGCTAAATAAAAGTGGAGCTTTAGACTTAGGTTAAGGTTTATCTATGTGTCATTCTCTCTAAACTTTGAATCTGAATATTTGGTAGATTTAATAAATCAGTTTATTGATTTTTATAAATGAATAATTTGTCTTTTGAAAAAATTAAATTAAAATATAAATTATAAAGACCTAATTTAATAATTGTATGCTTGGTTACTTGATTAATTTTATTCTTTTTTTATCTCTCCAATCTATAAATGAATAATAATAGTTAAACCAATATCTTATTTTGTATTTATTTAATATTATAAATAAAATAAATTGTCTTTTAATTAAAAACTGAAATCTTCTCTTTTATAAATTAATAGTGATAATTAAATAGGCGATTAGGGAATTTTCAATTTAGGTTCAGGAATAGCTAAGTGTGTTAATCTTTTAACTATCTCTATTTTACTATAGTAAAATTTTTCTTCTTTTAATTTAAGATATTATTTATTAAATATTAAAAAATTAATATTATTTTAAATTTATCTAATTATTAAAAGTAAGGCAATAATTATTATTGCTAATAATTTTCAATTTTTATTCTTTATATTTATTTTCTATATGAATTAAAAAACATATATTTGATTTAATTTGAAAAGGGATAATGAAATATAATCAGGAGCATCCAAATTCGTTTCTACCTTAGAAAATTGCCCCCAACTTAATAATTTGACACTCAACTTCAAGTTAAATTAGTTTACATATTTATTTATTTATTTAAATATTTAATTATTTTTGAATTTAAAACCTAATAACTAATTTCCTACTTTTCTAATAGTTAGTTTGTTTGTTAAACCTAAAAATTAATTTTTAATTATTTGTTAATTTAGAGTTTGTTATTTTAGTTTTATTAAGTATAATATATCATTTTTATCATAATGCATTTAATAAATACTAATAATTTCAATTTATAAAAAAAGTAAAAATTATATGGAAAATTCTGATCTTGAAGATTTATTCTTTGCTTTAATGAGATTAAGCAAACTTAAAAGTTTGGAAATTTTGTTCAAATTAAGGTTAATTAATTTTTTAATAAGTTAAATTATCTTTTAAGAAATAAAAAATTAAGAAGAATTAAAACAGTCTTTGTTTATTTTGATCATTTACTTTTTCTAATTCTTAAATTATAAAAATAAGCATATTTTTCATATGTTTTTTATGAAATAATCAATTTGTAGATATCTAAAAACTCTACAGTCTCAAGAGTCTGAAATATCAAAAAAAGACGCTTAAAAATTAGGTTGTGCTCTTGCAAAGTTTAATAATATCTAAACTATTGTTCTTGAATTAAGGTAAAATGCATTTTCAATTTTTATTTATTTTCAAAAAACTATTACATAAGAATAATTACAATATAATTTTATTTTTTATGTATATTTTTTTCATATTAACATTAGTAAATATAAAATTTTTTATTCAATTCTTTTTTTATATGTTTTATCATTTAATGGATAAGACATTAAATTTAGAAATTGGAATTTAAAGTACTAATTTTATTTAAGTGAGTTAAAATAGAAAATATATATATTTATTTCGATTTTTCTTTTACATTTTATAAATTCAAGCACTTATTTCCTGTCTCTAATTAAATTTTAATAAAAAAAAGTAGTGATTTCATGAACAAATAAATCTTTTCTCTATTTAGAATGAATTTAATGAAGACAAAAAAATTAGTAAAGATGTGGATTTGATTTAAAAAAATTAATTACTCTTTTGTCATCATAAAAAATATAAAAATAATATTAAATATTTAGTATTCCAAAGTTTTTATATTAATTATATATTTGCATCTTTAACATTTTTATATACCATTAATTTGTATTATATTCATCGTTAAAAATCTCATCTGATCTTCAATTTTATGGAATCATTCTAAAAAAATTTCTTCTTGGGTGTTAATATGTTCAGGTGTTAATTTATGAGGATTAATAGTAAATTTATATTAAATAATTATTTTTAATAAATTTAAATACATAAAAAATTTTATTTTAACTTTTATAATTTAAGATAGTTAATAGATAAATATAAAAAAATTATTTACTTTTTAATTAAGCCTAATTATTTGCAAATTAATTATTAATTTATAATATATTTAAATTAATTTAGACAAATGAAACTAACTACTTTTTATTATCAATTTTTTCTAAATAAGCATTTTTATTGATTTTATATTTAATTTTTATTTAATTAATAATATTATTTTATATGAGTAGTCATTAATTAAATTAATTTCATTTGAGTATTTATTATTACAGAAGTAAATAAGTCATAGGAATTCTTAAAAATCATGATACATGTAATTATCAATTATAGAATAGTATTTTTCACGGAATAATTATGACTATTTTAAATACTTTTAATCATTGTATATTGATCCATTTAGTAATGGATTTAGTTGCTAGTTTTATTGTTCATTTAAATATTTTTTTAAATCTCTCATTCCTTATAAAACTTAAGAAGCAGATTGATTGGCTATTGGAAGCCACTTGATTAATAATAATGTGTCATCCATTTTATATTTATAGTTGCTTAAAACATATAAATATTAAACTTAGTTTACTTTAACACTTAGGTTATCAATACTTATATAATCAACTGTTTCTTATCCTAAAAAAGTAAGTCCTTTTCTGAAACAGTCTAAATCGCTTTTTCCTTATTTTAGTAGTCTAATTTAACAATTAATTCTATTAAACAAATAATCAACATACTAATGTTTATATTTGTATATAGATACTATTGGTTTTCTTAAAGCAATATAAGAAATCTATTCATCATTTAAGCATACAAAATCTCTCAAAACATAAGTAGAATAACAAATTCTTTGTTTGATTTAATCATTCTTTTCCCCTTTAAACAGAATAAAGGCGTAAAAATGCTCTTAATTATTCAAAGATTAATTAATATCATTCATTACTTTTTCTGCCTTTTCTGTACTCTTTTCAAAGTTCCATCCATGGAATTCATCACATTCTGGCTCATTAAGATTATTTTCCATTTTAATAATAATTTCTTAAGTTTGCTATTCTGAGCTCTACTTATTGTCTTCAAATTATTTTTTATATAATATTTATTGATATTATTCCATCACATCAGCAAGATGAAAAAGCTCTTTTTAATGACTATCTTTAAGTAATTTAAGAGGAAGTGATAAATCGTTTCTCATATAAACATCTCCATCCAGATAAATCTCTAAAAATTTCGATTAATTGCATAAATTCACTTTTTTAACCTTAATAAATTCATTCATAGTAGATATCGCATTTATATGATCTCCATTTAATATTTAATTTATATCTATGGTAATGTCTCCACCTATTTAAAATATATTAATAGTATCTATTTCTTTAATTAGCATACATCCATATTTAATATATTTCAATTGTTTTTTATTTAATATTTTTGTATTCTTTTTTTTAGACAGCTTTGTTTCCGCCATCTAAATTAATTAAGTAATAAATCAATTATTATAATTATATATTAATTACAATACTAAAAAGAATTAATAATTAAAGTTTTTTTTAATCATAAAAATTTGTAATACTATTTACTAACTTTTATATATTTGATTTTCCATTACTAATAAATAATTTATTCATATTAATGATTATAATTCGTTCATTTTATATTAAAATAAGATATAAAAAGAATATAAATCGACTATTCCTTTACAGTTTTATATTTTTAAAAATTTTATTTTTTTAAGTTATCAATTGTTTTATTTAATTAATTTACTGTCTTTTTATAAAATAAATTTTACAAAATTAAACTTAAAATATTTTTCTAGTTGAAAATTGCTCTTACTAACTTAATTTAATAAATAATTTATTTAAATCAATATAAATAAAATTATAAAATCCCACTCAAATTATTTAATCTCCATTCGTACCTATAACAGAATTAAAATATAGGTACTTCATATCTTACTACTTTTTCTTAAAACTTTCTGTATTAGAATCAATTTCGAACCCTATATATTAATAATTAATTATAAACAATGTAGAAGATTAATTGGAAAATGTATTAATTTAATAAATTAATGAATTCAAATAATGGGAACATGCATTAACTATAATAATAGTACTAAAATTTATAATTTTTATTTAAATATGTATTTGCTTTCGATCATTTCTATAAGAAAATTTTGTAATAGACGAAATAATAGATTTATAGTAATAAACCAATAAGCCTATTATAATTTTTAAATATTGACTGTATTATTAATTAACAATAAGATTTTAAGCGGAAATACTTTTAGAGAAATATGCTTGAAAGAAACCAATCATCTAAGATTTTGATCTAACTACTAGAGTAATAGCTACTTACTTGGTTAAAAAATGTAAAATGGAAGGAGGAACTCTGCATGAAAAATTAAACACTTAGTAACAGAGAATTGGTTTTTAATAAATGGTTCTAAGCTCATTTATTTAGAACCGAGTTGGTTTGCAATAATTAAATTTTTAATGAGAGGATATAAATATTTAAAATCAAAATGAGGTTCCTCTGACTATTAAACAAAGTCATGGACAGAGTAAATTTATCATAACAAAAATCCATTTGTCTTGATTAAATCATTGAAAGTCTAAACAAAATATTAAGCAAATAGTATTTTTATGGGACAATCAATTAGAGATAGTAATATCATCAATTTAAGTAACAAAACAAAAGTTGTTAACATTTAAAATAAACAGGAAGTATATCAATCAGCATAAGAACTAAGGTAGAGTTGAACAAAAGAAAAAGTAATATAATTTAAATATTATAAAGAGAAATGGAATAGAGAGTACTAAACTGACTAAAATAGTTAATGAATGGTAAATTAACCTTCAGTTTTAAATTATTGAGGTAATTAAATAAAAACACCCAAAAAGAAATTTGTTAATTTAATAGATGATATCAAAGATGATTTATGAAGAGAATGTTTAAAACTATTATAATCTATATTAAACTACATGACGCAATAATACAAAACTCATAAACATTAAATTAATGAATGAAAATTACATACACATTAATAAAATAAATTCTATTCTATTATCTAAAAATTATATTAAATAATTATTTTTTTAAATATATTCCATAAAAAATATAATATTAGCTTTTATAATTTAAGATAGCTAATAGATAAACATAAACAAACTATTGTATTTTTAATTAATTAAGTCTAATTATTCCCAAATTAATTTTGATAAATGAAACTAGCTTTAAAACTAATTTTTATTATCAATTAATTTCTTTTAAATTGGCATTTTTATTGATTCTAAATTATTTTTTATTTAATCGCTTAATATTACTAAATTATATTATTAGCCATTAATTAATTAAATTTATTTCAATATTTATTATATCAGAAGTAAATAAGTCAAAGGAATTCATTAATATCATGATATACGTTATTATCAACTATTGAATAGTATTTTTCACAAAATATTTATGACTATTTTGAATACATTTAATCATTGTAAATTGATCTTTTTTATAATAGATTTAGAAAATTATTTTCTTGCTCGTTTTACTGTTCATTTAAATGCTTTTTTAAATTTCTCATTCCTTATAAAACTTAAGAAACTGATTGATTGGCTATAGGAAGCCACTTGATTAATAATAAAGTGTCATCCATTTTGTATTTATAGTTACTTAAAACATATAAAAATTAAGCTTATTCTACTTTAATGCTTAGGTTATCAACGCTAATGTAATCAACTGATTCTTATTTTAAAAAAGTCAATCCTTTTCTGAAATAGTGTAAATCACTTTTTCCTTCTTTTAGTAATCTAATTTAACAATTAATTCTATTTAACAAATAATTAACATATTAATATTTATATTTGTATATAGATAATATTGGTCTTCTTAAAGCAATAAAAGAGATCTATTCATCATTTAAGAATAAAAAATCTCTAAAAATATTAGTAGAATAACTAATTCTTTGCTTAATTTAATCATACTTTTCCCCTTTGAACAGAATAAAGGCATAAAAATGCTCTTAATCATTAGATTCATTAAAATCCTTTATTACCTTTTCTGCCTTTTCTGTACTCTTTTCAAAGTTCCATCCATGGAATTCATCGCATTCTGGCTCACTAAGATTATTTTATATTTTAAACATAATTTCTTGAGTTTACTATTTTGAGCTCTTCTTATTGTATTTATATTATTTTTCCCATAATATTTATTGATATTATTCGATCACATCAGCAAGATGAAAAAGCTCTTTTTAATGACTATCTTTAAGTAATTTAAGAGGAAGTGATAAATCGTTTCTCACAGAAGTATCTCCATCCAGATAAACCTCTATAAATTTCGATTAGTTGCATAAATTGACTTTTTTTACTTTAATAAACTCATTCATAGTGGATAATGCATGTATATGATCTACATATAATATTTAGTCTATATCTAGGGTAAGATCTCCATTTATTTAAAATATATTAATAGCGCTTATTTCTTTTATTAGCATAGAGCTATATTTAATATATTTTAATTGTTTTTTATATTTTATTTTTGTATTCTTTTTCTTAGACAGCTTTGTTTCTGCCATTTAAATTAGATCAAGTAATAGATCTATTATTTTAATTATATATTTAATTACAATATTAAATATTTTAATCATAATATTTGTAATACTTTTTACTAACTTTTTATATTTTTGATGATTCATTAAAGTCAGCAAATCTATTGATGCTAATGATTATAATACTTTTATTTAATATTTAAATAAGTCTTAAAAAGAATAAAAACCTTCTTATTTCAAAACTAATTTAGAAATAACTTATTATCACTAATAATTACTGCCATATGTTTTATATTCAAATTTCTATTTAAAACACTCTAACTTTATTTTTTTTCTATTTGTATGGTGATCTATCGCTGTGGTTTCATAGTCTTCATTAAATACATTAAATGTATTCTCTCCTTTTATTAGTAAATATATTTGACCTACATTTAATGATATTCCTATTTTTTAAATTCTAAAATATAATTATAAAAATAAATAATTTTATTTAACAGACTATATTTTTTATAATATATAAAATAAAAATCATAAAAATAATTATTAATTCAAGCTATTTTTTAGTAATTATAAAAATTGTATGTATAAATTATGCTACAAAAAATTAATAATAGAAAATAATGTTTAATAATTAAATTTCCTTAACATTTAATTTGTTTGTTTATATATTTTCAATAATATGATTGATTTTATAAATTTTTAGGTATAAAAGACTAAAATAAAATATAAAAGAAATCATAAATTTTATAAAATATCTGAAAAAATGTCATTATTAATGATAGTGTAAAATTTATCAACAAAATTTAAAGATTGTTTTATATAATTTTAATCATTTAAGATTAGCTGATAACTTAAATAATTCATATAAGAATTTTATTAACATATTTCACTTAAATTTTTTCTTAGATTTCTCATACCCTATAAAATTTAGGAAGCCGATTGATTCCGAATAGGCATACACTTACCTATGTATAGTATGTCATCCATTTAGTTTTTATAATTACTTAAAACATACAAATATTATTTATATTATACTTTAACAACTAAATTATCAATACTATATAAATCAAATGTCAATTGGTTTAACTCATTACATGATTATCTAAAATAATCTAAATCACTACTTTCTTATTTTAAAGCTCTTACCAAATTATTAATTCTATTAAATAAATATTCAGTATATTAATGCTTGTATTTTATGTTAATTATAATAGGTTTCCTTAAGCATAACTGTTCTATCTGCTCATCATTTAAGCACAGAAAATTTCTTAATATTTAGGTAGAATATCCCAATCTGCTTTTAATTTAATCGTACTTATTTCCTTTAAGCAATAAGTAGGTATAATGATCATCTGAATCCTTCATAGAGTTAATTAGATCGTTTATTATTTTCTCTGCTTTTTCTGCGCTTTTTTCAAAGTTCCATCCATGATATTCATCACAAACTTCCTCGCTTTGGTCTTCTTCTTATTTAATAATTATTTACTCCATTTTCTGTTCTATTTTTAAGTTCTAGAGAAGCTATTTAGATTAGACGACATTTTAATACTCTTCAATCATGTTAGCAAGATCAAACAGTTCTTTTGATTGACTGTCTTTAAGTAATTTGATAATAAGCGGTATATCGCTTCTTGTTTAAACATCTGTATCAAGATATACTTCTATAAATTTAGATTAAAGTGACTTTTTGATTTATTTTACCTTTAGAAAGGCATTCCATGAGGATATTAGTTATATGCTGTCTTTATGTAAAAGCTGGTTTAAATCCAACGTGATATCACCTGGAATTTAAAATATTTTTGTATCACTAATCTCTTATATAAGAATCATGCCATATTTCGTCTATTTTAATTATTTTTTTCGCTTAATTTTATCTCTTTTTTTCTTATTTATAGTAACCAAATCTTCCATTAAAAAACCAATTTCTTAAAGTATTCTTTGAAAGTATTTTTGAATAGTAACTTATCTATAAATTTCAATTGAAATTAATTAATTTCTTCTATTTCATAAATGTTTATAATAATATAATGTTTTTACGTTTTGATTGTCAATTTTTGTTTTAGAAATTTTCAATTTTATGTTTTTTCTTATGTTTTGTTTATGTTTTTTAATATTTGATATACCTGTTTAAATATAATTTCTTCTATCAAAATTAAATATAAGTTTCCTCCATATTTTCTTTCATTTCAATATTCTTATTTCCAAATCAGGTTCTTAAATTATTATAAAATCCTCTTAAAATAGTCATATCTTTATTTTTATTAATTTTGGAGTTTTTAAGCAAAAAATCTAATAAAATGTAATCTTCTATTTTTAATTTAAAATTTTAAGACGACATTTTAGAAACATTAAATAAATAGGAAGTAGATCAATTTTTTCATATTTTTGCTCTTACTTCTTTTTTGATAAAATAAATATGAATTGATAATTGATTATTTATTAAAATTCTTACATCTAAAAATTTATATTAGCCATTTTAAATTAACTAAAATAATTTATCTCAAAAGTTGTTGAAATAAATTAAAAATTAAAAATTATTTTAAAATGTTAAGAAAAAATATTTTGATTTTAATCATAATAAGTAAATTTTTTATTTTGTTTAGCCATAATAAGTCATTATTTTGAATTTATATAGCTATTTATTACATACAAATATTATTATTAATTACTTTAATTGATTATTTATAATTTGCGCTACTGAATAAAATGACTTTTTGTTGTCGTCATTTAATTAAAAATTGCACTTGATTTAATATGTGCGAAATTGTATTCTTGAAAAGATTTTCAAATTTATATAATTAGAGATATTATAACTTGAAAATTTTTTTTTTTTGAAATAAATAATACTTTACTGAAAATGTAAGTAATTTTTTTAATACATTTATGAAAATGGTTATTGAATTAATTAAAATTATTTATATTATTACTTTATATAAAATATTGTTAAATTTAAAGAAGCATTTTAAAATAAATTATAAATAGTTAATATATATTTAATTGTTTAAATTTATTATGTTTTATTTTTTTTAATTGTTTTTACATTATTAAAAATGTATTTTCTTATACTGTATAATATCTTTAGAGCAAATCTTATTAGTCTTAATTAATTAATTATTATTAATAGTATTAGTAAATGTCATAAACTCTCTAAAATATCATGATACAAGTTATTGTCTATGATAGAATAAAATTTTTCTCTAAAAATTTCAGATTGTGCTTCGTAGATTACATCTGTATAAATTGATCCATCAAACAAAGGATTTGACTTAGTCTTCTCTTACTCTTCATTTAAATCCTTTTTTAGATTCCTCTATGCTTATAAAACTTGTGAAGGTTATTACCCATTTACTGGGAGCCACTTGCTTACCCATAATATATCATCCATCTGACTTTTATAGTTACTTAAAACATATAAATATTAAACCTATTTTATTCTCACACTTAAATTATCAACACTAAAAATATCTAGAGTCTCTTCACGCAAAAAATTAAGTCCTGACCTAAAATAATCTAAATCGCTTTTATCTTATTTTAGCAGTCTAATAGAATTATTAATTCTATTAAAGAGGTATTCAGTGTATTAATGATAATATTTATAATTAAATATAATTGGCTTTCTTAAGCTTATATAATCAATTTGATCACTATTTAAGCATAAAAAATCTCTTAAATTTTATATAGTATAGCCTAGCCTGCATTTAGTTTAATCGTATTTATTTCCTTTAAATAGAACATAATAAAAATGATCATCTGAATCTTTTGCTTATTATTTTATTTAGTTTATCACCTTTTCAGCTTTTTCAACGCTTTTTCTAAAATTCCATCCATGAAATTCATCACAATCCAATTAACTTATTGGCTCTTGAGAACATATTAATTTTTATATCTATTGTCTGAATATCAAGTCTGTGTCTTGCTTCTACTTTTCTATTAATATTGATTAATACTCTTCGATCAGATTGGCAAGATGAAGTAGCTCTTTTTATTAGCTACTTTTAAGCAATCTAAGAGGAAGGGATATATCACTACGCATTTCAATATCACTATCTAAATATACCTCTATAAGCTATGATTAATTGAATTTTCTCACTTCTTTAACCTTAATAAAATCATTCCAAGAAGATATTGCATTTAAATGATCTCTATCCAATAACTACCTTATATCTATAGTTATGTCTCCAGCAATTTAAAACACTTTCGAGGTATCTATTTCTTAAATCAGCATACATCCATATCTAGTCTGCTTTAATTTTTTTTTAATATCTACATGTTTGTTCTTCTTCTTATATATAGTTAATCCAGCCATATAAAAATTAATGTAAATATATAAACTATTTGTGGTATCAGTGGGATAATGAATGAGTTTAAAATTTATAAAATCAATCAATGATATCAATTAAAATAAATCATACAGAAATTTAATTAATTTAATAAATTATCTTTATTTACTATGATTCTTAGATACTTACTTATTTTTAGTGGAATTTATTCTTAGCTTTAAACAAATTATATTTCATTAATACTTATTTTTACTAGCTAATAAAAATATTCCCTCACTCTTTGACGTATTACTGAAAATTTTCAACCATTTAAATATTCATATTTTTGAAAATATTTTTGTCAATTAATTTTCTATTTCTTTAGCAAACTTCATAAATGAAAAATATATTCATTTTTCTATTCTATTTTTAGATTTTAGTATTTCCAATTTTAATTTTTAAATTACTTCTACTTTCATTAGAATCTTATATAAGGAACAGTAAAGCTAAAAATGGCTTTAAATTATTTGAGTTAATTATTTTATATTTGGTTTTATGTTAAAAAGAGTTTTAAGAAAAAATATAATTTGCTCAGCTAAATAAAAATACCATTAAACTTTTACATTCAAAAAAACAAATTATTTTCAACCTATTTATTTTTAGTATTACTATTAAATATGATGCCAAATTAAAAATATCAAAATCTATTAAATTTAATTTCAAGCTTTTTATGTTTGTTATAAGTAAATAATAATACATTTGTGATTATTCTTAATTACAATAATTGTAATATAAATAAAAATTTTATGTAAAATTTACTCTTTATCTTTCTAAATAAATGCATATTGAATAATATTAATAATAATAAATAATCAAAATAATATTTAAAATGCATTAATTTTTACATATCCTAAAAATTATTCTCTTTTGCTAAACTTATAAAATTAAAAATTTAAATTATGTTAATCATAAATTATAAATTAGCAAAAAACTTAATCTATTCAATTAATTTATTTAAATAAATTTTGCATAAAAATGTTTAAAATATAAACTATTTTATCAACTAATTTTGGAATATTTTATAATCTATATATTCATAATTTTGATACTTTTATATTTAAGTTGAATAATATACAAACAAACATAATATTTTTATTTGAAATATTTTTTTATAGCTGTGAATGTAATATTGGTTAATAATTGATTTGAATTAATATAAATTTTCAAAATATAGGTCCCATCTACTATCTATTTTATTATTTTATATTTTTAAAATAATTTTTATATAATATAAAATCTTAAAATGTTTATGTTTTTGATAATTAATATGAAAGACAACAGTATAATTGTAATTTTATTATTGATTAAATCACAAATATTCTTAAATATCAAAAAGAATATCATTATTAAATTAAGGATAGAATTTATTTATTAATATTTTTGATTATTTTTCATAGTTTGAATCACAAAAGATATTTTTATTTACTTAGGGATTTAGCATAGTCTATTGCTTTTATTCTTAGCTGAAACATTATTTTAAATTTCGCATCCCTTTTAAAACCTAAGAAGCTGATTGATCTCTAACAGGCATACACTTGCCTACCCATAATACATCATCCATTTTATTTTTATAGTTACTTAAGACATATAAATAGTGCTTAAACTTAACTTCAACTACGAAGTTATCTATGCTATATAAATTAAAAGTTACTTCATTTAAAAAATTAAGCCCTTTCCTATAATTATCCAAATCACTCTTTTCTTATTTTAAGAGTCTATTTAAATTATGAATCCTGTTTAGTAAATAAGAAGTATACTAATAATTGTACTTTAAATTAAATATAATTGGTTTTCTAAGACTTAATGATTCTATCTGTTCATCATTTAAGCATAAAAAGTCTTTTAATATATGAGTAGAGTAGCCTATTCTGCATTTAGTTTAATCATATTTGTTGCCCTTAAATAATATGTAGGAATAATAATCATCTGAATCTTTCATAGAATTATTTAATTCATTAATTACTCGTTCTGCTTTTATTGTGCTTTACTCAAAGCTCCATCCATGTTACTCATCGCAATCAAGCTCATTTAAATCCTCTTCTATTTTAATCTTAATTTCTTGTATATTCTAACAATTTTTTTTTTCTATGAACTATTTTGCCTTGACTATTTTTTAATACTCCTCAATCAAATTAGCAAGCTCTAGAAGATCAATTTGTTGGCTATTTTTGAGAATTTTTACTGGAATTTTCAGATTACTTCTAATTTAAACATCTGTATCAAGGATGACTTCGATAAGATGAGGTTATTTTATTTTTTTGACTTCTTTTACCTTAATAAAGTCATTCCACGAAGAGAATAATGTGATATGATCCTTATTCAAAAGTTGGTTGATATCTAGCGTAATATCTCCTGCTATTTAAAATAATTTCGTTGACTCTAATTCTTGTATTAACATTTAACCATACTTAATCTTTTTTAAATTTCTTTTTTATATTACTTTTCTATTTTTTTTTTATTTTACAGTCTAGTCATCCATTATTGTAAAGCAAATATATTAGCAACCAAAAATTAAAAAGATTATTTTAAGTTAATTATTAATAGAAATTAATTAATTAAAATTAGAGATATTCTTCAAATATATATGAATGCCTTCTATTATTTTGTTGATAATTTCTTATCTTAATTGATTTTCATTTTATCTTTAATATTTTTTCCACTTTCTTATACTTTCTTATGTAATCTTAGTGTGTTTTTTAAGATTCACGAAATTATTAAAAGTGACTTTCACATCATATATAAAGTTTTTATCTTGTGGTTCTTGATTATATAGAGTTTTATAAATTGTACTTTTTAGAATAAAATTCTTTTACTAAAAATAATATTTTCCTCAAAGAAATTACATTTAATATGTTAAAAAAAATAGTTTATTTAATTACAAAAAAACACATTTTAAAGCTAATACTTCTTACTTGAGCTATTTATGCTCTACACTTACAAATTGGTGTATAAAACTATATTTTTGAGTGCTTTAAGCACATAATAAATATTTTTATGAAGCACATAAAAAAAAAAATGAATAATTTGTATTTATTTTGCAAATTAGTTATTTTTATTTATAAAATATGGTTTAATTTAAAAGAAGCACTTAATATATAATTTGAAAAGTAAATAATATCTATCTTCTTCTTCTACAGTTATATAGATGAAACTTTCAAAAAATTTGCATTCATATTCTCATTTTTCAATAAAAAGACGTATGTTCTTTTTTCTAAAAAGAGACTATCCCCTAACATTTAAAAATAAAGACTGTTATAAACTAAAAAATTAATTAAAATTAAAGAGGGAAGTATTTGTGCTTTCTTATTGCTTAACATTTTTTGGTTATTGAATAAATAATTAATGTATATTTTGAAGTTAGCACTTGAAAATAATTGGTTAGTTTCTTGGTTAGTTAGTTAGTTTATTTGTTTTTTTGTTTGTTTGTTTGTTTTTTTGCTTGTGTGAGTATTAATTACTTTTTAAAAACTGCAAAACATATCTTCAATCTTTTCTTAAATGAGTAAATTAAAATAAATTGAGGTAAAAAAATTGAACATTTGTGTTTTAACATATTACAAAGATAATAAATGCATTTTTTTTTAAACTAATAAATTATAAAAATATACTAAAATGTTTTATTTCATAAGCTTTCTAATACTTAGTGATACAAATTGCTATCAACTAAGGAATAGAATTTATCTCTAAATAACTCTGATTATGCTTCATAAATAATATCAGAGTAAAGTTGTCCATTGTAAAAAGGATTAAGTTTAGAGCTTTCTTATTATTCATTTAGATATTTTTTTAGATTTCTCAATCCCTTTAAAACTTCTTAAGGCGATTAATCTCGAATAGGCTTTTATATGGTTAACCATAGAATGTCATCCACTTAATTTTGATAGTTACTTAAAATATATAAATATGTTTGTATTTAAACTTCAACAACTAAATTATCGACACTTGAAATAGCAATTGTATTTTCTGAGAGCAATTTAGGTTCTGATCTGAATGAATCTAAAACATTTTTGTCATTCATTAAAAACATGATTTAGGTTTTAATTCTACCAATTAAATAAGTAATAAGCTAATGTTGATGCTTGAAGAAAAATAAAGTTGGCTTTCTATTGCTTATATAAGCTATTTGATCATTATTTAAGCAGAAGAAATCTTTTAAAATTTTTGTTGAGTTTCCTACCCTATAAACACTTTAGTCATACTTATTCCCTTTAGATAATACAAAGCTATAATGCATGTCTGAACTTTTCATCTTTTCTTTTAAATCATTGATAACTTTTTCTGCTTTTTCAAGACTTTTTTCAAAGTTCCACCCATTATCTTCATTACAACAAATTTCAGTTAAAGACTCTGGTTAGCAGGTATTTTGTTGTATTTATTATGAAGATAATAAATTAGAATTTAGCTTTCTCTTTTCATTTTATACCTTTTAAAATTATTCAATTGCTTCTGCAAGATGAGATAGGTCTTAGCGTTGACTACGCCTAATAAATTGGATAGGAATCGACATATCATTTCTTACTTGTATATCTGTATCCATTTAAATATCGATTACTTATAAGTCATGCTACATTTTGACCTATTTGACCTAAAGAAATTCATTTACATTAAAATTTGAGAATAGATAATCCTGATTCAAAAGTGAATCAATATTTATTGTAATATCTCCAGCTATTTAGAATACATTTCGAGTATTTATTTCTTTAGTCAGTTAAAAACTATATTCAATTTATTTTAATGGCTGCTTTTTCTTATTTATCTTTTTTTTAATAATTTCATTTTTCTTCTTCTTTATTAAAAATGTTTCTGACATTTTAAACTAATTAGAAAAGTGAATGAATATCTTAAAAAAGTTTATTATTACTTAATATTTAATAAATCTTTTATCGAATTATTTGATTACCTTATTCCTCAAACATTGTTTTATAAACAATGGAAAATAAAGTAAACAATTAATGTAGATCTGATTTATTTTTTATGCTCGAAACCACTAACTGTAAGATAAACCTAACTTTAAATCATTATAATACTTTTTAGAAAAACATAATTTTTGCTTATTTTCATAATTAAATAAATTTCTAATTTTAAGTCATTCGTTTGTGGTGAAAGCAAGAGCTTAACTCCTGAATTGAATGAATATTTACTAATTATATCAATAAATATTACATTTATTTTATTTTTTTTGTATAAGTCTTATTATATGAATTAAAATTTTAATTATTTCATAATATTTTTATATATTAGATAATTTTAAAATAAAATAAATAATTTCTAAGCACTTTTTAGAAAATTATAAATAATTTTAAAATGTTTTTAAAGTTTTTGGGATTAATATAATTTGGGGTGAATTAATGAGAACTTACAGTATAAAATATCAGAAATAAATAATTTGATATTTTAAAAAAACGAGATTTCAGGATAAGAAATTTACAGTCTTATATTAATACAAATTTATATAAAATTTATTAAGTTTAGTTTGACAGGGTTATATATCCTTTATGAACTAAAAATGATCCAAAAACAACCAATAAATCTTAATTAAGATTTCATAAATAAATTCCTAACTTAATAAATAATTTTTATTAAATATCCACCAATTTAAAATATATTTAAAATATTAACATTTTTGTGGTAATCTAATAATATTATGCTACTTTTTAAATTGTAATTTTAAGTCATTTTTATATAAATCTCTTTTTTTCATCCTCAATAAAAACCAATTATGCTATAATTTTTATTATTTGAATTAGCATGATACTTGTATTACTTATCATCTATTTCTTCTTTTACTTTCAACTATTTGCTTTAAACTATGGCTAAAATCTCTCTTTTTGCTTATTACTTTTTGTTAAATTAATTAAAATCATAGAGAGAAATTCATAGATTATTTTATTACTTCACATTTAGTTGTTATCAAAAAAAAATATTAAGTTTTGAATAGGAATTAATTTGCTTGTTTAAACATTTTCAATCAAAAAATTACAGCCATAAAAAGGTTCGCTTTAAATTGTATCTTAATATTATTAAATTAAATTCGAGGAAAAACTAATAGTTTTTAATTTGAATACACTACAAGATTACACAAAAAATAAATTAAAATTTGAAAAATTGATACTTGAAATTATAAAACATCTTAAACATTAATTCAAAAGTTATCTAAAACTTAATGATACAAATTATTATCAATTATGGAATAAAATTTATCTCTAAATATCTCTGATTAGGCATCATATAGTACATCTGTATAAAGCTACCCATTGTAAAAAGGATTGAGTTTAGTATTTTGTTGCTATTCATTTAGATATTTTTTTAAATTCCTCAATCCCTTTAAAACTTCCGAAGGCGATTAATCTCGAATAGGCTTTTATATGGTTAACCATAGAATGTCATCAACTTAATTTTGATAGTTACTTAAAATGTATAAATATGTTTATATTTAAACTTCAACAACTAAATTATCAACACTTGAAATATTAATTGTATTTTCAGAGAGCAATTTAGGTTCATTTCTATATTAATCTAAATATTTTTTGTCATTTTTTAAAAACATGATTTAGGTTTTAATTCTATTAATTAAATAAGAAATAAGCTAATGCTAGTGTTTGAAGTAAAATAAAGTTGGCTTTCTATTGGCTATGTAAGCTATTTGATCATTATTTAAACACATAAAATCTTTTAAAATCTACATTGAGTTTCCTACTCTATAAATACTTTAATCAAATTTATTCCCTTTAGATAATACATAGCTATAATGGATGTCTGAATTTTTCATTTATTCTTTTATATTATTAATAACTTTTTCAGCTTTTTCAACACTTTTTTCGAAGTCCCATCCATTAAATTCATCACAGATCTACTCACTTAAAGGTTCTAGTTAGCATGTAGTTTATTATATAGGTTCTTCAGATTATAAATCTAAATTTAATTTTTTCTTTTCATTTAATGTTTTTTAAAATTCTTCTATAACATTTGCAAGATAAAATAGGTCTTATCGTTAGCTACGCTTTAGCAATTCTAGAGGAAGTGACATATCATTTCTTACCTGTATATCTGTATCCATTTATATATCGATTACTTATTATTCTCGATACATTTTGACATATTTAGCAGTAATAAATTCATTCACAGAAAAATTTGTAAATAGATAATCTTAATTCAAAAAGGAATCTATGTTTATAGTTATATCTCCAGCTATTTAGAATATATTTGGAAGAGCTATTTCTTTAATCAACTAAAAATTATATTCAATTTATTTTAATAATTTTTTATTATTGACAATCATGTCTTCTCCTTTTTTGTTTTTCAGAAAAGTTGTTTCTGACATTTTAATAAATAAAAAGAAAAGATTTTGTTGGTATATTAATTAGTTTATATTTACTTAATTTTTAATTAACTCATTAATTCATTTGGTTTCCCAAAGATTATTTTATAATCAGTAGTAATTACATAAAAATAAATAAGAATTGTAAATATCTAATTTTTTTTAATCGTAGAAAACATCCAATTTAAAGATCAACCACTTAAAAACATAGCAATGCTTATGAAATCAAAATATTTGTAAACATTTAGTATATAAATTGTTAATAGCAAAAGATCAGTTCCTTAATTGTTTAATGTTTTGATATATTCTAATTTTGTTTAATAAAGCCTTTTATTTTTAAGTTTAACATGTAATTTCAAATATAAAATAACATTTTTTTTTTGAAAAACAAATAATTTCTAAATTTAAAAATATTTATTATCTTTAAATTTTATCTTTATAAAAACTAAATAAAATTAGAGGTATTAAGTTAAATAATTTTAATTTTAATTTACACATCCTACATAGAATGAATAAAATTTTTTAAACTAATGTGTCAAACAAACAAACAATAATATTATTTTAAAACTTTTTATTCATAAATTTTATAAAATTGAATGATATAAATAGTTATCAGAAACAGAATAGAATTTATCTTTGAATAACTCAGCTTATGCTTCATAGATTACGTCAGAATAAAGATTTCCATTAAAAAAAGGATTGAGATTAGAGCTTTGTTATTCTTCACTCAGATACTTTTTTAGATTTCTCATTCCCTTCACAATTTATGAGACTGACCAGCCTCTAATAGGCTAGTGTACGTTTATCAATAATACATCGTCAACTTAATTTTAATAATTACTTAAAATATATTAGTATGTATGCATCTTAGTATCTATGCAGTAATTATCAACACTTTAAGTAGTGGATGTAAATTCGCCTAAAAATTTAAGTTCTGTCCTGTAATAATCTAAGTCTTTCTCTTTTTTTAAATATTTGATTTAATTTTTAATTCTACCAATTTAATATTAAACCATTTAACTCTGATATTTTATGAAATTTATAATTGGTTTTCTATAGGTTAAGTGATTTATTTGGTAGTCATTTAAGAAATACAAATTCTTTAAGTATAAGAGTGAGTATCCTACTCTATAAACGCTTTAATCATATTTATTTCCTTTAAATATTATAAAGGTGTAATAGCAGTCTTAATTTTTCATTGATTCTTTTAATTTATTAATCTCTATTTCTGCTTTTTAAACACTTTTTTAAATGTTCCATCCATGCGCTTCATCGCAAATAAATTCGCTTTAAGTGTCTGGTTAAGTAGTCTTTTATTATTATTGTTCTTAAGACAGTAAATTACAATTTAAATTCTACTTTTCATTTAATAGTTATTAGTATTCTTCCATTACATTTGCAAGATCAAATAAATCTTATCTTTGGCAGCGCCTAAGAATTTGAATCGGAACTGACATATCGCTTCTTACATATATATCAGTATCCATAAAAATATCCATAAAATCATATTCATCATAGCTTCTAATTTACTTAACCTAAATAAATTCATTCATTGAAAGATTCATGAATGCAAATTCATTATTAAGAAATGAATCAATATTTATTGTAAGATCACCAGCTATTTAGAATGTATTTGGATTATTTAGTTCTTTTGTCAACTTAAAACCAAATTCTATTTATTTTAATTTTTCTATTTAATTCATTTTTTTATGAGTCCTTTCTTTTTTCTTCTTCTTCAGCAAAATTAATTAAGACATTTTATATTGAATAAAGTATATATATCTATCTATCAAAATTTTATTTCTTAATATTTATTAAATATTAATTAATAATTAAAAATGTTGAATGAAGTATTTGGTTCTTACTATTTACCAAAGATTCTTTATAAATAGTGGCTATTAGATACTTATTAATAAGTGAATATATTGATCGTTTCAAAATACATGTCCCCCTCCTCTTAAAATGAGTTATATAGACAAGAAGAAAAAAAACAAAGCAAAATAAAAAGAATACAGGGCTTTATTGTTTTTAGTTATTTTTTATAATTAAAAATATCACAATCTAAAGTAAATAAACTGTTTTTACCCAAGTTCAAGTGTCAAACTTGAGAGATTAATGCAATTTGTTAAACTAGAAACTAAGTCTGATGCACTTTCATCATCAATTTTATTCCTACTTTTTAAATATTGAAGAAAAAATATATCATTAAAAATAGTTAATTAAAAGGAAAACGTGAAGAAAAAATATGAAATAATAAGATTAATTAATTGATAATAAAAAAGATAAGTTAAAAATAAAATGATGAGTTAAATTAACAAAGAAAGAACAAAAAAAAGCAAGCACAATAAAAAGAAAAAGAAAAGAGAACTTTATTGTTTTTAATTAGTTTTTATAATTAAAAAGATCACAATCCAAAATAAATAAACTATTTTTACCGAAGATCAATTGTCAAACTTGAGAGATTAATGCAATTTGCTAAACCAGAAGCTAAGTCTGATGCACCTATTGCACCAATTTATTTGGCACTTTTTAAATATTGAAGAAAAAATATATATTTACATAGTTAAATAGAAGGTAAAATAATAAGATTAATTAATAATTTTGTAAATTAACAAAGAATATTAAGTGTTAGAATTAATAGCAAAAATGAAGAAAAAATATCAATTAATAAATAATAAATAATTAAAAATTGAAATAAAAATTAAGTTAAAATAGCTAAAAAATGTTTGTTTTAATAAAAATGAATGAATGAATAATAATGATGATTATTTCTATTAAAAAAATTATTTAATTAAATAAAAATTAAATATTTAAAAAATATTAATAATAATAATAATATTTATCAATTAAATTTACTAAAGATAAATATGGAGAAACTAATGAGATTGAAGAGAAGAGTTTAAAAACTTTTTTTATTAATTTATATAAATTTAAAGGATATTATTATAAAAATTAATAATTACTTCTTCTAATTTGTAATATTTTAAAATCTATTTTATCATTTATTTTTTTTCAAAAATATTTAATAACAATTTATGGAATTTAATTAATATTAAATTGATAAAAAGAACAAATAAGATATAATTATTAATTAATTAATTATCAAATATTAATTTATAAATTTTGTTTTATGAACAGATAATTATAGGAATATTTATATAATATCTCTAATTATTCTCTAATTACATTAGTTTTTTTTTGCAAGCACATTCTACTTTCTTAGGTATAACAAAAGAAATATATCATAAATATAATAAAATTTAATTTTAAGTTGTATTCTGAGTGCATTTATATGTGCGAGTATTTCTATTCTATTCTGCACCAATTTTATTGATACTTTTTAAATATTGAAGAAAAAATATATTAATAAATAGTTAATTAGAAGGAAAAAATGAAGAAAAAATATGAGAAAATAAGATTAATTAATTAATAATAAAAGTAAAAGTTGAAAATAAAATGATGAGTTAAATTAACAAAGAAAGAACAAAAAAAAAAGCAAGCACAATAAAAATAAAAAGAATAAAGGGTTTTATTGTTTTAAATTAATTTTTATAATTACAAATATCATAATCCAAAATAAATAAACTATTTTTACCCAAGGTAAAGTTCCAAATTTGAGAGATTAATACACTTTGCTAAAGCAGAACCTAATCCTGAAGCACCTCCATCACCAATTTAATTTTCACTTTTTAAATATTGAAGAAAAAATATAAAATTAAATAGTTAATTAGTATGAAAAAATGAAGAAATAATATGAAATAATAGATTAATTAATAATAATAAAATAAATGTTAAAAATAAAATGATGAGTTAAATTAACAAAGAAAAAACAAAAAAAAAGCAAGCACAATAAAAAGAAAAAGAAAAAAGAGCTTTAGTATTCTAAATAAAAATATCAAAATCCAAAATAAATAAACTATTTTTACCTAATATCAAGAGTCAAATTTTAGAGTTTAATGCAATTAGCTATAGCAGAACCTAAGCCTGATGCACCTTTGTCACCAATTTAATTACGACTTTTTAAATATTGAAGAAAAAATATATCATTAATTAATTAATTAGAAGGAGATAATGAAGAAATAATATGAAATAATAAGATTTATTAATATAAAAAGAAAAGTTGAAAATTAAATAATTATTTAAATTAAGAAAAAAAGAACAATAAAATGAAAGCAAGATTAAAAGAAAAAAGAGCTTTATTGTTCTAAATTAGTTTTTATAATAAAAAATATCTCTTCCAAAACAAATAAACTGTTCTTACCTAAGTACAAGTGTTAAATTTGAGAGATTAATGCAATTTGCTAAAGCAGAACCTAAGCCTAATGCTTCTTCATTACCAATTTAATTGTCACTTTTTAAATATTGAAGAACAAAATATAATTTAATAGTTAATTTGAAGGAAAAAAACAAGAAAAAATAAGATTAACAAAGAATGAAAAAAAAAGCAAGCATAATAAAAATAAAAAGGAAAATAAATCAAATAAATTAAGTTTTACAATCCAAAAAAAATAAACTGTTTTTATTAAGTGTAAAAATTAATTATAAAAATGAAGAAAAAATATCAAGTAATAAAATATGAGTAATAAATAATTAAAAATTGAAATGAAAATTAAGTTAAGATAGTTTAAAAATGTTTGTTTTAATAAAAATCAACGAAGGAATAATTATGAGAATTTCTATTAGAAAAACTATTAAATTAAATAAATAGAAATTTAAATATTTAAAAATATTTATAATAATAATATTTATAAATAGGATCTACTTTAGATCAATATGGAGAACCTAATGAGATAAAAGTGAAGAGTTTAAAAACTTTTTTATTAATTTATATAAATTTAAAGGATATTATTATAAAAATTGATAATTACTTCTTCTAATTAGTCATATTTTTTAATCTATTATATCATTTATTTTTTTTTTTCAAAAATATTGAATAGCAATCAATCTATGGAAATTATTTAAATATATTTAAATCGATAAAAAGAACAAATAATATATAATAATGAATTATCAAATATTAATTTATAAATTATGCTTTATTAATAGATATCACAAAAAAATTAAATTGATATTAATTATTTAATCTTAATATTTGTAGTTAAAACATATACTTAAAAATATAGTAGAATTAGAGATGGACAGTTAAGTTAGTTAGTCATATATATTTGAAAAAATTCTAGTTAGTAGTAACCCATAACCTATTTCAAAATTTTGCGTATTTTATTCATACATACATATATCCTGTTTACTTACTTCATTATTCGAAAAAAAATCATTTAAAAAATTTATTTTACATCAAATTTTCGTATATATATCACAATAATATATTTGAATTTGTATTTTTGTAATTTCATCTTTAGTTTTTTCATATAATATATTCATACTTACTTATTGCCAATGACCCAAGTATACATACTCATCTACCATTTTTCCACACTTCTTAAAGAATAAGTTATTGAAAACATTTTCCTCATATCAAATTAAATAAATTGTAAGCATTCAAATATGCAAAAAAGTAAAATGAGTTACAATGTATTTATTACCCTCGTCATAATTGCTTCAAGCACATTTAATATGCATGTTACATTTTCAAAAAAACCAATTTTAGAACTTGTAAATTTTTTTGCAGCATTTTTTTTCAGAGAGTAAATCAGTTTCTTGAAGGCTAATTAATATTCATCCAATTCAGTATCATCGTTTATTAAATTCAATTAATCTGGTTAATTTGCTATCGAAATACATGCTTTTAAAATCCATGTCCTTGGCTTGTAGTTATTAAGATACTCGTGCCATTTTTCTATCTAGTAGCCTATTTTTTCGATGTTTATCTGCATGCTCTTTCTTTTATTTGAAGGTATTTCTTTCTTTTTAAAAAAGAAATTTATAGCAGAAATATCGCAGAAGAGAAATAAAACCATAAAAAATTTCTAAGAAAACCTAAAAGGAAAAATAACCAATAAAATAAATAACTACCTAAGCTGAAGAATAATTTAAAAACTTCAAATTTAATTCAAAGTTGACAACCACTAAAATTCATGGAAAAATTTAATGAATCATTAATGCCTCAGAAATAAAATTAGCCCAGAAAGAGAAAAATTAATACTGCTGCGTTTAATTTAATTGCATCTAGTTTTTAAATTAGGGATTAAGCAAAATCTTTTTAGATGACAAGTGATAGATGAAATTGATTCCAAATTAAAAAAATTTAATATAAGTAAGATTCCAATTAGTGAATACTAGACTAAACAAATTTCAAATTCCTTTGCATGTCTTAATTAATTAATTGAATGTAAGTAAGATTTAAATTAGTGGGTATTAAAAAAGTTTATTTCAAATTCTTTTGCATATCTTAATTAATTCTCTCTTAAAATCTGGCGGTTTGAATTCTTATTTTATCTATAAATAAATAAATAAACAAACAAATAAAAGAATTCATAGAAGAAATGCTGAGCATACCATTGCCTAATTAACTTTTTTTTGTTTTTTGAATTTCTTGATGTCTGAAATTAAATAAGAAAAAGTAAAACATAGAAGCTTTTAAAAGAAAGTAAAAGTAGTAAATGTGCAATAAATAAATATTATGGAAAGTAACTTTATAAATTTATATTTTTATATAAAAGAATGATTTTAATTTAGGAGATAAATAAATATAAATAATATGCAAACAAAGCTTCTCTAATTGTAGAGGAGGACATTATTTTTTGGAGGAACCAAATAGCTAGTTTAATTTTACGAAATTTATTTGTTTAAATAAAAAGTATTGACTCAGGTGTTATCAAATTAGATATATTTGTTAATAGATTAAAAAAATTTAAATTAACTAAAATTTTTCACTCCTCATTATTGTCCCTGGTAGCATTTACAATGCAACTAGTTTATGAAGGCAATCCAATAGATTCTATCAACAACTAATTAAATTATATTTGAAAGTGATTAGTTTACATGCTTGTAAGAGTATAAAAGCACCTCCAAATTAATATAAAATATGACTTTTTAATCACTGTCAACTAATTTAATATCATTGTTTCAATATCATATCTTGAAACTATATTTAATTTCTAGATATGTCCAATAATTTCCTCTATAAGATCTGTTTGCTCTAAATACCTTATTTTAACATAGATACTTTTCCACTTATTTTGATAGAAATGTCATAAGATTTGATAAGCAATTTATTATTTTGAATTGCCAATTACTTCGATGTGTATAGACAGACTATCTATCGAGCAAGGCAAGTAATAATAATGATAGTAAATGATGAATTACTTGCATTTTGAATGAGAAAAACTCTATTTTTATTCTATTTATACGTTTATATAAAAATAATAAAGAAATTAACTACAAATTAACAACACCAACTTTTACGAAATGTATTATTTATCATGCCATTATTATATCGTTTAAATAAATTTCTTTATTATTGACTTTCTACCAGACCGACCAGATTTATTTAGGCTGACCAATAAATAAATAAATAAATAAATCAATCAATAAATCATTCTGGTGTCAGGAAGAAAAAAACGAAGATATTTTATTTTATTTTATTACTTGCCATATCACAAATAAATAATATAAAAGTTTGTATAATACAATAAAGAGTATTTAATTCTTTTTAGTTTTTTATATCATATTTATAATTTTGTGCAAAGGCCTCAAATCATTTTTTATCTTAAAGAGTTTATTTTAATAGCTCTTTAAAAGCCGCCACAGATATAATAGCCACTTTTGTTACTTCGTTCATAGGTCCATCTTTACCAGTTAGCTACTTATATAAATCAGCAGCAAAGTTTTGACAGTTATTCAAAAATAAATTGTAATCAGGAAGCGACAAGTTATATGCCATTTCCAAAATATCGTAAAACTAAATATTTTGGTTAAAAGTACAGCAGTAAGATGTTTATTGAAAAACACTTTCATCATAAAGCTCAGCACTGAATCCAGGAGTATTAAATCTCTCAACTATTATTTTTTTTCCTTGCTCGTCAAGACAAACAAGTCCATGATGATGGAAAGGATTATTTTCGCCTTAAAGTGGTCTTGAAGCAACAAAAACTTCTTTAACCAAAAAATTCTAAAATTTAGCTTTTATTTTGTTAAGCTCTGTTTCTTCGTTGTTTTCTTAGTTGTTTTCGTTGTTTTCTTAGTTGTTTTCGTTGTTTTCTTCTTTGTTTTCTTCGATGTTTTCTTCGATGTTTTCTTAGTTGTTTTCTTTGCCAGATGAGGAAGTACTACTACTAGAGGAATTTCCCATATTTTTGTTATTTTTCTTGTCAAACCTTTTTGTGAATTTAGTTAAGTTTAGAAAAATAAAGATTAACAAGCTTGCCCACTCTACTCAGATTAGGTAAGAAAGATTTGATTTTAAATTTATTTAATTTAATTATATTTTGAAGGTAATTTGTGCTCTTTATTATTTGCTATCATCAAAAAGAGCAAACTATTCTAAATTTGTTTACATATCAAATAGTATTATTTGCATATTTTATTTACAATATACTGTAAATGCTCATTAATTAAGGCATTCCCTAAGTATCTTTTTTGCCCAAATAAAAATTGCCCAAAAATTAAAAAGGTCAAAATATATAAAAAAGCTATTGTTACTTTATTTGAAACATCTATGTTAAATAAATAGAACATATATAAGTATATACTTGACAATTAGGAGATAGATAGATAGATAGATAGATAGACAGCGGGTGACTTTCCATCCACTATTTTAATTTAGTAAATTTTCAGAAAAATAAAATATAGTTCTTGGTTTTTTGATTAGAATAGAAAAAGTGAATTAAAAAAAATAAATAATTTTTTATTATTTATTGAGTCTAAAAAGCGAATAGCTTATAAATATAGATTGTATCATTAAAAATAAATAAATAATCTTAACAAAAGCTATAGTCTCAATATCTTAAAATAATATTTCTTTTTGTAATAAATAACACTTTTATTTTAAAATTTAATAATGTCTATTTTATTTTATTAAAATTAAAAGAGTTTTATTAAATATTGAATTAGGTTCTAATAAAATAAATTTATTTAACTAATATTATTATTAATTTACATATTTTTATAAGGGAAATATAATTTCTGTATCGGATTTATGATTAATCCCTGCTTATCCTTCTTTAAGCATTAATTTGATATATTATACAATAAATCCCTTGTTAATAAAATATAATTCTATTCCTATTTTTTCAAAAAATAGTTTGTATATTTAATGATAATTTTCACCTTTGTTTTATTAAATAGTTATCTATTGATCAGAATAGAGAAAGTGAACTAAAAAAATAAATAATTTTTGGATATTTATTATGGCTACGAGTTAATAGCTTTGAAATAATATATTTCGAATCATAAAAATAAATAAATAATCTTAACAAAGGTTATCATCTTTTATCATAAAATTATTGGTCTTTCTTTTGTAATAAAGTAAAATTTTTTCTTTAAAATTTAGTAATGCCTATTTTAATTAAATTAAAAGCTTTTTATTATCCAAATTAGGTTCAAGTAAAAAACTTTTATTTTATTTGTATTTTAATCCTTCCTATTATTTATAAGGGAAATACTATTTCTGGATCAAAGTAATGATAAATGTTTATCCTTCTTTAGGCATCAAATTCAAAGTATAACAAAATACATGAATGAATACACTCAAAATAAATCAATTTACATGCTGAGTACAATATATAAAGGATAATAAGAATGCGAACTCAGTAGAATATAAACCTATTTTTACAAATTTACACGTATTATTCAATGAATTTCTTTATTTTAAGCTAACCTAATTATTTAATCTTTTACATAAACTGTCTCTTATATATTAATTAACACTTTTTAATTATTGCTCAATTTCTTGTTTATATTAGAATAATTCATTAAATTTCAATATGGTTGATCAATCAGTCAATCATACATGGATGAGAAACAATCATACACGCAAATTTGGTTGTCTGTATTTATTTAAATTAATTGGGGATTATGTGAAATCTTTTTAAATGATAATTTATAGATGAAATTCATTATAAAATTATAAAATTAAAAGTAAGTTTGATTAAAATTAATTAATGGATATAAGATTTAGTTTATTTCAAAATTTGAATAAGCAAACAAATAAAAGAAAATTGATAGAATGCAGTCTGAACATGTATTTATCTAATTAGTTTTTATTTTGAATATTTTGACCTTCTTGATGTCTGAATTGATATCAGAAGAAGTAAAAATATAGGCGCTTTTAAAAGAAAGTAAAAGTAGTAAACATTCAATAAATAAATAATAAGGAAAGTAATATTATAAATTTATATTTTTATATAAAATTATGATTTTAACTGAGGAGGTAAATAAATAAATAAAAATTATTTGCAAATATTTTTCTCTGCTTTTAGAGTAGTACACCAATTTGGAGGAGCCAAATAAATAGTTTAATTTAACAAAATCTATTGGTGATCTTACAAAGTAATTGATATAAGCGTTATTAAATTAGGCAAATATGTTTATAGATTAAAAAAATCTAAATTAACTAAAGTTTCCTTTCTTATTTACTGTTGTTGGTAGTATTTAAAATGCAACTAGTTTATGAATGCAATCCAATAAATTAAATCAACATCCAATTTTATTATATTTGAAGTTGTTTATTTTTACTTGCATTTCATGTATTTGTATGAAAGTACCCTAAATTAATATAAAATATTACTGTTTAACCACTTTCAATCCAACTAATTTACATATCATTACTTCAATATCATATTCTGAAACATCATTTCATTTTGAGTAATATCCTATACTTACCTCAAATTAAGTCTCTTGGTTGAGAGAGACATAGAGAGTCCATCCAACTGTTTTAATCGCTACATACTTAACCTTATTTAAGTCTACTTAAATCATAAAATTCAATTTACTGCTAATTAAAAATCATTATAGTTTGTTTTAAATTACTTTTTATAACCATAGATACTTTTCCTCTTATTTTGATATATGTCATAAGATTTGACAAGCTATTTATCATTTTTAATTGCCCATCAATTTAATGTTCACATGCATTGTGTATAGATTGCCTATCGGATAAGTAATAATAATGATAGTAAATAATGAATTACTTGAATTTGAATGAGAAATATGTATGTAACTCTCTAAGAAGTCAATTTTCATTCAATTTATATCAGTTTATATAAAAATAATAAATAAATTAAGTACAAATGAACAACACCAACTTTTACTAAACGTATTATCACTTTAATATGATTATTATATAGTTTAAATAATTTTCTTTATTATTTGTTTACTACAATATTTATTAGGACTATCTAGTAAATAAATAAATAAAATGGTCTATTATTGTCTGGAAGAAAATAAAGAAGATATTTTATTTTATTGATTATTTATCTTACCACAGAGAATAAAATGAAAGTTTATATATTAAATGAGTTTTTTATCATATTTATAATTAAGTGCAAAGGCATTAAATACATTTAAATTTACAAATTTGAGTAGAGGAAGGAAGAGAGAGAAAGAAGTTATCATAAATTTTTAGAAATTGAAATTGTCAAAGACACTAATCTCAAGTTTATTACCTCATTAATAACTTTTGTCCTCCTATTTTAGTCTCTGATATAAATTCTTAGCAAATGTTTGACAGTTATTAAACATAAAATTGTATTGACTAAACAAGGAATGATTTGCTAATTCTAAAACATGGTGAAACTAAGTACTTTTATTAAAAGAATAGTTGTAATGTGTTTTTTCATAAGTATTTTCAATATAAATGCCTATGTAAAATCCCTCATCAAACTTTTCTAGCATTATTTTCTATCCTTACTAGCCAACAAAAACAATTCCAAGATGACAGAAACCAAGAATTTTGCCAATAAAGCCCTCAATTAGTCTTTCTACAATAAAAACTTATTTAAGCTAAAAATTCTAAAATGTAGCTTTTAATTTTTTAAGATTTTCTTTTTTGTTATTATTAGATCTTTTCATGCTTTTGGATGGAAATAAACCGCCAAGAAGGTAATTTAGATATTTTTAGAAAAATAAAGATCAACAAGCTTGCCCACACTACTTAGATTAGGTAAGAAAGATTAGATTTTAAGTTTATTTAATTTAATTAAATTATATTTTGAAGGTAATTGCTGCTAATAAATTATTTGTTATCATTAAAAAAAGAAAATATTCAAAGTTTGTTTACTGCAAATAGGTATATGAATTATTTGTATTATTTGTAAATCTTATTTATAATTTAAACCCCTTTCGCACAGAGTAATATTAATGGAATTTATTTTTAAAAGATTCTAGAAAATTAATTAATTAAATTTTATTTGATTTCAACTTTAATAAAAAGAAATTAAAAATATATGAAATATTATAATTAATAATAAACTATGATAAAAAAATAAATAAATAATGTAATTTAAAATTATAAATTTTATTATAAAAATAATAAAAAAAGGCTTAAATACCAAAAAAAATAGATGAAATTCATTCTCAAATTAAAAAATTGAATATAACTAATATTTCAATTAGTGGATATTACATTTAGTTCATTTCAAATTCCTTTGCTAATTTTAATTAATTCTCTTTTAGGATATACCTATTAATTTGAATTCTTATTTTTTTGATCAAAATAAAAATAAACAAACAAATATAAGAAAATTCATAGAAGGCAGTCTTTGCCTAAATAACTTTTTTTTTGAATATTTTGAACTCCTTGCTGAAGTGAAATAAAAAGAAGTAAAAATTTTGATGCTTTTAAAAGAAAGTAAAAGTAGTAAATAAGCAAAAAATAAGTAAATGTTATCGCATTATAAATTTTAATTTATATATAAAAGAATGATTGAGGAGGAAAATAAATAAAAATTATATGCAAACAAATCTGCTTCTCTAATTTTAGAACTGCCAGTGCATCAATTAGGACAAATAACTTGTTTAATTTTATAAAATTTATTGGTGTTCTTACTAAGTAATTGATATAGGTGTTATTAAATTAGGCATATGTGTTTATAAATTAAAAAAATCTAAATTAAATAGCATTTCCTCTCCTCTTTATTGCCATTGGTAACATTTACAACGCAACTAATTTATGAACCAAATCCAATAGATTCAATCAACAAACAACCCATTTAATAAATTTGAAAGTTTTTATTTCAATTGGTTTTACCTCAAATTATTATAAAATATCATTTTTAACCACTTTCAATCCAACTAATCCATATCATTATTTAAATACCATATTTTGAAACTACATATCATTTCGAGTAATATCCCATACTTTCCTCAAATTAGGTCTATAGGTTGAGAGAGAGATATAGTTCCATTAAACTCTTTAAAGTGCAACATTTTCAATGTTATTTAGGTCTAGTTAAATCATAAAATGTAATTTACTGTTATTTAAAATCATTTAAGTTTGTTTTAATTACCTTTTTATAATAATAGATACTTTTCCACTTATTTTGATATATGTTATAAGATTTTATAAACTGTTATTTTTAATTACCCTATTCTACAATGTTCACATGCATTATGTTTATACTACCTATTGGACAAGTAATAATAATAATAGTTAATGATAAATTACTTGCATTTGAAAGAGAAATACGTATCTCGATAAGAAATCAATTTACATTCAAACTATATCAGTTTATTTTTTAATAATAAAAAACAAATTAAGTACAAACGAACAAAACTAGCTTTTACAAAGCAACATATTATCATTTTACTGTAATTATTATTTAATTTTCTTAATTATTGGTTTTCTACCAGATTTATTTGGACTGGTCAATAAATAAATAAGTAAATAATTAATCAATAAATCATTCTGCTGTCTTAAAAAAAAACAAAGATATTTTATTAATTACTTGCCATAGCACAAATAGTAAAATTAAAGTTTATAAAATACAATAAATAATATTTAATACTTTTTAATTTTTTTTATTTTATAATGTTGTGCAAAGACCTCAAATACATTTTAAATATACAAATTTGAGGAGAAGGAGGGAGAGAGAGAGAAACAAAACTTTCAATTTTAACGTTAACCACCACTCACCTTTGAACTAACTGCTGAACCTACTATAGAAGATGACGAAGATACCATAAAAAAACTTGCTATTTTTGATTGATTTATAGGTCCCTCATTTCCAGTTAGCTCCTTATATAAATCTGCAGCAAAATTTTGACAATTATTAAAAGCTAAATTATATTTATCACGCGTTAATTAAATAGCCTTTTCTAAAATTGAGTAAAACTCTATATTTTCACTAAAATCATGGGAGTAATTTGTTTAGATAAAAATTTCTTCAATATAAAGACCAGCACTAAATCCTTCTTAGAATATCTCTAGTATTATTTTCTATCTTTACTCACCAACACACACAAGTCCATGATGATGGAAAGGATTACCTTCATTACTAATTTATCTTGATGCAATAAAAACTGTTTGAACCCTAAAATTTGCAAATAAAGCTTTTACTTAGTTAATTTTTGTTTCTAAGTTATTAGATTAATTTTAATTGTTTTATGCAACTTAAGAGTTTCGTAACCCAGATGAGCTAGTATTTTACGACGAGGAGTTTCCCATAATCTTGTTATCTTACTAGTAAAATCTTTTTGTAAATTTAGATATCTTTAAAAAAATAAAGCCACACCTCTTACTTAGATTAGATAGGAAGGATTGGATTTTAAAATTTATTTAATTATTATATTATGAAAATAATAAAATAAAAAAATTTCAAGGAAAGTAAGGATATAAAATTCTAATTACTCCCTGGCGGAAAAAAAATTAGGTTTAAATATTCTAATTAGGTTTAAATATTCTAATTAGGTTTAAATATTCTTATTAGGTTTAAATATTCTTATTAGGTTAAATATTATCATTAGGTTTAAATATTCTTACTAGGTTTAAATATTCTAATTAAGTTCAAAAAATAAAACACTTTTATTTTCTCTTAATTATTATATTAGCCTATCTATTTTTATAAGGGAAATAAATGCAATTTCTGGATCAGAATTATAGTGAGTGTTTTTTTATCCTTCTTTGGACATAAATGTCAAAATATCACAAAATATGCATGAGTTAGTTCCCTCATACTAAATAAATCTGGATGCTGAGTGTAATAAATTCAATAAATTCACAAAATGATGGTAAAATGCTCTCAGGAATGTTAGATTAACTTAAATAAAACCAAAAGGTAGAATTTATCCATTAATAGCTTGCAAAAAAGAAAAATATATTTTTTTTGCCTCTAATTGACACTTTTTAATATATGATAGTGAATTAATAAACTTAATTGATCCAGAAATGTATGATAGGTGTGTAAGTAGCATCAGATAAGATATTTTCAGACTTAGTTTACAAAAATACATATTCGAATGGAGACAAGATACCAATATTGATTTCCTATTAATCACCTTCACCCCTTTTGCTCTTAGCAACAGTCCTAAAAATCCTAAAACTACCATCAAAAAGATCAAAAAGGAAATACAAGGATAAGTTAAATTGAAGAGGAGTGAAGAAACAAAATTAAAAACTCTGCAGCAAATGTGCTCAAACAAATACTTCTCAAAAAAAAACTAACTTTCCTATGTATTAAACCAAATACGAAAAACTCAAAGTCTATTTCAAAATTGTTATGCTTTATACATATATACTTATGTCCTATCTATCTATCTATCTATCTATCTATCTATCTATCTATCTATCTATCTATCTATCTATCTATCTATCTATCTATCTACTTCTTTATTTGAAACAAAATTATTTTTAAAAATTATGTAACATCAAATTTTAGATTAATATGGCAATAATATATTTGTATTTTTATACAAATATTTCAAATAGAGCTTACTCATTCCCATGGTCTTATTAAGTTAACTTTTACAAAACGCATTATCACTTTACTCTCATTATAATATAGTTTAAATAAATTTCTTTATTATTGGTTTAGTAGATTTATTTGGACTGACTAATAAATAAAAAAACAAAAAAATAATTAAATAAATCATTTTACTGTCTTGAAGAAAAAAACAAAGATATATTAATATTTTAATTATTTACGATAGCATAATAATAAAATGAAAGTTTGCAAAATATAATAAAAAATATTTAATTATTTTTAGTTTTTTATAATATTTATAATTTTTTACAAAAGCCTCAAATATATTTTAAATTTACGAATTTAAGGAGAGGGAGAGAGAGAAAGAAAGAAACTATCATCTAGGTTAAGAAATCCAATTTCCTATTAAAGTAGTTAACTCATATGAAAATATCTAAATAGTAGTTTTATTCCTTCCAGTTATTAAAAAATTTTAGTTTTAAAAATATTTTGCATAAATAAGTAAGTTTTATATTTGTATTTTGAATGATCATTTGTGAGCTACTTAATTTATAAAAATTTTAAGCTACATTTAAATTAACACATTAATAAACAAAATATTTTAAAAAGAAGAAAAAATAGATTTCCAATAAGGATAAAATAAGATAGATTTTCTTAAATAAAAACAACATTAGCCTCAATAATTAATTAAGACTAGTGAATCTAATTAATTTTCAAGTAAATTATTGAATAAATAGTTAGATAAATAATGAATTCGTACTTGAACTTGAGATAGATGAATTCGCTAAACAAAGAATAAGATTATTAGTTAATGATTAATTTAATGAATGAATGAATAATAAATGAGTGTGTTCTTATGAATTCGTAAAATTTATAATTCAGAAATAAAAAACTCATACAATAAAAAATTACGTAAGGACTATATTTAATTAATTAATAAATTAATTTTTAACAAATAAGATAATTAGTTTATTAATTAAATAATTAAAAGTCAACACATTAGCAAACATACAAACTAAGAATAATGAATTAAATGAAAGGGTTTTTAAATTAGGTAGGAGGATACTTTAACAATAGCAAGTCAGGAGGATAGGGAGTAAGATCATATATTAGTTAACTTTATCTAGTTAGATAATTAATTTACTAATTAAATCATTTAGGTAAGCACTCACGATGTACCTTAATAGCATGTTATTAGAGGTAGGGTTATTTAAGAAGAAAAGATCCTTTCTGAAGGTAAAAATATTATCGAATCCACATTTAACAAGCTATTCTATAAAAAAATTTAAATTAATCTTAAAAGGTGGTTTTGGATATATATGGAAAGCATACGACGTCAATACAAGAGAATCATTTGCTCTAAAAAGAATGATTTGTTAAGTATTAAATTTTAAATTAGATATTTGTAATATAGTGATTGAGATATAGTTAGGCATTAAAGCATTTACAATTTCTATCCAATTCATTATTAAAAGCTAACTTATTTCATTTAAATACTTTTTAGGGTGAAGATAGAGTTTAAATTGCCAGAAGAGAGTTGAAGAACTTTGTAAAATTTTTATAATTCTTCTTTTGATCAAAAAAGATTACTTGATATTTACAAAAGCATTTAGAGAACTTTTTTTTTGAATAATTAGGAAAGTCTCCCAAACCATCCAAATATCATAAGATTTTATGGAGGAAGCATTACACCAACTAGAGATGGCTGCATTGCTCTGTTTCTTATGGAATTGTGTGATGGAGGCTCACTTTTCGATCTAATGTCCCAAACTATGCCAAACAAAATTCCAGAAAGAAAGTTGATTCACATAATATATGAAGCTGCCAAGGGTATTAGAGCCTTGCATTAAGCATATCCTCCAATTACTCACAGAGATATTAAAATAGAAAACATCCTTCAAAGTGGAGGAGTTTACAAACTTTGCGATTTCGGTAGTTGCTCAACTTAGACTATTGATTTCAGGTTTAAATTCCATCAACTTAAACTTATTCTTTAAAAAGCAATATAAATAAAAACAGTTTGTAATTAAAGCAACAAAACAAGCTAATGTCTTCTATCTTAATTTTGAAATTTATAAATCCTTTAATTAGAACGAAAATGATTACCTAATAATTATTTTAAATTAAATAGAAACGTACCAAAAAGTGAATATGAAAACTATGAAGATTTGTTTAACAAATCTACAACTCTTATGTACAGACCTCCTGAAATGTGTGATCCATCAAAGAAAATGCTTGTTGACACTCAAGTAGATGTTTGGATGCTTGGTAAGAAGTTATTAACAAAACAAAATTTAACAACTAGATTAAGCTAAATAAATTTAAAACAATTAAATAAGGTATTAAAACCAACTAGAAATAGTATTAAATAATATAAATCAAATTCTATTAAGCATAATTTAAGAATAAAATAAATTTAATTCAATTTAATCTTCAAAAAATGAATGATTTTTAAAAGGTTTAAACATTAAATATCTTTGATCTTTGAGCTAAAAATTAAAATTGATAGCAGATTTATTAATTAGTAAGCAATCTAAATTAAAATAGTGAAATGAGAAAGTAGAAATCTAAAATGATAAACAAATAGGTTAAATTTTATATCATAATTAAATAGTTAAATAAACAAAAAAGGTTAACAGACCTCAAGGGTAGCTTTATTGACTATCGAATATGCAGATAGTGAAAAAAAATATAAGAAAAATACAAAAGAAAATAATAAAACATTGTAAATTTTTATTAATAGCAAATCAATTAATTAATAATATTTTAGTATTTAAGTGGAAAACTGAATTTTAATAAAAAATTGAATAGTTTTGAAAAAATAATTAATTAATTTTTGCATCTATTAAATATTCAAAAATGCAAACAAAAAAATATCCAAATAAACTAGAAGAATATTATTTTTGATTGCTTATTTTAAAATAGAGTGATAAACCAATTTACTTAATTCTATTTATTCAAAAAATGAATTTGTTGAATTAACTGACTTAAATATATTAGCTTGATTTAGATGAAAATAAGAAAAAATTTTATTTTTATTTAACAATTTTAATTAATTTTTTTATTTATTTTGTTTTATGTTATAGGTTGTGTGCTTTATACTATTGCTTTTTATATCCACCCATTTGTTGATAGCTCAAAATTAGCTATTGTTGATGCCAATTATAGATTCCCAGCAGACTCAAAATATAGTCAAAAATTCCATGACTTCATTCGTCACATGATTACTCCTGACCCTTCCTTCAGACCTACTATCCATGATGTCATTCAAATATGCGAAAATTATGATGGCATTTCCTCTGTTCAATTGAATGTAATTATTAATTTTTTAATTTTATTTTATTTTAGTTAATTGTTAATTTATTTTGTTTTTTAAAGCCGGTTGCTCAGTCACTCAAAGAAAAAGAAATGGCCAGGGAAAGGGAAGAAAAGAAGTATGAATAATCTGGCAGATCAATTAAGAAGTTTGATGGAGATATTCCTTTAGATGAGTTAATGAAGCTCTAATAAAAGATTAGAGCTAACAAAGTTGATGATGATGAAGATGATGAATCAAATGGTACTTCTTTTATTAAGAAAAAAAAGCCTATGAAAAGCAAAGACGTGCAAGCAGAAAAATAACTTGAACAAATTAGACAACAATTCAATAAACCTTCGAATTAAGGTTCCACTTTTTCTTCTAATCAGTTCTGGGGTAATAGCAATAATAACAATAATTAACAGTAGCAATAAAATTAACCAAATCGCCCAAATTCAAATTAAAATCAGAATAATTAGGTTATACAAAACGAATTTTGGAATTTCAATAACACTCAAAACAATAATTAACAGTAGCAATAAAATAAGAATTTCTAATAATAAAATTAAGTTTCAGATCCTTTTAGCTAATTTGGATTTGGATAAAATAGCAGCAGTAACAACAACAACAATAATAATTAGCAGAGCAATCCTTTTGATAATTTTAATTTCAATTAAAACAACAACAATAATAATAGCAACAGTAATAGCGTATTTGATTAATTCGGCTTTTAGAATAATGGCATTAATAATTAGTAAAACTACAATAATAATATGAATAATGCATAATTTAATAGTAATCCTAACAGTTTTAACAATAATAACATTAACAATGGATAGAATATTTGGGAGTTTTATGAAAATCCTAATGATAATAATAACAACAATAACAATAATACTGGGCAATAGGCATTCAACTCCTTCAATCAAAATCAACAGTTTGGCTCTCAAAGCAGCAACAGCAACTAATAATAAGCTGTTCGCCAAAATGTGGATGCTTTTGCATAATTTAATTCTAATAATTAAAATAAAAGCTATGGATCTAATTCTCAAAATTAAAATGTATAACAATAGCAATAATATCCATAAAATTAAAATATCAACTTACTTGATTTAGATGAAGACTACACCAAAAAGACTTAAACTAACCAAGGTGGTTGTGTCAATCTTCTTGATTTGTGAGCTTAAATATTTATTACTTTTTTATTGAAATTTTTCAAATATTTGAAATAATTCTATAAAATGATCCTTAATTAGTTGAAGTCAACCAACAATAAATTTATACTTTTTAGTTAATTAAAATAAACTTATTTGTCTTATATTTATCTATCTATCTATCCATTTACCAATTCAATTACTTTATTAAATTCAAATATTTATATCTATCTAATAACTGACTTGCCACCACATTATTATATTTACTCTATTTTATATATTCCCTCCATGCCTATCAAAATTTTAAATTAAATTTTTAATAAGATAAAAACGCCATTTTAAGCTCATATAATAATATAAGAGGTGTTAATTAATTAATGAGGATATAAGGTATAAATTTTTAGAAATGATTTAGAAAAAAAAAAACAATAAAAATAAATTGATATTAAAAATGTGTATTTAAATGTGAAAATAAAATTCAATTAAATATTTGAAAAATGAATTTAAATATTTATATTTTATTTGATTAAAAATACATATGAAATGTGTTGTAAAAAGAAAATTAATGCATATTTAAGATATCTATTAGCTTGTGATAGAAAGTTAAAGTTTTTAGATTTTAAGATTATTTTAAAAAAATAAAGAGCAAAATAGCTGAATCGATTGATGATTTAATTATTTAATTTACTATTGATTTATAATTCATTAGTATTAATGTAATTTATAAATTAATTAATTAGCGATCAGGTTTTTTTGTTTATTATTTATTTATTTATAGTAGGTAGTAGAAAATTAAATAAAGGGAGACAAGAATTTATACAATTTATTTATTAAGATCAAGCAGCAAGGCATTTGAAAAATGTTTGAAAAGATTTTAGAGAAGGTTATTGATTCTTATTTTGGACAGTATATTAGCGGCTTGGACAAAAATATTCATTTGAGTGTGTTTAAAGGAAGTGTCAAAATAGAGAATGTCAGCTTTAAGCCAGAAATTATGGATTTGTTAGAACTACCAATAGATATTTTATATAGCAATATAGGTGTTATGACAATGAATATTCCATGGAGTAAATTGAGTAGCAGTCCAGTACCGATTAGCATGGAAAACATTTATTTAATCATTGGGCCAAAAAAGCAATCTGATTGGAATTTTTAAGACAAGGCCTCGATTGAAAAAAAGTTAGAAAATATTAATTTGTATGCAAAACAATGTTTAGACAAGTTAATTTAAAAGAGTCAAAAAGAGGAGAAAAGTATGCTCGAAAAAATGACAGTTAAAATTATCGATAACATTTAGTTGTCCTTTAAAAATATTCATATTCGTTGGGAAGATAGCTTAAAAGGATATTCGTTTGGTCTAACATTATAGGAATTGTAGGCCAATACAACTGATGAAAACTGGGTACCTACTTTTATAGATAGAACAAAATCGGAAGAAATAAACAAACCCATAAACAAATTGTTGAATTTAACGAATTTGAGACTTTATTGGAATTAGAACGAAAGCAGTTTCTTATAGAATTAGCAAAAATACAAGATATTTTCCATGATGCAAGGTTTGATAGAATAGCCTAAGCAGTACAAAAATGTTGAAGTTGTAATAGAAATCAATGCAGATTTTAAATTGGTTAACAATTAGCCTTAAAACTTTGATAATCCTTTGTACGAACTAACAATAGGTCTTGACTGGATTGACTTATAGCTCAAGCATTAGCAATTACAACAAATTTCAGATTTGATTAACATCTCTATTTAATACAGAGACTCGCTTTGGGCAGAAAGGTATAAAAAAATAATACACTATATTAATTAATATATCCTCTATTCATTGAAAAGGCATTTTTAAACCATCTTAGAATATGGAATTTCAAATAATATCAAAAAAATAAAAATATTCTAAATGAAATTTTAATATTTATTATAAACTTATTGTTTAGCGAATGAAAAGTCTTTTAAAAAAATGAATCAAAAATGAATTATTTAATTTATAGAAGTAAAAATGAATTGTAAGATATAAATTTGAATACTTAAGAAAAAAACAGATTTAACAACAAACAAAAAATCTTTAAATAAAGAGTAGAAATTCATTCTAAAAGAAAAAAGAGCAATTATATTATTTATTAATCAGAATTTTTCATATTTAATTCTGGGTAATTATGAATTAAATGGAATAATAATATTAAAAATTATAACATGTTGTTTAGAGAATAAAAAGTCTTTTAAAAAAATGAATTAAATGAATTTAATAAATAGAAGTAAAGGTAAATAGTAAGCTATCAATCTGAATTTTTAAGAAAAAAACAGATTTAACTAACAAGAAAAAATATTTAAATAAAGAGTAGAAATTCATTCTAAAAGAAAAAAGAGCAATTATATTATTTATTAATCAGAATTGCTAAATTTAAATGTTTAATTCTGAATAAATATATTGATTAGCAAGGAAGAAATTGCTTAAATTTATGGAAACAGAAGATTTCTATTTGAGAAAGGAAATTTTAATTTAATAAAAAGTTAATTTTTCTTTATCAAGAGTTTAAAATTAACAATTTTATTGAATATTTCTCATATTTATTTATTAAAAAATATTTATCTAAATTGTTAAAATAAGAACAAATTTTTAAAAAAATTTTAAACTGTTTTATTTTTTTGATCGAAAAATATTTTAAATTGTTTAATTTAATGGATTAAATATTTTTAAAAAAATGAATATTAGGAAAAAAGTAGTTGAGATATCAGAGGAGATGAAGGAATTTTACAAGAAGCACTTTTTGAAGATTTATTATATGAAGCTAAAGGCTAAATAAATGAATGAGAAGGAATAACTTGATCAATCTTAGATACAGATTTTTGAGAGTATCTTAAAAAGCATTGAATATCAGACTTTGAATAACTGGGTTAGAAGTGTTGTCAAGCTATTGGCAAGAGAAAATAAAATGAATGAGATAATGAATAACAAAAAGAGTATTTTTAGTTCAAATACATAGACTCAAATTCCAGTTGATTAAATTAAGGAAATAGATCTCGCTATTGAAAAATAATTAGAACAAACTAAGAAAAATACTGTGCAAAGACCTGATGAGGCTATAAATTTTTCTACCAGCATTATTCTAAAAGGTGGAAGTATTCTATTAACAAAAGATAATCACTAAAAGAAAATAATTGAAGGAATTAAATTTACTTACACTGATCTTATTATTTATATGAACACCACTGAAGATAAAGGTTAAGAAATCTTTTTAAAGTTGCAGGAAATTTCAATTAATCTTTAAAATCAAGAATTTGATTCAAAGATTCCAGAATCCATCAACTTTTTATACAAATCAATTAATAATAATGAAAGTAAATCAAGGAGTTCGAATTTCATACAATTTATTTATAAGAGGCATTCGATCAGACAGAAAAAGGATTGCAAATTTAATTTAGATGGCAGTATAACTTGCTTTGTTGAGCCGATAGAATGTGTTTACAATCATAAGTTCATTGAAAGATTTAGGGATTTCTTTGATATTAAAACTCAGCATGAATATTTTTCTGAAAAAAAATAAAAATTAGAGCAACTTTCTTCTTTACAAAAATAGAGCTAAACATTGATCGTTAACTCTTAAAATAACATTCAATCTGCTTAATCTTCTAAAGATAAAATTGTCACTCCAAAGGATAAATAAGATGAATAATCATCTGATAAGAAGAAGAAAAATGAAGTCGATACAAACCAAATTTTCAGAATTGGTATTGATATCAGAATTGAAAAGCAGACAATTATCATTCCTCTTGATGATGTTAACACAGATTTACCTTGCTGGATATTTAGTTTATCTCGTTTAAACTTTAAGTCAAGTGATGTCCAAAGAGACATATACGAGTTGTTTAACTTAGAAATGAAAAATTTAAGTGTTTTCTATTTATAGAAGCGTTCTTTGCTTCACAAGTTATCTTGTTTAACTGATGATAAATAAAATCTTCATAAAATAGTTGAAAATTATAATTTTCATATGATTATTTTACATCAATAATAGAATTAATTTGATGTTGATAAACCGCTTCTATAATTTGAAGGTGTGCTCGAACCACTCTGTCTTAATTTTAATGAAGAAATTCTCTCTGAAGCAACAAAAATAAAATATTTAATTTCGCCTTCTTATCAAAATGAGTAAGAAAAATTAAAATCAAAAAAAGAAGATTTGGAAAAAAATGCAAAACTGAACTGTCAAGTTTTTTATAGAGAAAAGAGATATTAAAATTAAATGCCCACTTAATTTATCATAGACTCAACAGACAGAGTTCATCTATTTCACCAAGAAGAAAACTCCAAAACGCTTCACTTGAGCTCATTTTAAAATTTTCATTTGATGCATTTGATAGAGCATAATCCAGTTGAATAGAGAAACAGAGCTAATTCTGAAATCCCAAACATTCAAATAATTTAAAAAAATTTATCTTAGAAAATCTAAAAAGAGGAGATTGAATTGAGCTTAGATAAAGACTAAGAGATTAAATAACAAGCTGATTAAAAGAAAGAATCAGAACTTGATTAAAATGAATAAATTGAATCTGTTAAAACGATTGAACAAGATTAAGAAAATAAAGAAGTTGAATCAGAAAATTAAAGCAATCAAATGAAGGAGGAGTAAGAAATAAATTAAGAAGAAGAAGAAGAAAAAATTGAATAAAATGAGCAATTTTCAAATTAAAAAAAAGAAGATTTGCCAATTGAAGTTTATTTCGTTAATAAATAGTTCTATTTGAGTTTCAAATGTGAGAAAGAATATTTATCTTTTAAGTAGGAAGTAGAAAGAGTGAGTGAACACGAAAAGTAAAAGTAGGAAATGATAAAAGAAAAATTGCAATAAAAATAGCAAGAAAATGAAAATTTAGACACTGAAGAAGACATCTTATCAAACGAATCAGGCGATGAAAGTGCTATTGTAATCGAGCAATCAATTCCAAAAATACAAATTAGAAACGCCTCCGATTCAATTTAATTACCTGAACCATAACAAAAGCAGCAATAAGAAATGATAGAAAACATTTCTAATGTGATAAATCTTTAGTTCAAAAATCTTACCATTAAAATTACAAAAAAAGATGAACCCTACATTGATTTCTAGCTAGAAAGTCTCTCTTTCTACAAACTCATGTCATCTCTTAACCAAACTACCAACCTACAATTTAAAAACTTCCTCATACAAGACTACATCCATAAGTATAATCACTCTATTTTCTAGCCAATATTCTCAACCTATCAAACACAAGGTAATTTTCATATTTTTCATTATTCATTCAAAAAACCTTAAATTAAAAAGATAAATTTTAGATAAAATTTGAATATAATAAAAATGTTTAAAAATTCAATCATTTAAATAATTTTTTTTTATTTTATTAAATAATGTTGATTTTATTGATTTTAAAATTTTTATTATTTTATAAATGTTTTTAAGAATCATCTTATTAATTTTATATAATTTTTCACACTATTTTATTATTTTTTTTATGTTTTTTTAGATAATTTTTATAACTTTTTAAATAATTTTTAAGCAATTAAATTACTCCAATTCAAACAGAAAAAATTATCTTTGCTTACATTTGATTGAATATTATTAAATATTTTTATTAAATAATCTTATGAAAAATTATGTTTTAAATCTCAGTTAAAAAATGAGAAGTTTTATTAACAAAAATTTAATTTTGAATTAGAAAATGAGCAATTTTTTAAGGTGATAATCAATGAAGATCTTAAAAATGATGAAATAGACGTTTAATTGGAAATGATGAAATGCGTTTTTAATTGGAAACCTGACAGTTTGCTGATATTGAGGCGTTTATATGTTTTGATTTTTATGAGTGAATAATCACTTCGAATGAAAAAATAACAGGAGTTGGAATCTAAAGATATTGACAGTTTAATCAATGAGATATTAAACGATAACTAGTATAAATCATTCATTGAAAAATTCACTTCAGACAATTTAATATCAGTAAATGATTAGGATAAACTAAAATCTATTTTAGTTGATTATGAAAAGAGTTTATAAAATAACTTTTGCTCTCAAAGCATGATTAATATTTAAATCAATATAAAGGAAGTATAACTTTATTTGATTTAGCATCAAACTCATGCGCCACTTCTTAAGCTTAAGATAGAAAACACTAATGTAAACTAAAAGTTATGCAGAGAAGGTAATTTTGTTTCTGGTTCTTTGGGCGAATTATTGGTTTATGACTTAACAAATTACCCTAACACAGTAAATGCTGATAACTAAGAATAGATAAATGAGTATGTCATTATATAAAGAAAAGAGTTCAACAAGAGCAAGAGCACTCTTGAGTTTTCTTGGGCAGCCTATAATTAACTTGTCACCAAGGAACACTTTGACTCATTTTTAGACATTAAACTTACTCCTATTTCTATAGTTTACTTTTAATAGCCTACAATGAGACTCATTGATTATATTAATAACTAAATACTTGCTCTTATTTCCTATCCAGATTAGATACTTTAAGAACCAGGCTAAAACCCTTCAAAAGAGCAACCTAAAAATGTATTTGGTCAAATAGATAACATAATTAAATACACTCTTTGTCCTAAATTTATGTAACTTAGAGCATAGCTTTAACAACCTGATATACTGTTAAGAGCTCTACCAGAAGAAGAAGGTTTTTTGTTCACTTTCGAGTCTATTTCTATCGAAAACAATCCAACAAAGTCACATGAAAGGTTCAATGATAAAGAAATACCTCCAACTCAGCTATAGCGTAAATCAAAAACTAATTTATTATTTTTTAAATTATTAAATTTAATTAGAAATCTGGGTTCAAAAATACAACATTTAGGCTGAGGACTGCCAACTTAAAATAGAAAATGGCGAACTAACAAGAGAGCTGAGTTTACCATCAAGGATGGTTCTCTCCTGGGAATAGCTTCTATTTTTCCATGAAATCACTTACATCTGGCCATAACTAAGTAATAAATAAGTCTTCTCTTTCTTTAAAAATTATATAAATCAACATGCAAAATAATTAATTATTTTAATAAGCTAAGAAAAGTTAAATTAAAAATATTTCATTAATTAAATAGCAAAATTAATTTGAATATTTGATTTTATTGAGTAAAAAAGCAGCCATTTTATAATTTAATAAGCAAAAAATCTGATATTAATTTAATAGAAAACTAAATTCAAAATATCTATTTTAAAAATTACTTTTACGATTGAAAAGTTTCACAAATAAATATTCAACTCAGATACTTTTTTCTGATTAATTTACTTTTATTCTAAATTTAAGTGTTAATAAAAATCAAATAAAAGATCAACTTAATTAAAAAGCTTGATTGATAAAATTATTTTGAATATTTCATTTAATAGAATAAAAAAGCAGAAAAAAAATTGAAATTAGCAAAAAAATTTTATTTTAATTTATGGGAAAAGTAAATTAAAAATATTTATTTAAAAATTTTACAATGAAGATTGAAAAAATTTCCAAAAAAATACTCAACTAAAGAAAAATTTAATGATTATTTTATGTTTTCATTTTTATTTAGAAAATATTTTCAATTTAAAATAGTTTTTATTAAGTTATAAAATTAAATTTCCTTTACAATTGAAAAGTTTCACAGATAAATAAATATTCAACTGAAGATAAATTTTTCGATTAATTTACTTTTATTCTAAATTTAAGTGTTAACAGAAAATCAAATAAAAGACAAATTTAAAAAATTTGATAAATTAAATGATAAAATTATTTTGAATATTTCATCATTAAAGAGAGTAAAAAAGCAGATATAAAAAATGAAATTAGCAAAAAAATCTTAAATTAATTTATGGGAAAATTAAATTAAAAATATTAATTTAAAAATTTTACAATGAAGATTGAAAAAATATAACAAACAAAATACTCAACTAAAGAAAACTTTAATGATCAATTTATTAATAATTTTATTTTATCTTTTTTATTGAGAAAATATTTTCAATTTAATTTTAATTTAAATTAGCTTTTTTTAACATTTAAAATTAATTTAAAAATTTTTAAATAAAATTTATTTATTTTAATAGAAAAATTCATCATCAGAGGAAACAAATTAAGAGGCAATGTGAGTTCATTTTTCATGAGATTGAATTAAATTGAATACACTAAATTCTTAAGAATGCTTTTACACAACTTCACTTATGATGATGGAAGAGACTTTGATTTCATTTATAATTATGAGCACGTATCTGCTTTAGAACCAAGTAAGATATTTAAGAGAATAAAATTATTTGAATTGTTTTTGTATTATTATAGATCCAATAGATGTTATTATGGACTTTTAAGGACTGAGTTTGGTCAAAACTGATGAGAAATTCTTAGATCCGTAATTAATTTTCTAAATTCAGTAATGTAGACTAAAATGGTTCAAAGATAGTTTGTAGAATATTAAATTAAACATATTGGCCCAAGAAATGATTATGTCAGTCTTCTAAAAAATCGAAGATGGCTATATCAGAAAAGACATAATAGGAAACTTAATTGGATGCACTAAAAAATACGTTTTTGTGGAAGACGTACATAAAATGGTAGGTGTTGGCTAAAATATCATTGATGATTACAATGCAGAGAGTGAAAATTTTATAGACTCAGAAAAATACAACGAAAAAACGATTAAATTCAACTTTAGGCAATCCATTCTCAAAAACAGTGGAGATAAAGACATTAACTTCACCATTTAAAATATTAAAATCCTCTTGCAGACAGATTAATTCATGCAGCTAATGCATTGGGCATAGCCACAACCATCATGTTATCCAAGTAATTTTTGTTTAAAATATAAATAATAAACACTTTGACTATTTAATAAAGCAATTTTACATTTTTTAACTATTAATTAAAACAAAAATATTTATTTTATTAATCATTCTTTAAACAGAATTTTTCTATTTAAAAGTAATAAAAAATTATTTTACAATATCTTTAAGAATTGAATAAAATTTATTTTCAAGTTTAGAAATTATAATTTATTTGATCAATTACTGTTTGTTTGCTAATAAATAATGAAGGAGATTAAATTTTTGCTCAATTTATTAAAACAATTTTTATTTATTTTTGAGATTTCATTTTAATAAAATTTAAAATTTTGCTAATAGATTACAGATAAAAAGATGAAGAAAATAGACTTGTTTTTATTTTCAATGCTAATAATGTAATTTTTGCTTCACCACTTCATATAAAGTAACAAGTGATAGCTTCAAAGGGATATTTTTCTCTTATTTTTGTTAGATAGAGAATGTAAAAGCATGAAATTCTTAGAGAAAAATTAATAAACCAAAACATGCATCAAAATGACTATGGCGACTTATACACATATAATGTTGCTTTTAATGATTTTGAAATATTTTCATGCAACTTTTAATAGTTGATTTAACTAGAATTCTCTCAGGTATACAAAAGAAATCTTCTTCACCCTACTACGGCTACACTTAAGAGTAAATATGAGCTCTGCATTGGACCTAAACCCTAATAATCGCTTTACTTTTTAGCAAGAAACGAAGGACACATCTCAAAAACAAAAATAAAATGCAGCTTCAAAAATTTAAATTTACTTTACAACACAATCAAGCAGTAAGAAATGTTTATGAACGAACATTAAAAATATGTTTAACAGCAAGAAAAGAAAATAAATGAAAATAAATTTGGTAGCTAAATTGAAGACTAAGAAGAAAGTAAGCAAAATCAGATATAAATGAATCAATAAAATTAAAATTTAGATGAAAGCAAGCAGAAAATGCAAGATTAAATTTAGTCAATTCCAACAAATAGCACTTTTGATATTGAAGTTGAGGAACTCCAATTACATTTAATTAATGATGCTGAGTAAAGCAGCTTGCCAGTTATTCAGTTAAAGTTATTTGAAAATAAATTCCTTTACAATTTCTCTACTAACAATAAAAAAAATCTTTCTGTTTCTTTGTGTTTATAACTTTGCTATTACAACTCTCAAAGCAGTTTCTGGGAACCAATTTTAGAAAGAAATTAATTCATGCTCGATTATGTCTACAGTCCATCTTCCAATCCAAAAAGATATCTCACCATTGAGCAGTAGGGAAGCGATAACTCTTTTAACATTAACATCTCCTAAAAAATGCTTAAAATCATAGGCGAGTCCTTGGAATCATGGAAGAAACAGTTCAATTTATTCTTAGAGCATGCAAATAATAAAAATGAAACATTCCAAGAAGAAGATGAAGACGATTCACAACAATAAGCAAATTAAAATGAAAGAGCTTCATATACTTTCACTAATACTCCAGATCCTTCAAATACAAGTAAAATTTCTATTATTAAATGTTATTTTGAAATGCAATCAAAAAAACTATAAAACAAAAAATTTAAAACAATCAAGTTAAAAAAATTCATTTTTTAATACCCAAAAATCTCTTAAAAGAATTGATAAACTGATGATAAAATTAAATTGATTAGTATCAATAATTTTATGAAAAATATTATTTTATTAGAATTAGCAAAATTGATCTTTAATAAGTATTAACAATTAGATTTGATTTTATAAAATTAATTATTTCTTAATTTCAATTTTTCATAAAACAAAATGCAAATAAATAACTTTTTTAATAAAAATATAGAGATTTAATTATAAAATATTTAATAAAATCATAAATAGCAATAGAAAAAACAAAAAATTCATCCTTAATACAAATCTAAAAATAATTCGTAGAATAATTCAATCTAATAAAATCTATTGCAATAAGAATTTAAATGATTAATTAAAAGATATTTTTATTTATCTTGTTAGTTAGTTAGAGTAATACAATCTATAAAATCTATTGTAATAAGAATTAAACTGATTAAATAAAAGATATTTTTATTTAATTAGCTAGTTAGAATAATTCAATCTAATAAAATTTATTACAAATAAGAATTTAACTGATTAATTAAAAGATATTTTTATTTATCTAGCTAGCTAGAATAATTAAATCTAATAAAATCTATTGTAATAAGAATTAAACTGATTAAATAAAAGATATTTTTATTTAATTAGCTAGTTAGAATAATTCAATCTAATAAAATTTATTACAAATAAGAATTTAACTGATAATTAAAAGATATTTTTATTTATCTAGCTAGCTAGAATAATTAAATCTAATAAAATCTATTCCAAGTAAGAATTTATTTGATTAATTAAAAGATATTTTTATTTACCTAGCTATTTAGAATAATTCAATCTAATAAAATATACTCCAAATAAGAATTTAACTGATTAATTAAAAGATATTATTATTTATCTAGCTGGTTAGAATAATTTAATCTAATAAAATCTATTGTAATAAGAATTTATCTGATTAATTAAAAGATATTTTTATTTATCTTGTTAGTTAGAATAATTAAATCTAATACAATTTATTGCAAATATTATTTAACTTATTTATTAAAAAATATTAATTAATTTATTTATTTATTTTTGTTGAAAATAATAATTAGACAGTGGTAAACCTCAGAAAAAGAAACATGGTAAAAATGCAATTGAAAATATAGAGTATATTTCGCCTTTTAGCATATAAAATAACATTGGGTACCCAATTTATATTGAAAATGAAAACTCCCAATAGTTTATTGTGAACAATAATGATACAATAAACTACCTTATGGATGAAGAATAATCGCACGATTACAATCGCATAAATTCTAAGAAAGTGAGCATTTAGGTGCTTAATGACTAACATGCTTTCTAGCCTCTAAACAAAGTTAATTTGGGATACCTTAAAACTAAAAAAGTTTCTATTTCAAGTATGGATTAGAAAATAAGAGATGCTGTCATAGTTCTAGAAAACTCGACTTAGACTAATAGAAAATTGCTTTAAATTCACTCAATTCTTAGTTTCTAAAATATGACTAACATGAATATTGATTTAAATTTTGGTTCTGACCACGACATGAAAAATAATGTGTTCAAAATGCAATTAGCTAGCAACTAAATCAGATATGTTCCTTTCGATAGATTAGACAACATTTTTGAGTTTAAATTCTAAACTTCTGTAAAAATTTATTTATTTATTTTCTAGGTTTTAAATAAAATTGAATAAATTAAACTAATTTATTTTAACTAATTAATTTAGTAATACTTTTCAGATTTGATCAGTCTCTAAAAACTTATGAAAGTTTAACATGAAACTTCTTACGAGTTAATGCATAATCAAAAAAGAATAACAACTTATCTGAGAATAGTTAAAATGGAAAACGAAACAAGACTTGTTTTTGAGCCATTTGTTAGAATAAAAAATTGTTTACCGATGAAAATAGAAGTTGGTTTACTTATACAAAATGAGAAAAATGATGCAGATGAAGCAGAACTTAATTTCTAATAAGAAATGTAAAATCACTCAGCTAATCTACAATCTTAAGTTAAATTGCAATTGAAAGTACCTGGATTTTAAGGCTCTGATTATTTCTTACTCTCAAGTCCTCTAAAAAATAACCAGCAAAACGTATAGCCAACCGTTTTACCAGTCATAGATTTTAGAGGATGTATCTTCCCTCTTAGCCTTAAAACAGAAATCAAGCCATTTGGAAGCAAAAGATTTTTTATTTACGCTGAATGTATCATAATTAGCTAAGTCCCTAATGATTTGTATTATTTTCATAAAAGTAATGATTTGATACTTTTCTCACCAGGCCAAAAATTCCCAAGTAAACAACTTTTCTTTCCTTAGCCACATATTAAATAATATTATTCATATCAAAAAAAATTAAAATTTTAATAATTTTTATCTATTTAATTAATTAATTAATTACTATTTTTCATACTTTTTTAGAGCCAAAAATTATATTTAGAAGTTTTAATTTTAAATTAATTCAATCTTAAAAAATTTTTAATGACAAAATAAAATTTATCAATTTTAATTTAATTTTGATAAAAAATTGCCATACTTTCTCGATATCTCTCTCGATGGATCTCCATTTTTCCGAATTCCGAACAAGAGAAATTAATTAAATAGTTATTTATTTATTTATTTAATTGGTTATAAATATAAATCAAGAAATTAGATTATATTTAATTTAGTTAATAAAATATTAATAATAAATTCAAAATAAATATGATAAATTTAAATTTTATTGATGAATATTTGAATTATAATAGATATACCTTAAACTGAATACATAAGCCATTTAGGAAGACTAACTCTTTTCTAAAGCACAACTAACTTGATGATATCTGCAGGTGATCAAGGATAGAAGATAAGCAGACCTCTTAATTTGACTGGTATAGGAAAAGACACAATTGAAGTTTACACAAACCCAGTAATTTTTAATTGTTTTGATTTTGATTATATTAAGGAAATTTATAATAGAATGGAAACAGCATGTTAGAAATAAGTGCAGATGTAAATTTACAGGAAGTTGATAAAGAATTCAAAATATTTTCGAAGGTTGTTCAGCTAAATCCAAAATATATTGTAAATTATTTTTTAAAAATGTTTATTTAATTAACAATAATTAATTTATGTAGATTATCAATTAAACTGAATACACGATTATGATTAGATAAGAGAATATTAATAATGAAATTATAATGATAAAACCTGAAGAAAGAACTCCGTTAGTATGGAGTGATTTCTACAAGCAAAAGAATTACAATATTATGATTTAAGATGCAGAAAAATAAAAGTCATATGGATGGTCAGGAACTTTAAATGTTGCACTCTCTTCTATTAGCTTTGCAGTGAGAAATCCTAAAAATTTTTCAGGAGATGTTAAATTTTTAAAAGCTCAAATTAAACAGTACAAACACTATTTCTTCATTTAAATAATGGAGCTAAAAAAAGAAATAAATCCCAGTTATGTCATTGTAATTTATTTTTGAATTTCATTTATTAGAAAATATTTTTTTATTTTAGGAAAATAGAATGAAAGACACTAATTTAGTTGTTTATCAGGGTTGCTTCTTTAACTAGTAATCTGATTTTTACAAAGAAAATATGTACAAAATTTAAAGTGGAGAAAGCATTAATTATGCGCAAGACCTTCCAACATAGAAAAATGATTTAATCATAGAATTTTAGTTTATAAATGAAAGAGGAAATAATTAATATATTATGGAGCCACTTGTGTTGAATTTGGAATGTCCAGAGTTTGATAACTTATTTGTTGTGCCTAATGCTGATCCAAATAATACCAAAATGGTCAAATTCTTTATCGAAATAGGCTTCGAAGGATCAGTAAAGAAAGTCAGAGTGCTCGAGGAAGAAGAAAAGATTAAAAAAATGCTTAGTGAAAAGAAAGCAGGAATAGAATGGCAAATAAACGTGAATCTGCCAGTTATTAGCATTTCTTTAATTGGATAATTAGGAAATGAAATGAAAGAGCTGATTTATTTAAATTTCTCATAAGTAGAATTAATTATAGTAGAGACTACCAAATTAAGAACAAGTTAGTTAAAGATATAAAACATTTAATTTGATAACAATCTTACTTACAACACACAATATCCCGTCTTGTTAACTTCTACCAAGTAACAATAAAAATTCCCACATATATCTCTTGTCATGGACTAGGACATAACAGTTCAGCAAATAAATAAATTCTAATCAATTCGTCTAGCCATACAACCAACTACTCTTAAGCTCACTGATGAACTGCTCAATTCTCTCCTTAATTTCTTTGAAGAATTCGCCCAGCCAATTCTAAATTAAGACTCAACAAAATGCTACACTTCTTCAGAATGCGAAAGTATTTCTGATCAATCCTATCAGCAATCCTAGTTATCTTTTTCTTGGCATTCAATTACCTTGCCACATTAGTAAATTTTTCTTATTGAAGCTATTTTCAAAAACCAATTAAAATGTTTATTAACTTTTTAAAATTTGCAAAAAAATAACTAAAAAAGTAAATAAATAAATAAATTAAATAAAATAAATGCCAGGGATTTATTTTTTTTTAAATTACATAAAAGATATTTTTAAATTGCTAATTTTAAAAATAAATAAATAAAAATAATATTTATTAAAAGTTTGAAATCCCGTCAAAAATAATTGATTAAGTTTTAAAATAATTAAAATATCTATTTAAAAAATTTTTTTTCTTGATGAGAAATGTTTTTGTTAAATTAGCAACACATTCTAAAATATTTGTAAAAAATAGGTAAAATTTAATGTGTATTTAACAAATGGAATTGTATCCTTTAGATTTGAATCTTTCATTTAAGAAGATCAGAGAAACAACTCTTAAGGTTAAAATGGATATTTTATAGAATGTATTAAAAGCAGTGGGAGTTGTTTTTGCGAATGTGGAAGGCGCTTAACTTAGATTAAAGGGTATAAAATACGAAAATATTATTGAAACTCAAGATTCCATTTAGTAGAGATTACTGATTCACTATAAAGATTCATTCCTTAAGTAAACACTTTAATTGCTTGGATCAGTTAATATCATAGGTAATCCTGCTAGTTTAATTAAGAATATTGGTACAGGTGTCAGTGATTTGATTGAAATGCCTATTGATGGTTTTATCAAAGGACCTTTAGAAGGTGGTGTAGGAGTAGTTAAAGGAGCTGGATCTTTAATCAAAAACACTGTTTCTGGTACATTTGGAAGTGTTTAGGGTATAACTGATTCTATTGGATCCGGTTTTAGCTAGTTATCAATGGTAATTATAGTTTTTCATTTCAATTAATTTATTAAGAATTTTCATTTTATTAGGATAAAGAGTTTATTTAGTCACGAGACAATATCAAAAGAAAGAAAGCCAAGCATGTAGGACATGGAGTAAAGCTTGGTCTGCAGAGTTTGTTCACAGGTTTAGGTGAAGGTATAACTGGGCTTGTAACTAAGCCTATTGAAGGAGCAGAGAAAGGAGGAGCTGTTGGGTTGTTGAAAGGATTTACAAAAGGTATTTGTTTATTTATTTTTAGATAAATTTTGAAGTATTTTAAATATTTAAATTGAAATTAATCTTAGGTTTTGCTGGTTTGGTTTTTAAGCCTATTACAGGAGTTATTGATGCTGCTTCAAAAACAGCTGAGGGAATTAAAAACACTGCAACTTACTTTGATGAAAAGCCTAACGAAAATAGAGTGAGATTGCCTCGTGTGTTCTATTCTAGAGAGTAGTATTACCAAGACTACTTACATTAAGATTCAGAAATACTAAACCTTCTCTAAAAGTTTAAGAAAGGGAGATTTGCTGATATTTAGTTAGTGGACACAGTTATTCTGAACTATAGAAACGAATAATATGTATTAATTTTAAGTATCCAACAAGTGCTTCTTTTGAATATCACTCAAAAGTAGCTCGTCTATTTCTATAATCCTCAGGATATCTATGTGGTTAATGAGACTAACTTTGGAATCTCTGTCTATCTAAACTAAAGCACCCCAGAAATACCTGTAAATTCATTCATATTCATTTTATTTTAAAAACAAACTAATTCCTTTTTTATTTTACAAAGATGTTTAATTTTTATCAAAAAACAATAAAAATTTTAAATTTATTTTAACAAATCAAACAAATTAATCAATTTTAAAATAATTTTTTTGTTTCTTTTTTTGAATATAAAAGATAATTTTTGCCATCTAAAAATTTTATTCATTTTTTTACTCATTTGCATTTTACAAACATGAAAAATAAATTTAATTTTATAAAGCTAAATAATTTCATTAATGAATGATTTTTATGAATGATTAAATAATTTTTTCAAAGTTAAAATATGAATTTTTATAAAAAAGGATAAAAATGCAACTGTTGTGATTGAAAATGCTGGCGAGAAAAGCAGTATATACAAAAAGTTAACAAAATTGCAGGACTAATGCTAATGATTCTCAAATTATTATATATAGAAAAAATTTGCAACATTTTAATAAATTTAGTAGGACTGTTGACAGATTTAAGAAAAAAATTAAAGTATTTAAGTCAAAAAATCAATATAAAAATATCTATTTTATTTTTTGATAAAATAATTTGTTTATTTATTTATGTAATTTATTAAATAAATAATTAAAAAATTTCATAAAATTAATTAGTGTTAATAAATGCTTTAATGTTAATTTATTATTAACTATAAATACACTTACGATAACTAGATATTTTCTATTAGATTTATTAGGCATTAAAAGTTTTTATTATTTAAATACTTAAAAAAATAAAATGATAATTCATTTAAATTAAAAATGACATTTTGTGTTAAAAAAAAAACAGATTTCTCACTGAAAAATAATTTTTATCCAAATTTAAACTTAATATGATAAAATTAGATTATTACATTAATTAATTACTCTAATTTAATATAATTCAATATAATCCCTAAACTCTAATTAAATATACATAAAAATTTGAAATTTATAGGTAAAATAAATCACAAAAGTTTTATTTTTGAATAAATTAAAAATTAAAAATAATAAATATTGCTTACAATTTAATAAAGAGTTAAAGTGAATAAGTAAATTAAATTAAATTCTAATTTAACATTTAAATTTGAATAAACGATAATAATTAAGATGGATCAATAATAAGAAGAGAATAATATTCAAATGATAAATGAGAATAATAAGTTAATAAAAATTTGGATTTTGATTGTAAATAAACTAATTTTAGTTATTTTTGCCTATTGATAAATTTTCAAAGAATTAAGTAAGTAAGTAAGTAATTTACTCTCAATAAAAACATGTGTATTTTGAAAAGCCTGTCTGCTCTTATATTATTTTAAGAACACAAATTTTTAAATTTAATTGATAAATTATGAATTTAAGTTAGAGTAATTAATTACTTTCCTTTTTAAACAAACAAAAAATATATAAATAATTCTTATCTCAAGAGAATTTTATTTAACTATGAACTGTATTTAACTTAAAAGAGTAATTAATATTCCTTTATCTATCTGCAGTGAATAAAATTTAAAAAAATTAAAATTTATAAGATTGAATTTTATTAAAACTTGTGCCTTAATATTTGAGAATTTAAAGTATGTATTAAAAATTAAAATATTTTTAACACTATTTTGTAAGGATATCTATCTATCTATCTATCTATCTATCTATCTATCTATCTATCTATCTATCTATCTATCTATCTATAATTATCTATAAAAATAAATAGTTAGGAATTTTACTACATTTTCTGTAATTGATTTTTTTTTTAAATTAAAGATTTGTTAATTAATTCTTTTAAAATGAAAATAAATTTACTTTTCTTAAAAATTGTAATAATTTTAATTATTTTAACAAAATATCTAATAATAATTAATTTTTTTCGAAAAAATTATTAATTTCTTCAATCAATATTCTTCATATAGTAGGAGTAGGGCAAAATTATTATAAAAGACTAGAGTGTCTTAAAAAATTAAAGCGTCTTAAATAAAGATTAAAGTGTCTTTTAAAAACTTTTGAATTTTTTATTTGCTCTCAATAAAAGAATTAAATTTAGAATAAAAAATGTTTGTTTGTTTGTTTGTTCGTTTGATAATAAATAAGTTGTCTTTGAAATTTAATAATATCTAAATAAAATTAATAACAATTTAAAGAATCTTAAAGTTTTTGTATGATAGAAAGGAGATCGTTTAAAAAATTTATTTTAAGACTGATTGCAAATAAAAAATATGAATAATTAATTAAGTTAATTTTCAATAACTAGAAAAAAGAAAATAAATAAATAAATATATATTAACTCATGATAAAAAGCTTTTTAGATTTTGATTGCTATACTAAATAATAATATGAAAATATAAAAAATAATTTAATCCCTAAAATAGAAAAAAATAATAAATAACACTATTTACTATCTGTATTTGATGAAAGAGATCCTGTTTTAGTCATAGAAACTATAAAATCTGGATAAGATGATGAACTTAATTATGTGGAGATTTACTGTAGTAGTTAATACACATGCAAAATTTTAGGATTAATTTTTAATAGGATATCTTTAAAAAAATTAGAAATCTTTTATTTGTACTTATTTATAACTACACACCTTTTATCTAATGATTTTTACAATAAAATAATAACTAAACAAATTTATACTAAAGGCATTATGTTTTACATAAGGAATAATTAGTATTACTCCTTTGAATTTTTGAAATTTATTCATAACTTAGAAGAGGTAAAAGTTTATGAAAAGTGGCATTCTACAGAATGTGTCAAAGAGGGACGTGCATTTGAAAAAATAATAGAAAATTTGTAAATTAAGAATTCAACTTTAACGTTTATCGTAGATAATATAGAAATCAAGAAAGAATTTTTAAAAAGTAATTTCTTTAACAAAATTACAGTTTTTAAATTTAGATATTAATATACTAGATAATTAACAAATATTAATAAATTATAAAGGATTGTATCAAAAAATCCAGATTATGATTATGATACCACTGGTGAATCCTATGTTCGATTACAGTTACAAAATTAAAAAATTAGTTTATATTAATACAAACTTGACAAATTAAAACGATTTATTTCTTATTATTATTATGAATATAGTCCTTTTATCCTAGATAATTATATTTTTCGTCATCCATCATAAACAATATAATAATTCTTTTATGAGAAAGTGGATTATCACGATAATTAGAATTGTTCTTACACAAATATGGATTATTGTGAATGTAACAATAATTAACTGCAAAAACTAAAAACTAAAGAGACCAAATATGATGATTATAAATATCTATTAGAGAAAATAAATAAAACTTATTACTGAAATGAGAGTTTAAAAATTATTTGAAATGTCAGCCCAACATTAGATATATATATATATATTTTTTTTTGCTAGTTATTTTTTTATATCTAAAAATTATATAATTAATAAATAAGAGTTAATAATTAATAATTTTTTTATATTCTAAAATATTAATCGTATATTTTAAATTTGATTATATGATATACTGTAAATGCTCATTAATTAATTAATGCATTCCCTAAGTATCTTTTTTACCCAAAAAATAATTTTAAATCATGAACTGGAAAATCTTTTTTTAGTCCCTATATTTAGGAATATTTTTCACACTATATTAAATTTTTAAATTGATTGTTATATTTGTATAATAAAAATAAATAATAATAATTAAATTAATAAAACTAAGTTATTAAGTAAGTAGGTAAATAAGTATGTAAGTTAGTTAGTTAATTAGTTAGTATGTTAGTAATAGCTGATATTATATTCAATAAGTATAAAATATTATATTATATGAGTATGAAATATTATATTATATAAGTATGTAATATTATTTTTAAGAGAGAGATTGTTTGTTATTGAAATAAAATAAATATTTTTCAGATTAAAAGTAAGTAAGTAAATAAGATAGCTAGCTAATTGCTTCATTGAATTTTAGAGATTTAATAAGGAGCATTTTCAATATTTATTACACATTATTCATTTTTATGATTATTGCTGGTTGGTAAAGCATTTTGAGGAGGTGTTTAGCTGCTTTAAATTATTTAAGTAGCATCCACTTTTAAGGATTTGTCTATTTATTGAGTTTGTTTATTCTCTTCTTTGTTATTTATTTTTTGTTTGTTATCGTTTTTTACTTTGACTTTTAAATTTTTGCTTTGAATTTATTTTTTCATGATAAGCTTTTTGTTAAGACCCCAAAATGGTAGCACTAAAACTTCTGTATAGAGGAGAGTGCCAAGAGTGATTACACTATAGCCAGTGAATTGTCCAAAATTAAACACATCCCACTTCAGCCAAATGGTAATTATCCAAACAACAAAAGGAGATACGGCAGAAACCATTGTTTTGTTAAGGGCACCATGATACTTAATTATGCAAGCACTAATACCATTCATTAACATCAATACAAAAATCGAAAATATAACCAGATATATCAAAGCAGGTTGGTCATCTCCTTTCATAGTAGAAATTGACTCAAAAAACAAAGTTACACTCTCAAGTTTACCATCTGGACAGTCACTGATGAAGCTAGGACAGGGAATTTACACAAAAGCAATTAAAGCAAAGCCATTAATTAAGACTCCCCAGATTCCTTCCCACCCAATTTCCTCAAACGGATTAATGCTGTATTTCATGAAGATGTACTCATCAAACACGAACTAAGTAGAAGCAATAAAAAGCGAAACAATAATAAGCATTATACCAAATATAAGATAGGTAGTATCTTAATCAGTAGGGCTGTATAAAACAGCAGATATTCCAACTATTAAAAATCCTATGAAGTTCAAAAGCAGTCCAACATAATTCTGTCTTTCCAGTTCTGTTTTTAGGCATAGCACAGACAAAATTGCAGTTATAATTACACCTCCTCCTATTAATTTATTTATATAAAAATTAATTTTAATTTTTTTAATCATCATTTTAAATTTCACTAATTATTCTTTTAATTTTAAAAGATAATTTCTATTTTTGCATGACATAGATTTTGAAATAATTCAAATTTCTTTGTTAATTTTTAACAAAAACTTTTCTTCAATCATATTTCTTTGTTAATTTTAAACAACAACTTTTCTTCAAATATATTTCTTTGTTAATTTTAAAAAAAAAACTTTTCTTCAATCAAATTTCTTTGTTAATTTTAAATAAACAAGTTTTCTTCAAATATATTTCTTTTTCTTTAAATATTTCAGAAGTGGATTTGAATAATTTTTGAATGTTAAGATTTTCTATTGTTGATTCAAAGTTCTATTTTGGATAGCAATATATTTGAAAGTGTTTAAATTATGAACATAATTCTAGTAAAATTGTCGAACTATGAAGCACTTTGCAGATTAGGCTTTTAATTACTTTTGGTTACATTTATTTTCTTTTTAAACAAATTTTTAATTGATTACAAACTGGCTGAATAAATAAAATAGAACACTTATTTGGTAAAACCATATTAGGATTTATTATGGGTTTTTGATGATTTATTATTCAAATTTTAATTTGATGTAAAGATATCAAAATATGTTTACTAGAAAAATTCTAAGATATGAATGAATGAAGATATTAATTTGAAATCGTTATTAATAAATTAGCAAAAAGAGAGATATTTTTAATGTTTGTTAATAATGTTTATTTTTACCTCTCATCATGTAGTAGACTGAGAAAGGCATCATTGACATAGCTACCAAAGTGACAGAAGATCCAACGAAATCTAAAAGACTAGGGATAACTAGTAAGAATTTATTAAGTTTAAGTTTCTTGCCCTATTCTTACTCTTTTTCGCGATCTTTATTAAATCTAGATTTCCAAAAGCACCTATAAATCGATACGCAAAAATAGCAAAACATTTCACCTATAAACATCAATAATGTTTGCATAAAGGGATGATTAAATCTGATTCCATCTACTATGCATCTCTGCTGAAACTTCATTACTATTCCGCTTAATATCCCAGTTGATAGAAGCGCTGAAAATAGAACATATGAGTTTACTCTTCCATTTTAAATAATCCAGTGACTCATTATAAATAAGATGCTTTTTTACAAAAATTTTCATTTAAAAAAAGGGATGAAATAATTTTATTTTAATTGAAATCATAAAAATAATCAAATGATTTAAGATTTATTTAATTATTTTTTGATAAATTCATTTTGTTAATTTATATAAAATGATAATTATTGATTTGAGAGATAGTCAACTCAATTTTAAAGAGAAATGTGAATGAGCTTTTTGTTTGTAAAGAATATGAATTGTAGTTTAAATGAAATGTCTTTTTATTAATAAGAGATATATAGAAAGTGCTAATTAAAGGAGGATAAAAGTTAATTAAAATGTGTTGTAAATTACATTATGTTTATATATTTAACTTGCTTAACTTTAATGAATTTATCTCCAGCACCACTGTTATTGATAACTTTAAGATCGCCCTCTAATGAAAGTGATAAGATTGATTTAGAATTGAGTTTTTGATTTAAGAAAACAAACTAGAACAAATCAGCAAGCAAGTCTGGATTCTAAATTATAAAATTTACTTACTTTAAATGTTTTTACAAAAATGAAGAATCAACAATGTTTGAATATTTTTTTATTTATATGCTTAATGAAATATTCTTTTTAAAATTGTTTGATTTATAAATAGAAAAAAAACTTGCAATAATAAATATCTCTTGCTTAATACCTTGATTGATTTATTGATAGATTGCTTGCTTGCTGGTTTTTCCTTTTTGTGTTTTAATTATTTTGATAAATAATCTGCTTCTAGTACATCCCTCTTTTAAATTTCAAAATATAAATAATATATTGTTTGTTTTACAACCAAGCGCCTTTTGGCAAATGCAAATCTGTTAATTTCTTAGCTGATTTTGATTTAATAATATTAAATTTTGATCTATTTATGATGTAACATTTCTTCCTCGCCCACTCAAAAAAATAGCTAAGTTAAGTTGAAACTCTATTAAGTTATTTAATTGCTTTTAAAAATTAATATTTACAAAGAAATGGAATATTGAAATGCGTCTCCAAATAATTTAAATCCTCATAAATATGCGATATTAAAATTTATGACATCATAGCTGTATACACGATTTTATTGTATGTAAGATATTTTCAAAATCAATTTTTTTTTTAAAGGATTCTATAAAATCTTACTGCAAATTAATAAATAATTTAATTACTTCTCTTAATTCAGATATTAATGAAAGAATATTCATAGCTAACTCAAACAAAATTCATTCTATTTTAAATCAATTATTCTCTCTTTGGTTGGTTCATATTTTAAATTTTAAAAAACTCAAAGATAAATAATTATTCTTTATTCAATTTTTGTTCATTTTTTGATTTTAATAAAAATCTATTTAAAATTCAATGAATGCTTTATGGTAATATTGACGTTATTATTATCATGAGAAGTCTGCTTATGAATTACATTTATTAAGGTTGAATGATTAATTAATTATCAGAAAAAAACTCAATTTATTTATTGATTTCTAGATCTGATCAATTAATTAATTACCTTACACTTATGCTTGAATTATAATTGTTCAAAAACTCTTTTTAAATTTATAATTTTGAAGTAAGCATGCGGTTGTTGTGGCTAATAAATTTTTAGTGATTAATTTATGATTAATTATTAGAATTATGTTTAAAGACATTTCTTAGAAATATTTAGTTTTATTTCATCAAATCCGAGATAGTATAGTGGTTAGTATTCCTGCCTGTCACGCAGGAGACCCGGGTTCAATTCCCGGTCTCGGAGCTTTTTTATTTTTTATTAATATAAAATAAATCTATAAATCAATTAATTTATTAAAAAGAAATTTTGGAATTAATAAAGAACTATCATATTTTGCTTAAATAAAATAGTTTATATTTATTAAAATAAGGAATTTGTTGATATTTTATTTTAACTCAAGCTAAGATTTGCTGTAAGTTCTCCTAAATTACTGTGAATTTATATTAACACCCAAAATTTAAGAGAGCAAAATGTAAAATTAGCTTAAAATCATAAAAATTAAATGACATATCACCATCTGTTCATACCTACACAGTTCGTGATATTTTAATTACAGGATTAGCTATATTAGCAAGATTTACAAGAATAATCTAAATATTAATTTATATAATTAAATAATAAAAAATTAAATAATTTTATAGAATAATTATTTAAATGAAGGTAAAGTTTTTTAAAGGATTTTTGAAAGGTTAATAGATTTTATCTATCATCAATCATTCAATAAATTTTGTAAAAGTTTAGTGAAAAGAAAAATATAAAAAGTTAATTAAATAAGATGGATGGATATAATATTTGTTTTAGCATCAGTATTAAATTATTATATGTATTAGATTTAATGATTATTAAATATTAGTTAAGCTTTACTATTAGTTGAAATAATAGAGTTTATCTTTAATTATTATTTCAGACTATAATTCTTCTTGGTATAGAAGTATTTTACACATTATTTACTTCTACTTATTTTTTATAATATTGAGGGTTTTGAAGAGCTACTCATCTATTTCTTTTATATGTTTGAAATGCAAGAGGAAAGTTTCTGGTTATTTTCTTTAAATATTTTTTGATAAAATATCTTTTAATTAATTTATGAGCGAATCGTAGTTAAGTTATATATCTAGTTAAATAATTGGCTGGATATACTTTACAGCTTGGACCATTTCTTTTTATGGGTAGATTTATGAGAATTATAAGCTTAAAAGGTAAAAAAGCTCTTATTAGCTTTCAAAATATACTTCAAGAACATAACTTATTTCACTAACAATAATTATACGATTGTTAATAGAAATGAACACAATTAATTATATTATAAATTAATTATTTTAGAGCTGAAGGAATTAAATTCGATTATGTATATCTCAACTTGACTGGCTATGCATTTTATTCTATAGCATTATCAGTTGGATATTTTGATTTGAGCGAAGGAGCTATCAAAGGAGTACAGATTCAAGATATTTTATTTGCTTATCATGGTGCAATTATGACTTTGGTTTAATTGATTTAAATGTTCATTTATCCAGTAAAAAGAAAAAAGAGTTGAATTAAAAAATAATTTTAACTTAAAATATTTAATTAGACAGGCTCAAATAAATTATCAAAGATGATCAAGTTTTCGATTGCTTTTTATTGGCTATTTTTCATTTTTTACTTTTATTTGACTAATGTAATTTCATTAATTTATTTGCTTATTCTAAGTCTTATTAACTAACTATTTATTACTAAAATTAGATAAGCAATTCAATCAATCCGCCTACGTATTTAAATGTGTGGAATATGATAGGATATATAAAAGTGATAATAACAGTTAAAAAGTATGTGATTCAATCATACTACAACTACAAAAGGAAATCAACTGAAGGTTGGAGTATCTTCAATGTCCTATGTGACTTTACTGGAGGTGTACTCTCTTTCGTATAAGTGTTAATTGACCATATATTTAGAGGCATTTCAATAGTATTCCCAAAGATAGCCCTTGGATTATTCACAATAATTTTTGATTTAATTTTTATTTTACAACATTATGTAATATATAAAGATTCATTACAAGAAGACACAAGAAAATTATATTAAATGCAAGAACTAGAAGACAATAAAGTAAATTATTCAATTTATTATTTTAATAGAATTTCTATTTATTTTATTAATTTTTTAGGTAAATCAAATACAAGAAGATTAATAAATTAGCACAGATTATCAAGAATTTAATATTAAAAAACTATCTAATACACAAAATATTTAATGAATTTTGAAATTATTTACTGTAATCTATATTATTCTTATTCACTTCTTTAAAAATTAATCAAAATTTTCAAATAATTTTCAATTTAAATTTTTATTTTTATTCAATTAGTATAAGAACCTATTAATTAAAATAATAAAGTATTGATTATATTTTCAAATTAAAATAATTATTTAACAATAAACAAAATGTTTTGACTTTATTTAAAGAGTGATTAAATTCTTTTATTCATAAGATTTAATTGTTTTCAAAATCAGATAAATATTATTCTTAATCTCTGTATTTTGTAAATATCTGGTTTTAATTTATGTAAATATTAAATGACTTTTTTTGATCAAAAAATTAAAATATTGATTTATGGTATTATAATACATATTAATAGATTTCATCAATATGAATAAATTAGTCATTTAATATAATTTTTGAAGGAATCTATTCTATATTAACAGAAAAATAATTAAAATGATTAAAAATAATAGCGAGGGAAAAATTAAAAAGAAGATAGA